AGTCCTTCGAGCAAGTTGTCTCTGACAATGGCGATCTGGAATTCCGGTTCAGCAAAGAAACAGCCATCACTCACTTGTTTCCACCAACGGATCTCCTCGTCTTGACGGTGGAAAGCGTGTATGTTGGCTGGAAACGGCTTCTCAAAGCTTTGGACGATGCGCACGGCTTGAACCAACCCCAAATATGGAGGCCGAAGTCACTGCCTATAACTGTAGACAAGTGAAAATCATGAGAAAATGCTTCTATCATCAGTCAAACGCTTTGGAAAAAGAATGCCGCCGTGCATCAAAATGGCTTCCAACAGAATCCTCCCGATTAGCTCTTTCACCTATGGAACCTTTTGTTCTTCTTTGATCCATGGTCCCAATCACTCCAGATTGTTCTAGGCCAAGCGTTAATCCGGGATCCTATAGCTGCCTACAGCAAGCCGGGAGGAGACGCAAGCTCTCAACCTCGGTCCCGGTTTTTCCTTGAGTCTGGTAACAATGCATAGCCTTCTCATGCGGCACAGCAAGTTCTTCCTGAGCGAATTGGACAGAACTAACTAATCTGTAATTAATTTAATACTTTTCTACATGAGTTATTCCAAAATATTGCTATCATTGACAGGGAAGTTTAACTTAGGGTTCTTCGCTAGAGATCAGTCCGATGTACGCCGTGGAGCACTCCGCTACGCCGTCCGCGATTCGCTTCCCTCGATCGACATCACCCTGGGTTTTACATGCGCTCAGCAACGCCGTCCAGGCGGGCGCCGATGTGGCGCACGGCATTCCCCGGACGAAACCCTCCGCGTCCTCGATCCGCCCGGCGCGGCCCAGGAGATCGATCACGCAGTTGTAGTGCTGCGGGGCTGGTGCCAGGAAATGGTCCCGGGAGATCGATCCAAAGCAGTGGCAGCCATCTTCCAGGAGCCCGGCATGGCTATACAGCGACAGGATCGTGGTGAAGGTGAGCGTGTCGGGCGAGGAGCCGTCTAGTTTCATGAGATGGAAGAGGAGAGTGGCTTCTCCGACGCGGCCATTCTGGGCGTAGGCCGCGACGATCGCCGTCCAGGAGATCACGCTCGGCTGCTTGATCTCGGTGAAAATCTGGTGGGCAACGTTGAGGAGCTTGCCGCTACGTCCATACATGTCGATCATCGCGTTTTTGAGCCGAGTGTCCTCCTCCAGGATCGTTGGAGCTGATCTTTGGAGTTCTTGGTGGATCAAGCGGCCTTCTCGCAGAGCCGAGCAAGCTCCACAAGAGACGATGACTGGAACGAGCGTTTCCCTGTCCACTCGCATCCCTTGGAGCTGCATGGCTCGAAAGATTTCCAGCGCTTGCTTGGATCGACCCTGCTGCGCGCACGTAGAGATCAGGAGGCTCCACAGCGATGCTGGCTCCAAGTTCTCCTCGACTGTCACCACCCGGCAAGCTTCTTCCAAGCCGTGGAGCTCCGAGAAAGCAGCGAAGATCACGGTGGAAGTCACGCTACTCGGCTGGAATCCCTCTTGTTTCATCCGGTGGAAGAGGATCACGGCCTCTCTTGCGAATCCCTCCGCGGCGTAGGCCGAGATCATCGAATTCCACGACACGAGGTCTCGCTCTTGGATTCCATCGAAGACTCTCCTCGCCTCTTCGAGCCTCCGGCCTTTCGCATGGAAGTTCAAGATGGCGTTGCTGATACCAGCGTTGCTCGAGAGTCCACTCCGCGAGATTTCGCAAAGGATCACCTTGGATTCGTTCTCTGGAAAGGTGGCGCTGCTGATGAGTGGAGCGAGCGTCACTCGATCGGGTTTTACTCCTTGGAGATTCATCTCCCGGAAGTAGGCCAGTGCTTCTTTGCTCCGAGAATGCTGGACGAGCGCCGAGATTATCATGTTCCAGCACACCAAGTCGCGGCCGCCTTGCTCGATCCTCTCCATCACCTCCAAGAGCTCCTCCACTCGGCCAAGTTTGCTATACATGCTCGCCAGCGCAGTGCCTACGACCAAGTCTCTGTCCATCGATCGAAACCGAGCTTCGCGGTGGATCAAACGACCAACGCCGAGATCTCTTGAGGCTGTGGCTGCTGCTAAAACTTTCAAGAGCGTGATTCTCGTCGGCTCCTCGCCTTCCAGCTGCATCTCCTGGAAGAGTTTGAGTGCGAGCTCCGGCTTGTTTTGCTCCACGAAGACTGTGATGATCGAGTTCCATGCTACGACATCCCTCGACTCCCTGGGAGTTCTCTCGAATACTTCCAGCGCCTTGTCGACACTGCCGCACTTTCCATAGGTGCCAATCACGGCCGTGGCGACGATGACGTTCCAGGAACTCGACGCTAGCAGGCCGCTCTCCACGGCCTGGTTGCAAAGAGCTTTCACTCGATCGTCTTCTCTGGATTCAAGCCGTGTGGCGCAAGCTTGGAAGATGGCGACGAGAGTGAAGCTGTTTGGCTGGATCCCATCGAGCTGCATTGCTCGGAAAGCTACCATGGCTTCCTCGATCGAGCCTCTCTCGCCCAGTGCCGCGATGAGAATCGTCCAAGTCTTTACGTTCCGGTGGGTCATCTCCTGGAAGACTTTCTCGGCTCGCTCGACGCTCCCACACTTGAGGTACATCTTTAGCAGCGCTGTTCCAGTTGTGGCACTGAGTTTTCGATCGTTTTCCAGTAACCAGGAGTGGATTCTCTCCACCATGGAGAGGTTTCCAGGCCCGGCAACGCAGCGAGAGTTGAGAGATACGACGAGGCCGAGAGCGTCAAAGTGGAGGCCCTCGGCAAGCATCGCATGAAAGAGATCCAGAGAGTCTTTGGAGCGCCACTCGCGAGCGCAAGCTGCCATTGCCACCGTATAAAACGCCAAGTCTCGACGCTCAACGATCGTCTCAAATACATCACTGCTCTCCTTGGAAGATTTGGAGAAATTCGCTAAGCTCGATGCACGGTAAGCTCTTACAAGTTTGATCCTGTTAGAAAGAAAGATCACTCTCTCGTTCTACATTCCAGAAAATCTTACCTCGCAGTGGAGCTCGCCAGATACTTTCTCATGAATCCATTTAGGGCAACTAAAACCCTCGAGAATATTCACAAAGTATATTTTAAATTCAAAAAACCGCGGGAATTTGGCATTTGTGTTTACAAAGTGTTGGCTAGCATCACATAGGCAGCTGAATTGCTTGGTTCTAGCTCCAGCAATGTCTTTGCTACCCTAGCGCTTCCATTCACATCTTTGTTGCTTCTACAAGCCCCAAGCAAACACACCCATTCCAGAGAATCTGGTGCAAACGGCATGGTTGCAATCAAATCCTCGGCATTTGCAACATATCCTGCCCGGCCCAAGACATCGATCATGCAAATGTAGTGCTGCCTTGTGTGCTTTATCCCGAAATCGGTACTAATGGAGCAAAATCTAAGCCAGGACATATAAGTATCTCCTACATGGCTGGAAGAAAGAAGGCAAACGATGAACGAGAATTCATCAGGTGTTTGAGAGCAAAGACATATCTCACTGAAGAGCTCCAGTGCTCTTTCAGGCTCCCCGTTTTTGGCATATGCTGCAAGCATGGCATTCCACGCAGCAGCATCCAATTCGCCCATGGTGTCGAATATTTGCTTTGCTTTGGATGTATGGCCGTTTTGGGCATATGCGGCAAGCACTGCAGTCCAGGTGACAAGGGTTCGTTCACTCATTGAGTAAAAGATTTTCCAGGCATCTTCGAGATGCCCGTTTTGAGCATATGCCGAGAGCATCCCTGTCCTGGAGAAAATGTTGTGGTTTGGCACCTGATCAAAGAGATGCTTGGCTTTTTCGAGATGCCCGTTCTGGGAATATGAAGCTACCATAGTGCTTGTAGAAACTAAATTCCATTCGGGCATCAAGGAGTAGACTTCCTCAGCCTCTCTTAGATGCCCGTTTAGAGCATAACCAACCAGCAATGTATTCCATGATACCACATCCCTCTCTTTAAGCCTGTTAAACAAGTCTCTACACTCTTTGACGTCTCCTTTTCGGGCATATGCCAAGAGCATAGAATTCCAGGACAAGAGATTTCTCTCTTTCATGTTTTCAAACACTTCCTTTGTCTCTTTGACAAGGCCAGCCTTGGCAAATGCAGCCAGCATAACATTGCAGGAAACCACATTAATCTCATGCATAGAATCAAACAGAAACTTTGCTCTTTCCAGAAAACTGTTTTGAGCAAATGCAGAGATAATAGCATTCCAGCTGACCAGATCACGCTGAGGCATCAAATTGAACATATAACTTGCATTCCCTGTGTCACCGCTTTGGGCGAAAGCTGTGATCATACAGTTCCATGTCATCAAATCCCGCTCTTGCATGCTATCAAACATTTCTTTGGCCTTGTGGACGTGCCCGCTGTGACCATAAGAAACAAGGATGGCAGTGGAGGAAACGAGATTTCTTTCCGGAATTGAGCTAAACATCTGTTGAGCCTCAATAAATTCTCCAGACTCGGAGAATGCAACAAGCATTGAAGACCATGCAACGAGATCTCTCTCTGGCATTGAATCAAATACCAACTTTGCATCTTGAACATGACCATTCTCGGCAAGCGCACAAAGCATGGCAGTCATTGACACGAGGTCATACTCTGGCATTCGATCAAACAGAGACTTTGATTCTTTTATATGCCCGGTACGAGCATAAGCAAGCAACATTGTGGTCCATGAAACGAGGTCTTTTTCCTGCATGACATCAAAGACTTCCCGCGCCTCTATGATATGTCCTTTTTGGGCGTATGCCGATAGCAAGGCAGTCCAAGATATTAAATCCCATGCAAGCATAGCATCAAACAAACGTTTTGATTTCTGAATATCCCCCATTCGGGCATACGCACTCAGCATTATGACCCACGCGTAGCTGTCCTTGTGTGCAGTGCTGGTGAAGAGTTTCAAAGCTTCTTCCAGGTTCCCACATTTTGTGTACTTCTGAAGGATCATGTTGCACAAATGCTGGTCACATTGAAGAAAGTGTTGGAGTTTAGCATGGGCTTGTGTGATTTCTACAATGCTCCTGCATGAGCGAACAAGTTGGATCCGTGAATTTCGATCCATATCTTTATTCAATGCAAATGATTTCATTGCTGGAAGGAGACGTCCGGCCTTTTTAACAAGCACCTCCAGTCTGAGGCCAAAGGAGCAAAAGGCATAAAACTCAAGAGATCCTTGGCATCCTCCAGATACCCACCTCGTGCAAGGAGGTCAATCATGCAGCTAAAGTGCTGTTTCTTTGGGCAGTCAATGGCATAGTCAAGGGTTATTGACAGAAAGTAAGGCAAACCCCTTCTCATATCTCCCGTATGGCTGCAACTCTGAAGAACACATGTAAAACATACATCATTGGGGCTCTCTACAATGCCCATCTCATGGAAAAACTCTATGCATTTGATGCTCTGCCCATTCTGGGCATATGCAGCAAGCATTGCGGTCCAAGTGAATGAATTATGCTTGGGCATGGAGTGGAATATCCTTTGGGCTTCTTCAAGGCGTCCTACTTGAGCGTATGCTGACAGCATGGCAGTCCAGGATACAATGTCTCGCACTGGCATTTCATTAAAGAGCTTTTGAGCTTGATCAACATGACCACTTTGGGCATAGGCTGTTACCATTGTGTTCGATGATGAGGTGTCTTTCTCCCTGAGAGTGCTGCTAAATATTTTCGTGGCTTCAGAGAGATGCCCATTTTGTATATATGCTATGAGCATTGCATTCCACAAAGTAAGGTTGTGTTCTTTAGTTGAATCCAGTACAAATCTTGCAGCTTCTACATCTCCTGCTTGGGAATATGTCATAAGCATAATGGTCATTGAGATTGCATTGTGCAAAGGCATTGTTTCAAAGAATTTCTTTACTAGTTCAAACCATTGTTGTTTGGAGTACATATGTAAAATAATGTTCCATGAAATCAAGTCTTGCTCTTGCATTGCTTGAAATATAGTCTTGGCATCTTGAAGCTTATCAAATTTACAGCAAGCAGCTAACATAGTGTTGAAGGAACAAATGTCCCATGCAGGCATATTGTAAAACACCATTCTTGTCTCTTGAAAGTGCCCATTTTGGGCATGCGCATTAAGCAAAATATTCCAAGATACTATATCAGCTTTGGGCATTTTTAAAAATACTGCTTTTGCTTCATGCAATTCTTTGTTAATAACATAAGCATCTAGCATAGAATTCCACAAAAAAAGGTCTTTATGCTGAATGTCATCAAAAATATGTCTTGCACTATATATATTGCCTTCTTGGGCATATGCATTTAACATGGTAGTTAAAGAAACCAAATTGTACTCAGGCATCTTAGTAAAAAACTTTTGTGTATTATGAAAGCTGCTATACATGGAGTATGCAGACAACATTGATGTCCATGCAACAATATCTTGCAATGGCATCGCTAGGAACAAAGTTTCTGCATCATCAAGATAACCATGTCTGGTATATATTGTCAGCATTGTAGTCCAAAAAATTAAATCTTTATCAGGCATTTTTTCAAATAACAATCTGGCTTCCATTATATTTCCTAATCTCATGTATCCAAACAACAAAACTGTCCATGAAATAGAATCCTTTTCATGCATTGAATTAAATAAGATTTTAGCATATTCAAGATGCCCTGCTGAGACATAAGCCTGTAACATTATAGTGCTTGAGATAAGATTGTGGTATGGCATTTGTTCATATAACAATTTAGCATGGACAACATCTGAATCTTTTACAAATGCATAAAGAATAGAAGACCATGAAAATATATTTTTCACTGACATAGCATTAAAGACTTTAAAAGCTTTTTTATTATTTCCATCCCTTACATACTTTTGAATCTTCATATTAGAAGGAAGTATGTCCACTATATTTTCCATTTTAGGGCATGTTTTAGTTAATTCACAAATTTGTAACTTATTTTAAGAAATGTTTTAATTATAAATTATATTAATTAAGCTACTAATGTGATTTAAAATATTCATTGATATATAATCATCTTCCCCATTGTTCTTAAAAATTAGAAATATTCTACTTTTTTATATGCCAAAATAATATATTCTTTTACAAGGGAAAAAATTACATTTAATCCAGATATAATATTAAGCTAAAGAATATCATTATTATGTAATTAAAATGTGATGAGTCATTTTCCTTTTTGATGCAACAAAAAAATATCACATGATTTAGCATTTGAATTGCAAGATTGAAATTGTATATTTAGTTGTTGAAAGAACTTATAAAGTAAACTATTTAACATTAAAAATTGTATACTATTGTTATTAAAATGCATGTGTTAAGTAAACTCAAATAAAAAACTAAAATTAAAATTAATAAACTACATAACTAAAATTTATACTACTTTTTACTTTTGATGCAATCCAATATAATATATGTATATAATTTAGAATTAAATATCAAAGTAATTTTAACTTTGATAATAAATATATTAATCCAAATTTATCTTTTTTTCTTGTATACCTTTCAAAATGTAAATTACAATAGTAAAAAAAATTTAAAAGAAATGAATGTTCAAATTAACAAACTTTCAAATGAATATTTTTGTGAAAGATAAAAATTAATAGAATAATACACTCTAAAAGCTAGTGTTGTTAGTCATTAATGACTTATTCTACAACCGACTTAAGAATCTTATGACATTAAATCTACTATAGTGCCACAAAACACAATTCTATATACTATCATTTGCTCGCACACAAAAAATACTACACTTTTAAATTCAATATTGAAACATATTTTTTATAGCCGTCAAGGGAATTAAACAATGCATGCAAAAGATGGTGACGCGATACTTGGAAGAAGCCATTAATGCAATAAACACTCTTACAAATGTTTTTTCCAAGAAACAAATGATTGCAGAGCTTGTCAATGCTATAAGTCACTAAGTCCTTCCAAAAGTATTAAATAATTTTGTTAAAATAATTTAATTTTTTATAATAAATACTATAAATATTTGTAGAAGTATAAAAAATTATTTTTTAAAATGCATGAATTAATTGTAAATTAAATTTTATTAAATTAGTGGGAGTTGTTAAGATATATTTTGTCCATTTTTATATACCATTATTTTTTAATATTAATTTTTTGACAAATTATTAATAATATATTGCATTTTTATTATATTCAGTAGTAATTTTCTTAGCTCCACTATATTTCTATATTATATATTTTATATAATTTTTAATTTTTAAATAATTCTAATAATCATTTATTTTTTTAATTATTTATTTCGTTAGTTATGTAGATAATGGAAAACTGGAAAATCTTTAGTAATAAGAGACTTTTATGTTAGTTTAAGTATATTTATTTAAAACAAAATAAACAAGAAAGCAGCAGGATCTTTTAATTTGTTGCATTGCTAGATTGATTAATTTAAAAGATAACTGTAATTTGGTAACGTAAAACTAAAGAGAACCGGTTCATTGTATATAAGCACACCCGCATCTTTGCTGCTTGCAAATAAAATGGAAGTGACTTTTACATTGTTACTGACTGTAGCTCTAATGCTCAAGAGTGTAGAGGCAATAGAATGCATAAGCATTCAAGATCAAGATGTGCAGGTACCAGTAGAACTAGCAAAATTGAACTGTGGCAACTATGTCCTTAACTTAGATGGAGCCTTCAATGTGGCCACATGACAATCACAATGATCTCAAGATGACACCAGCAAACAAGCCTGTTTTGTGCCCAAGAGGAAGCATACCTCTTCACAACTCCACTACCAGGAACAACACGAAGACACCATGTTTGATGTCGAGCGAATCATCGACGCGTTCCCATCGAGTAGCATAGAAATCTCTTGCATTGTCAGTTGATAATCGATTGATCATGTGTTTTCAGCATGCAGTTGCATTTGTTCGAGGAAAATTCAGAGGATTCAAAACAACCATCAACATATGGAAGCCTCGCGTAGAGCAGCCACGCGAGTTTAGCCTCTCTCAGTTCTGGCTTATCTCCTCTTACGATCGCCATGGAGTTCCTCGCAGCACAATGGAGGCCGGATGGCAGGTTAAAGCTTCGAGAGTGATGTTGTCCTTTCTAACACTGGATTTAGATCTACCCAAGCTTGTATGGTGGAGATGATCCCAGGCTCTTCGTCTACTGGACAGTTAATAGCTCTCGCATAGATTTCGAATTGATATATCTGTGCATGACAGGCCGATGGATACAACTCGACCGGCTGCTATAACTTGGGTTGTGACGGATTCGTCCAAGTTAGTAGCAGCATCGTGCTAGGCGGAGCAATCTCCTCGAGAACTTCCACAGCAGGCTCGACTCAAGTAGAAGCAGAGTTCCTCGTTTTCCAGGCAATTATCTTCCGTCCAAAGTCTCACAAAGTAGTGTGTGTTTTACAGGATCCAAGGAGTGGCAATTGGTGGCTGCGAGTTTCTGGATCCTACGTTGGTTACTGGAAAGCCTCCGCATTGCCAGACTTTGCAAACGGGGCTTCTGCGGTTTCTTGCGGAGGAGAGGTGCTCGAAGTCAAGGTACTCATTTTCTCCGTGGGAAAAGTTTGAGCTCCTCTGGCTTGTACTCCAGGCCAACAGGCACACACGAACCCAAATGGGAAGCGGGGCATTTCCAAACGCTCACTACAAATACGCAGCGTATCACCGGGACATCCAGATCGTCAATGCAAACTTCCGCTTGCAGCAGGCCCAAAACATGGCGAGGGTGGCGGTGAAAAAGCCCGGTTGCTACGATATTGGGACGATCCAGGATGCCGGGAGGAACACCAGCTGGGGAACATACTTCTTCTACGGAGGACCCGGCTACAGCTCGAAATGCGTCTAGCTTGATCTCAAAGGCACTGTGGTTGCTGGCTCTCCTTTCAAGCAAAAACCTTTCGCTTGTCCCAATGCAACGCTGAAGGAAAGCAACAAGCAAAGCAGCCATTGTAAAGAGGAATCCATTGCGCGAAATTCATGATATAGTTTGTTGACTCTCCCAAAGTTGCGGCGAGTTCTTTCCACTTAAGTTGAGAGCTTGTTTACATTCTAAAAAGCAAAGAGTGAAAATGGCAGCCATAGCTTCTCCTTCAGGTAACCCTCTGGAAAAAGTTTCTTGTCTGTGGCATTTTTTTGGTGAGTGCGAAGTCTACAAAGCATGAGATGGAATCTCAAATGAAATTTACAAGGGATTGGATGTTTCTACTTTAAAAAAGATTTGTAGGCAAACAATTTTGGTGGCTTCTTTCCACTCAAGTTTTCTAGCCAGTGTGAGAGCCTGGAGCAACTGTAACAATGGCAGCCACTGGTGGCTCCAAAGTTTCATGATATATAATTATATTTCATGATATATCTTGTGTGGCATTCCCTCTCTATCTGTGAGCTGGGGTAAATTTTTAGGGTTCGTCGCGGCAGGGGATCCCGGATGAGGGCCTCGATCAAGAGCAAGTACGAGGGCGGAGCCGCGGGGGAGGCGGCCACGGCCACGCTCGCGCTCGGGGTAGGCGATCTCAAGCTCAAGGCGTCGTGCACGGATGCCACATTTGGGTCGCGGTCGCCAGGCGGCCTGGCGGCGGCGGGGGTGAGCCTGGGCGTGGAGAAGCCCGGCTGCTTCATCATCGACCACGAGCTCCAGCCGGCGTCAACGCGCTTCCAGTTCATGAGCGCCGCCAATGTCGCGGGCAAGCAGGTGAAGCTCACGTACATTCACCCGCAGAAGCGCAACGCCACGCTGCTCGAGGCGACGCTCGCCGTGGATCCGCGCAACAAGCTCACGGCGAAGTATAGCTTTGCGTCGGGCAAGGGGCAGCTCAAGTACTTCTACCAGCATCCATCGCGCCTCACGCTGGAGCCCGCCTATGATTTTGGGACCGAGTCGTGGAGCTTCTCGGCCTCCAAGAAGATGGCCGATTGCCACACCTTGAAGCTCGCCTACGAGGCGCACCGCAAGGTGCTGGGTGTGGAGTGGATCAGTGATGATCCCAGGCTGGGGCCTTTCAAGGTGGCTGCGTCTGGGAATCTGGACAGCTCCAAGCCTCCCAAGTTACTGCTGGAGAAGACCTGGAACTATGAGTTATGATATTCTTTTTTGAGGTTTCCTTGAGTGTGTCTTTTTTTTCAAGGGGCAACTTTGGGGACAATATTCCCACTGCGACTATTCAAATAAGCTAAAGCTCTTGTTTGTGTGAGGGGGATTATATAAAGAAAGGATGGCGGATCTAGCCACATTTACAAAACAATATTTTTTGGTTAGCATTTTTGTGACCGAAAACGAAGTAATGAAGTATAGACTAAGAAATTAAAAAAAAAATGTTTTGAACAATTTTTTTAGGGGTAAAGTTGTGCATAGAAAAGGATTTATATTTTTTAGATATTAGTTTATTTCCTATATTTCATATTTAATTGATAAATTGACTTATTTTGAGTTGTATTTGAATGTTCAATAATAACAAATAATAAAAATTAAAAGTGTTAATTAATATTGCTATATGTATAAGTATTAATTATTATCTAAATTTCTTCAAAGTATATTTTGTTTAAATCATATGCAACATAGCATCTCAACTTACATAAATCAATTGCAGACAGTTTGAATCATTTTCAACTCTTCCTCAAATTTATATATTTTAATGTAATTGCTATTAATTTTTTAAATTTAAATTTATTATCAGTATTATAAATAATAATAAAAGAAGATAATAGTAACATACATTTTCTTCCCATTAGATTTTTCGTTTAGCATTTTGCCATTTAATCCCTTATTGAGCATTATGTCTCATATAATTAATTTAACAAAATTTTATAAAATAAAATATAAAATGCCCCCTAAGATTTTCAATAATAGTTATTTGTCATAAAGTTTCTCATCTAAGACCGAGTGTTAATTGAAATATTTCATCCTTTGCTTAAGCTTTTTGTGCACATCATTCTCTAAGCTATACTCACACTTCTGTTTAACCATCTTGAATGAGCTCTTATATGTTTATTCTAAAATAAATTAATCATGAAATAATTTTTAGTAAAAAATAAAATTTATTTTAACACTTAAAGCCATATTAATATTGTGTGTGAACAACCTTTCCTTTAGGTTTTGCAGTCAAGCTTAAACACAATGTCGCTAATTAAAATATTACAAGACCAGAGTGCCCGTAAAGACATGCTCAGCAGGCCCACTCATGTAGACGTGGTGATCCGACGCTCTCCATTCCACTTCCAATTTGCCCCCGGGCAAATCCACAATGCAGTTCTAAGAAAACAAATTATAAACATGTCTGTGTGTGTGTGTCTGTGGAGAGAGAGAGAGAGAGAGAGATTTTTTCATACCTTTTTAGCTCTTCCTTCCAGCACAGCGGCCACAAAGGCAGCACAAGCACCCGTTCCACAAGCCAAGGTGATCCCTGCGAAGAAAAACACTAGTTCCTTTGAGAGAGCTTCAATCTCTAGGCACTTGCCTGCGCCTCTCTCCCACACTCGAACTTTTAAATGAGAAAGAGAGATCACTTCCACAAACTCTGCGAAGAAAGAAAACAGTGGCACATATCAAAAGGAATTTAAAAAAGAGCCAACCTGCATTTGTTTTCTGGGGAAACTTTTCATGGTTTTCAAACAGGGGGCCGATCTTCTCCAGGGGCAAAGTACTAAGATCAAACAAATGCTGCACAGAATGGGTTTTGGTAAGAAAAACTAAACAAAAGAGTGTTTTTTTTTTCCATAGATTTTCACCTCTTCGTGTTCTTCTCCAAAGGTTACGCAGTGTGGATTTCCCATGCTCACACAAGTCACAAGCCACGTCTTGCCGTCCACCTCGAGTGGCTTTTGGATGACAGTTCCATCAAAATGCCCGGGCAGCAAAGTTGGAATCCTGTTTCCATTGAGAATCGGTATTCCCATGTCTACTAGCACCTGGGAGAAGGAAGAAATCTAAGAAAAAATGTTAGAGTTTGCGTAAAGAGGGAGCTCACCTGGCCGTCCTCTTTCAACGTTGGAATGATAGTCCCAGCTCCTGTGTGTATTTTATAACTGGGAGCTTGTTACAAGCTAGGAAATACGCTTCTTTCAGGGAACTCAAAGCGAGAAAGGATACCTTCGATTGCTCGTTATTGTTCTTCCCTCGAGTTCTCCTATGAATCGAGCCATACAACGAATCCCATTGCCACACATCTACAAGTCCATGGAGATTAAGAACAAAAAGAGATAGGAGTAAAACGTTTGCCTCTGGTTGGCTGCCGTCGGGGTTATAGATATGCATTGTGTAGTCACAGCCATGGACGCCAGGCATGACGAGAATGACTCCATCGCTCCCGACTCCAAAGTTTCGGTTGCAAATCCTTACGGCATCTTCTTTGGAGAGTTTTGGTTCGGGAGACTCGCGATTATCCACCTAAAGAAGTTGTCAAACCATCAGACAATATATCTCTTTGCAAAGAAAGAATGAAACACCAAAATGGAAGTAGCAACTTACAAGAACAAAGTCGTTTCCCAGACCTTGGTACTTGGAAAACTCCAAGCTTCCCTGCAATGACAATAGGAAAGTGTCCTCACTCTCTGCAAAGAAAGAAAGAAAGAAACGCTACGAGAGACTTACCCGAGAGCTCTTTCTCGTCGATGCCAAGTGACCCAATGGCTTGTGCTGGACCGCCATTCTCACGCTTGGCCTTGCATCGTTCCTGGCCTTGCGCAACGAAGAAATGCCACAACAAGGAGCCCAACGTTGAGAAGCGGCAGCCATGCTTCTAAAACCCTAGGTCATTCCAGAGTTTTACTTTACGAAAGTGCCACGTTACCTTTAAAAAAGATTTTGCCCTTAATTTGATGGGATGAAGGTTTAGGGTTTTCGAGCGATGGCGATGATTCTTCGCAGGCGCTTGAGCGATTCTCTCCTCCGGCTGCGCCCCCTGTCTCGCGCATTCTCCGATTCTACTGCTCCCACCCCCGGCGCTGCGGCGCCATCGGATTCACAGCAATCAGAGGCTCGGCCCGTGCAATTGGTCCCTCCTTTGCCCGTTGTTCCCGAGAATTCCTTCTGGACGACGCTCTCTCCATCCTCGCGCACTGGTGAGTGAATGTATATTATTTTTGTGTGTCTTTCCATCTGCATTTTTTGCGATTGATTGGTCGTTTGAGCGATGTGCTCGCAGTGTTTCCCAAGGACGTGAATGAGTACAGCATTCGGGATTTTCTCAAGTGTTTCGAGGGCTTTGATGTCTACCATGATAAGTTGGCCCGCAAGTGCAAGACTTTCAAAGACTTTTTGCTGGTCAGGGTCAAGGTTCTCAAGAAGATGAAAATGCCTCGCAATCACGTAAGCTTTGCCTGATTTTCTTTTTGGATTTGGTTTCACTACGTGTGGTTCTTGTTGCAGAGAAAAACCATAATCAAGTTCACGCACCGGTACAGAATGGGCATCTGGAAACCAAAACCACTTCCTCGAGCGTCGTAGCGAACTGAGATGGTTTGTCCGATTTCGAAGATTTCGAAGAATTGGTTTTGAAGTTTCTTTTGGCCTTTGCAGGAAGGATTTGCATGCTGCTTTTTGCTGGACAGTATCCATTCCTCCGTGGAAGACTGGGAAAGACGATCGTAGTCCTCCAACTGGACTGGTTGGCTTTTGTGTAATCACAACTCATGTCTGAAGGCGCTGTGACAGTGCAACTTCAAATATCCTTTATGTTTCTCTTTCATTTTCTTTCTTTTTCTGTTTCCAGAGTTTTGACAGGCTAAATGCTTGAAGAGGAGTACCAATCAAAAACACTCGACTCCTCTGGCCCGAGACAACGACAACCAGAGAGCTCGAGACATGCTCCACCGGTCAGTCGGACAACGCAAGTAGCTCTTGCGCCATCTTCTCGTCCAAGGTGCGTCGTTTATCCCTTTCCTCGTTCGAACTCGCCACTCACAAGCGCGAGCGGATTGTGACGTCCAGGCTTCCAAAAGCGACTCTTTGGCCCACGAGACAGAGGGACACAGACGTCCCAAGCTCCCAAGTCACGGACGTTGAGACGCGCTGGCAGCGCCAAAGGATCCGCCAAATCCTGCTCTGGAAGAAGAGAGAAGGATCTTTCCGGGAGTACTCGGGCCCAGGAGAGAGACACGGCAGCCTTATAAAACTAGTTGTGGACGCATCCAGCGGGCGATAGGAGGAGGAGGAATACTTACATGAGAAGAAGTGCTGGAGCTGCTGCGCTACCCGTGACCCAGTCGTGGCGTATCTTTTGGAGGTATTCCGCGACACGGGTGGTATAGTCCTGCTCGAAAATGCCTAAGCTTTTGCAGATTCGTTGGCTTGCTGCCACAGTACTGGACGAAGACGTACGTGTGTATATGTGCTCCTTCACGTGAATTCTTTTTTATCTTTTTCTTCTTGAGTGGTGAGAAGTCGTGGGGTGATTTTGTCTGGATGAATTTTTGAGGTTCTTCCAGCTTTTGATAAAGAATGGAAACTTGGGAAAGGTTTTTGAGGTTGATCATGGTTCTTAGATCGCCCAGGCTTTAAACTAGTAGTAGCTTATCATCATCAAGCTCCTGTGAGTGTGCCAGAGTCACGGGAAGAGAATCAAGCAAGAGTCCAAACAGAAGCAAACAATACTCTTTTCTTCTGAGTACTTTCTCCTTCTTCTTCTTCTGCTTCTACTTCTTTCGTCTTCGGATTCTTATATCTTGCAGCAGTGATTCTATGCCAAGACAATATTTTATAATATCAATTGTAATAAAATACTGCGAGGTAATATTAAGAAACAGATATTTCCGTTTTTAAAATAAAAAATACACGATAGGTGCACAGAGCCCAAAAGCGTTTGTAGAATGTGTCTGTCGTGAATGTTTGTCTGTTTGAAAGGAGGAGAAGGTTCTTCTTGACCCCACGCGGTACGTACGTGGAAAAATTTCCATAGTTATATTCTTCAAATCTCTACATTGGCCATTTGATTACAAACAACAACGTGCTTATTAGATCTCTTGGAGGATGCACAGGCAAAAGAAAAGGCCCAAAACAACAAAAGGGCATCACATCAGATTCGCAAGTTGCCAGGTTCAAGCATTTATAAAATAGTCTGGGTATTTGCACACAGTTCTTTTGTAGCATATTCGTCAAGTTATCGCGATCAGAGCCCCAGAATGGATAATTTCCTCATAGAAACGGTGGTGGTGGAATAGAACGGGATACGTATACATGCATGTATGTACACATATAACATAAAACCACGAAGAAGATTCCAAGGATCCACTCACTCACACAGAAGTAGAAGAAGAAACTGAGCACAAAACAAACAATATTATGGCGTACACAGTACTTATAAACTTTGGCAGCCGCAGCTGGAGTTTCAGCTACCTATCTACACCTACGCCTATACATATACGTAACGTAGACTTTCGCTATCCGTGATTGGAGTGGGTTTAAGCTACGTGATCTTCATTCTCATGAGTGATCCGCAACCATTTTCATCTGGCAATAAAAGTTGACCGGGGGTTTGTTTTGCGTGAAAAACAAACCGGTCTCTTTCTTCGAATCCTTTTCTTTCCCCCAGACCTGTTAGAAGGTTAGGGTTGTTTGCGCCAAAAGACGAGCTTCTGTACCGCGTAATCCCTTGCTTTCTTCGTTTAAAAACCAATCTGGATGTACGTCTAAGAAGATCTTCGTCATCCACTTGGTTTTGAGCCGTAATAATGCTCTACGCAGGAGCCAGCCACCACCACCTTTTGAACAGCGAGTTATAAGATGGGTATTATAGAGACAAGCAGCGCAGCCACACACACACACTCTCACACATATATCGTTTTTCTGGGACCACGTTATACGTACCGACGAGGCTTCCTCCGTACAAGGTACACCACCCGTGATTCTTCAGGTTCTTGTTCCCGCTAATTATTCGTGCTTTGTTTTGGAGAGGGAAGTTTAGAGAGATTTCAAGAGGATCATGGACGGAATGGTGTAGATATTTCTAAAGATCTATATGATGCTTTGATAGTCTTGCGTACCCATCCATGCGACCTACTGCCGATGGATGCAAAAATGCAAGCTTGATGATAGATGCTGCCTCTCTCTTCTTTGTGTTGGTCGGGTCTGCGCGTCTTAGTTGAGGATTTACAAGGTGATAAACTGGTTCTTGAATGACGATTAAAGTTTGTAGCCTTCTTATATATGAGCTGGTAGCACTTCGTGAAACTCTATACTTTATGCAGGGGGGCAGTGTGTCTTTGTCTGTGTTATTGTTGGCGTATGGAAAGTATTTACCACCAAAGTTGTTATCCCGCAGTGTCTAGAAACAAGTGATCATTCAAAGATGAAGAATTCAAACCAAGAGAACGATTTGGAAACGCTCTTCTTTCCTTCTCACAATATCGATCAATAAAACGCAATCAAGTCTTCCAGAGATCTCCACGGGATTGAGCTCCTTTAAAACCACACCAAGTCAATCAAGCTTCCTTCTTCTTCCATCGCAAAGACGAGCCGAGAGATCACTCTATATCATTTACGTAACTATGAAGACAACGAAGGCACATTACGTTACATGTACACTTAAAACTCTACGGTGGTCATGGAGGAGCGAAACTCGTGACTCTCTCGCCTTGCAAGAGCCAGGCTTATGCGGGTAATTGCTGGGATTAAGACGCACTACACAAGACAACAAAGATCTCACAGGGGGGAAGCAAAGACGTGAACAAGCGATCGCTTTCTTTCAATCAAGCTTCACCCTCTCCAAATCTCTCGGAGTCTACTCATCATCAGATTCTGCATTGAATGCCAGAAAGGGGAATGCTTCCCTCATTTGTCAACTTTTTGGATTAGAGAGTTTATCACTAATCACACTTAAGATGATCCTGGCCTCTAAGCAGCAGGGAGTACTTGCGATTAGTGGCTTAAGCACAGGAGCGTGGCTGCATTGCATGGGCTTTCTTTGTACTAACGTGGACTTTTTTGCAAAGGGGATTTGATGTGTAGCACGAACCATCTGTCTTTCCAGAGATTCAATGACCTCTTTGCCACCGATTATTTAATGAACACACGCGTATCCCAACGACTTGCTTTGCTATCTATGTTCTTCGTTTTCCATCGTACCACCTATCTAGAGCTCTATGGAATTTTCTTTCTCCTCCTTTTCGTCTGCTGTCCGTAACAAAAATGGGTTCCTTTCGAGTAAATTCCCTGTTAAGCAAGGAGCAAAAGAAAGAACAAGTCCAAGAAAGAAACGAGCTTGAAGAACCCTTGTCCCTGAAAGTTACAAAGAATGTCTTTAAATACTTTCTTACACAAGTAGTATATGTATACAGTGTCATATATCTCAAATCATGCACAGTTGATGGCATGAAGAACATGGAATAGTTACAGAGCCATGGCTGCAGCTCCAGCATACTCCAGTGCAGCAGCAATTCTACTGCCACCACCACCACATCAATTGAATCAGTAGCCTACTCCTGAAGATTATCCATAGTGATCATTAATCTAACCACACCGCACTGCGAAATTCATGATTCCACTGTTGCATGCAAATAACTTCCAGAAGAAACAAACAAAGACTAGAAGAAGCAAAAGGAAGAAAAAAGAGAGAAGAAAAGAGCGCGGCTTTTTGGAACAATCTGGAACACTAAAGTCTTCGTCTTCTTCTTTCTTCTTCCTTCGTCTTTAACAGACAGATTCAATGCACACCCTTTCCCCTTTGATCGACACGAATAGGAATCGCAAGAGTAAAAAGAGAAAAGAATCCATTTAAATCGATCCTGGATCTCATGATCCATTCAGATGCAAACTCTATCGTCTCGTGATGCTCGGAGCTTGAGCCATGGAGCCTCGCTGCGAGTGGACGGCATGAGCTCCAGCTCGATCTTGGCGGCCTTGATCACCGCCGCGTCTTGATTGTCGGCCTGCTGATCCGGATGCAAGCGTTTCCTCCCATGCAAAACCACTCCAAACAGCTTCGGACCGGCAGACTTGATCATCCCACCTGGACTCGTGTGATCATCTTCAACATCCCGTTGCTGATCATCAACGCTAGCTCTCCCGGGAGATGATGGTGAAAGCTTGGCAGCCGGCCTCGCGGCTGCCGCGGCACTGAGCTCCCGCAGCTTTCCATCCACGAAATCGATCGTCGAGGCCCGCGGAGCAGCGGCATCCATCCCCAGCAGCTTGCTGCTCCCGACAACCATACCGCCTCCAATTAAGCTGGAAGTTTGGTGTTCTTGAGCCGACAGTGGTGACGGCGGAGGCATCTGGTGTCGGAGGAGTTGCGTCTGCCTGCTGGTGGCGGCGGTGGTGGCGGAGCTCATCATCATCGCGCTGGTGCGGGGGAAAAGACGATCGTGATCCCCGGCACTTACACCGACAGGACTGGACCTCATGTTGTGCTGAAGGAAGAGCAGCGCGTCGTCGTAGAGCTTCTGGAGCCTGGCCAGCTCCGAGAGCAAGATGCAGTTGTCTCGGCGGAGCCGCTCGTTCTCGTCGGACAGGGAGAGCGATGTGGCCGTGATCACTGCTGCAGTGCTGCTGGCGCTGCAAATGCCCCTTGGAGAGTGCAGTGGCGACGACGACCATGCCGCGGCTGCTGCTGCTGCTGCTGCTGCTGCGCTGGAGTTGCATGCAAGCTGCTGGGGATCGTCGCCGGATGTGGAGGGCGAGAGCGAGCCGTAGTGCTGGAGATGCGCTAGCGAGCACTGCGCCTTCCTCCGGTGAATCTCGCACAGCAAATGCCGCTCGCCCTTGCGGAAGAAATCGTTGGCAAACTCCCATCTGTCGGGGACAACCTTGCGGAATCCCTGCAAGAAAGCAATGATAAGATGATCAGATCAGAGAACAAGTGAGAGCGTCAAGGTGATTCGAGGGACTTACATAGGTGTTGAGCTGCCGCACGAAGCTGGAGAAATTGTTGTGCTTGAAGTAGTTTGGGAGCAAGTCGCGGGCGAACTCTGGCGGCCTCCACACGACGAAGGTGGAGCCGTCTTCGCCCCACGAGACGATGTCGTTGGAAGCGGCATCGTCGACAAGCTGATACGTTTTGGTCAGGAATGGCGCCGGCACAACTCGGTGCGAGTCCACCGATAGGACGCAGCCATCGCTGCTGTCGAACGAGAGGGCCATGCTATCTCTCGACTCAAGATGTAGTTCCAGTTCTTCTCACACTACTCACAAGAAACAAATGCAAGACTGTAGATTTGGTAACTCTCGATCTCGGTCTCGATACTCCTACGAAAAGAATGAAATGAATCGCAAGGGAGCCTGGGCTACAAAGAAGAAGAGAACGAAGAAACGATTAACAATGACGCGATGGAGCTCGCGACGATTTCTTCCTTCCACATATGCATGATCGATACACAAGCACAATGAATCGAAAAGAAGAATGATCTAGAGAAAGCGAAAAAAAAAAAAACAAAACACGCTAGCCTCTTTTCTCTTGCGCTTCGTTTTGACACGCACAAAATGCTGTATGGGCATTCAAGCCCGGAGAGTACAGGGCTGGTATATACCAGTAGATAACACGGAACTGACGGGCTTGAAGGGCGTGAAAACCGTTAGGTTAAAACCTAGACCGCGAATGGTAACCTACGCTTTTGGTTTTACCGCCGTTCACGGCGGCGGCGGCACGGTACACGTGTCAGTCTAGATTGTAATAATTACTTTAATCTAACAGCTCTGCTTAGCTTGTAGAAACAGTTTTAGTTATCAGTTTAATCTAAACTGCAAATAATTCCCGTTTGCCTCTCTCTTTGAGAATCTATGCATTGATCTCTTCAATAGCTTAAACAAACCGTCCCTGAAATCATTTGCGAAGACCAGTCCGACTTCTTAGAGAGGATTTCTTCGCTCTCCAACAAAACGAAGAAGTGTACTCTCCCCTGTTCTTGGCCAAACCAGCAAAAAAAGAAAAAAGGATTTAAAACCACAGGAACAAAGAATCGGAAGAAATCACTCACCCAACATCCAATCCAGCTCTCGATCTCGATCGACCCGCATAAAAAAAGTTGTAGCAATCCATGGCGCCTTGAAACTTATAAAAATCTCGCCATGCGAATTGATGTCTCATCCGGCTTGCTTGTCGTCGTCTTTTCATGTCAACGTCGATTTCACGTAACGCCTACTACTCGTCTTCTTGTTTGAGCTTTTCTTCTTCCTGTTATACTTATCTTTTTTCGCTTGCTCTTGTTGGATCAACACGGCCTGCACAACCACCGAGACTTGTATCCAATTAGTTATCTGGAAACGAGGATACCCACCGCTCTCTCGCTCTCCCCCTCTCGCCTCGCGTTGATGGAGTTTCTAGACATTCGATGTTCTCTTGCTTGTCTTTGGTAGACACGCGGCGCCCGCGACTACTCTCGAAGCTTTGGAATTTTAAAACAATGCTTGTGCTGCGCGGGAAATGGCGAAAGCGGTGAGCGCGTCTGATGGACACGAGAAATGAACAAGGATCCTGAAAACACACGCAAAGGAAGTCAGCAGTAAACAAAGGAAGAAGAAAAAGAAAAAATCTTTTTCACCGCGAAGAATTGGTAGCCATGAAACTTTTCTTCTTCGCTGCTGTTTCCCCGGACGGCCATGCATTCTCTCAATCACGGTAAAAAGTTGTCAATATACTGTAGACAACGGGCATCAGTAGTATTCACGTCCTGAAAATACGAGCCCAAACTTAAGAGGATTTACCATCGTCATCGCCTGGGCTAAGAAGAAAACACACAAGACGTTGGAACAAACTCTAGACAGTAAAAACAAAAATTCACCTGACAACATTCTTAGCTCGTAAGGAAGAAAGGCGAGAATGCGTCAAGGAGCCAGTAGAGACGCAAACAACAGTCCGCTGTAAATGTAAATCCTGCCAAGCCACACTGAGTAACAGGAGCACAAAGAAAAAGTTACCTGAAGCAACAGTTACATCATTGGCCAGAGGACGTTGTTGCATATACCCAATCCAGCCAGATCCATCAGAAAATGCAGCTTGAGATTTCATAAGGCTTGATGTTCGCTGGCAGATAGAAAGCGACTCCTTGAAGTGTCTGAGGAAGGACAGCTCCATCCATAAAGACGTTGAACAGGCCACCAAGCTGAATAAAATAATGTATTCAGCTCCTCTGATCCTGTGGTGGTGAGCGCGTGAGTGGTGAGTTTCTGGAGCATGGAATGCTTCCTCCGCCCGAGCCTCCTTCCTTTTATCGGTTTCACATTTCCTGTTTTAAGTCAAACAAGCAAGTGTCAAAGGCTGTTCAGGAATTTACCAAAATGTACCAGTACTCAGACAAATACCATACAGTAACTGATGTGTACCAGGGGCAGCAATGGAGCACGACAAAGAATACGACGCCCTTGAAGACTCTGGCCTCCCTTGTACATATTTAGTTTCTCTAGAGAACACCGAAGCCATGTAGCTTAAGTATTAGTAGTGTAAAGAAAAACGAAGGACCACCACCAGACCGGACGGGGGGCCTTGGAGCGCGGCACCACGGTGTCTAGCAAAATCTGGCCGACTTAAACTTGAGAGGATACGCAAAGGAGTTGGAGTAGGAGAACCTGATAACCATGCCGTGCTCGAGAGGATTACCGTTGTTTACCAGGCAATCGTCGTAGTTGACGCGCTTGAAAACTTTGGGATTGACCAGAGGGGCCGAAGCAAACCACCCGCAAGCCAAGTGTATGTCCCGAGGAGCACAAGGGGACATGCAACTGTTGACGATCTGAACAGTGTACTGAGGAATCCCAGGCGACCCATCCTGTCTTTGGGAAACGCTAATGTCTGTGTAGGTACAAGCACGGCGACCTGCAGGCGAACGTGGAATGCAGTAAGATAGATCAACCATTGGAAAGAACAGAAAAAGAACAAAAACAAAAAAAGAGACCAACACGTTCAAGTATACGGAGAAAAGTGATCGAAACAGTCGATCCTGTATTAATAGAGGAGCAAATTACACGCACGAAAGAGGGGAGAAACAAAAACTAGCAAAGGTCTCCGTTTATACAATTCCAGGAGGAGGAACTAGGAGCTGCAAAACTGTGGGGGGCTCTTATGTACACAAAGCAAAGGAAGAAAAAAAAAACTCTCCACAACGCCACCATCGTTACGAGGTATAACGAAAGCGCACCAGAAGAAACGAGGCCAAAACTGACACCAGCGGGCTCGGGGGAAAAACTTACTGGCAACTCTTGGCTGAGGAGACTTTCATCGGGTACTCAAAGGAATTGGCATACTGGAAGTTGACACTATCACCCCCTTTGATTGCCTTCCCGTCATTGACGAGGCAGTCATCGTACTTAAGCCGCCGGAAAATCTTTGGGTTGACAAGCTTGGTTGAGGCAAACCAACCACACGAGACATGTACGGCGGACATAGAACAGTCATGGAGACACAGGTTGATAATCTGGACGGTAAACGTTGGGATGCCATTTGGAAGAGGGGCGGACTGGCCTTGAAAAATGCTAATATCAGAGGTCGTGCACGAATCGGCAAGGCGGTCTGCAATGGAAAACTACCTCCCATCAGCATGTAGTAGCACTCTCTCCACACAAGCAAACAAAGGCAAAGCAAAGAAGCGGACACTCGGAAGAACTCACGTACAAACAAAACGCAAGCCAAGCAACACGACACTAAACTCTTATCAGCACAAGAAACGAAAGAAAAAACTATACGGAAGGAAGAACCACGTACCAGCAGTGCTAAGGAGCTTCCGGTTTCTCATGAACTGATGATTGAAAGGATGATAGCTTGCAGTGGTAGCATTCGCCTCGCTATTAACACCAACGGTGGATATGGAGACTCCTGTGTGAAAAAGAAGCAATCGATGAGAAAATTCCAGTGCCCCATTCATGAACATGCAAATCGATGGGTACCTGGTCGGCTGCCAAACATTTGATCGGATCCCAGGAAAACGAGGCCGAGCAAGGCGATGAGGAGTAGACTAGCGGCGGCGGCGGCGGCGGCGGCGGAGATGGAGCATCCAAGGGGCCTGCATTCTCGTGCCATGACGCGATGCGGATGATCCAATCCTCTCATGCAGTCGCCGGCGATGAGGATTATCGTTGATCGAGTGATCGGACCGGAGAAAGAAGTCGAAATTTCAAGCTTGCGATGGCTGCATGGCGCAATTAGAGAAGAAAGATCTGGCGGAATTTCGGCCGCTGGAGCGAATGCGCGGGCAGGAAACGAGAGATTTCACACAGCGCACCCGGCGAGCAAGCCCTAAGAGCGATCCATCCCGGGGAATCGACGAGAGATCGGTGGATTTGAAGGCGCCGAGCAGGGAAAAGATTCCAGAGGGGCGGCGCTGGGCAAGCGCGACCGATGTGGAGACCGATGTGGATCCGATGTGCCTCCGCCGTAGAGAAGCGCCGAGAGAAGCGCTAGAGCGTCCAACGCTTTGTGAAACCTAAATGTGGATCATTGGAGGAAGAAGAAAGAGAGGAGAGAGAGAGACGAGCACGAGAGCACGAGAGCACGCCAGAAAATGGAAGACGAGAGGCCTTAAGGACAGGGTGCAGGTGGAAATGTGGCCCTGTCCTAAACGACCTCCGCGATCCAACGGCGGGGATGCGCCCATTGGATCTTTACGTTTCAGTTTTTATGTTAGTGTAACGGGGCTTTTACTGCGGTGTTTAATTCCAGTCACCCCCAGTTGCTTTTAATGGATGGAAACGAGCGGGCGGCCACCGGTCACAGTCTCGATTCCCTCCAAGATCTCCTTAGAAAATTGGCGATTTTGATGGAAAGGGGAACTATTTGATAAAGTTGACAAGCACGTTGAATCACGTAAAAGATCGTCTTTACAATAAGCGGCGTGCTAATTTTTTTGGCTTATAATGATCCTTTCGGGAAATGGAATCTTTCCTGATCGTGGAATAACAAAGCAAGCATATGCGAATAGATTAGAGGATTTGTCCCATGATGGAGGCATTGTCGTATCGAGTCTCCATATCTTTGCTGCGGATCCTTCCTTTTGTTTGGAAGCAAGCAACGTGTGTGGAAAATGGGTATATCGCCGCGATGCACGCCACACATTGACAGGGCCACGGCATTCAAGGAAAAATCAAACCTATCATTGGAAGGATCTGTCAAGCTTTAACATAATTGGTTAGAAAAATCCACGCCGGAAGAATCGGACGGCGCACGCGCTGCTTGAAAATTCCGGATCGTAATCCTCTAGTAGTTGGAACGCACAGATACCGTTAAAGAATAGTCTATAAAAGAGATGAAGCTTCGACTTAAACAGTTTGGACTGTCGGGTTATGCTTTGAGCCAGGGGCCAGAAATGGGAACCGATTTTGGCCACCCTGATCATCACTCATCCATCCAATACACCGCCACCAAAATATATGTGCTAGATCTTGGATCAGTGTGCGTTACAAAGGCTTTTTATTGGCTTCTAGTGGCAGCCTTTAACTGTTAGGCAAAAATGGCCGTTAGGGGACTTTTCCAACTTCCAGCTTACCGGAAATTGGCGGGGAAGGGATTCGATCCCGCGACCGCTCGCTAGTACGCGAGGAGCATTCCAAAGCGAAACAAGGCTAGCACTGTGGACGTGAGCAAAGACCACGAGAGGAGCGTCCACCATGCGAAGAATTGCGCTGCTTGTGCCACGAATCCAAATCCTCCTGGAGAGTTTGAAGATGGCGATGGCGATCGAGAGAGGCCCGCGAAGAGGATGAGCAGCACTGCCGGGACCAAGTTCTGGACTGCTACCCGGCACATGAAGTGGTTTACCACCAAGATCTTGTGCTTGAGCGCGGCGGCGTCCGGGGTCTTGCTACCGTGCAAGCTTTCGTACCACGCGAGCACTCCCAAGTTGAGATACGCTTGGACGTTGATCCGGAGCAGCAGCAGCTGAATCACTCCTGTTAAGATCATCCCGACGAACTTTAGATCCTGGAAGGTCTCTGGAGAGAATCCTACGCTTCCAGCCCAGTCTTTGCCTTCAAACAGACTTCTTCGTTGCCATTGCCACCCGGTGCTGCCATGGTCGATGGAGTTCTTCTCGGGCAACCGGATGAAGAGATCGGCCATGGGTTTCAACCAAAGTAGCGTTGAGACTACCGGGAGGACAATACCGAGGTTGAGGAGAAACTGGCTCCAAACGCTGGTTTTCATGACCGAGATATCGCATCCAAGCTGGTTTGTTCCAATCCAGAATGATCTCACGTACTTGAGAACCGGCCCGAGGAAGAGTCCCGTGAGCCATGCCGCTCCAAAAGCTATGGCTAGCCGAATTGCCGTGAATGATCGCTTATCGATTCCAGCTCCAGCCACTGCCCGTTCCAGCCGGAAGTCGATGATCTCGCTTGGAACCACGAAGAGGAAAATGGTGGCCAGGATGAATCCCAGGAGCCCGACACCGCAGCTTAGAACCCACTCCGAGTTCCTGGAGGAGTGCTTGTCCCAAGAAACTTTGGAGAGAATGTGGAGAAGCTTGAGCACGCAGAAGGTGGTGGCGATCACGGGGATGAATCCATCGCTACTGCTGCTGCTGCTCGAGCCCCCATTTTCGGATCCAGAAGATTGGAAGGAGAAAAACTCTCTAGCAACGAGGAGCGACACAGGCAGCGCAGCATACAACACTGCCCGATCGTACTCTGGATAGTACCTGGTGTTCTCCAAGTAGGAATCGCCGATTGTGACCCTCAGGATCTCCGATCCGCCCTCGTTCCACACGAATTTCTCCCTGGAGTTCTTCTTCCTGGAGGATTTCCTGTTGTCGTCACTGCCCGCCCTAGAACCTGGATTCCCGTCGGCCGGATCGTCCGGGAGCAAGTAGGCGTGCGATCCGAAGAGGCTGATCGCCGCGATCTTGCCCGCAAACACCAAGAACACCGTGATCGCCGACGCCGCGGCGTACACCCCGGCATTGAAGAGAGACATAAGGAAACCCTAGATCTCGAAAGAGAAATATTATTGCCAAATCGGGCAATGCCGCGAGATTCCTTGGCGAGCTAGCGATCTCTGGCGACATTGTTTGGCATACCTAAGAGAGGGTTAAAACCCTAGATCTTTGAATGCGTTGCGGGGATGGTGTTCTTTCCAATCATTCTGGCGATTGCGATGGCGCTGGGAGCTGGGGCGATCCGCGAGCACGGCGGCAGCACAGGTCAGGCGATCGATTGATCGGCATTGTATTTTCTTTGATTCACAGAGTTTTTCTTTCAGCTGTATCATCTGGGAAATTTGCTAACAAGTAAGAAGATTTTTGCTGCTGTCGATCCTTAATTCGTGTGGGATTTCCAGGTATTTGAGTAACACCGAGCTTGAGGATTGGCTCAAAGATTTCTCCGTGCGCTGCGGGAGAATTGCAAGGCTGAACAGGTCAGAGCTTGTCATTCTCTTTGCCAGAGAAAAAGAAAACGATAACATAGTTTGTATTGTATTGCAGCATTGGAACATCTGTTCAAGGCAGAGATTTGGTAAGTTTCCATTGTCTTCGTTCTCTCGTTTTAACTTTTTCTTCTTCTTCTTTTGTGCAGTGGGTGCTCGAACTTTCAGACATGCCTGGACAAGCTGAAGCAGAACCCGGGTTCAAGGTGTGAAATTTCTTTATTTCCTTTTATCTGTTTACCAAGTTCTCCGGCATTTTCAGTTCGTGGGAAATATGCACGGAGATGAACCAGTGGGCCGGGAGCTTACAATACGCTTGGCAGACTGGTTGTGTATGAATTATAAAAGGGATGCCATGGTAAGAGAGTGAGTTACAAGTTTGTAACGCGTTCTACTTCTATCTCTACGCAGGCGACAAGTATTATTGACAACGTGCACCTTCATCTTCTTCCATCAATGAATCCCGATGGATTTGCGAATCGATCGAGGAACAACGCTAACAATGTAGACCTGAATCGAGATTTTCCTGACCAGGTAGGTATTTGTGCATCGCCCTTGCTGCCAACGGTTAGCTCTAAGGGTGTTGGCCGTCCTCAGGTGCTTTGATTGCCGCCTAACTTGAAGAAGCCCTCTACAGTTTTTCCCTCAAAATAATAACGAGGCGAGGAGGCAGCCAGAAACACTGGCCGTAATGAAATGGCTCAGGCAGAATAATTTTGTAGCTTCTGCAAGCTTGCATGAGGTACTGTCGTTTTCTTTACCTTTCATTTTTTTAATTTATATATAATTTTGTTTACATCTCAGGGTGCTTTAGTAGCAAATTATCCATGGGATGGCAACGCAGATAAAAGGTTTTTCATCGTTAGTTTGAGCCAAACAAGTGTCTGACTTTCTAGTTTATTTGCAGTTCGAAGTACACGGAGTCTCCTGACGACTCTACCTTTCGTTTTCTTGCTTCAGTGTACAGCAAAGCCCATCGGAACATGTCTAAAAGCCATGAGTTTCCTGGTGGAATAACAAATGGCGCAGCATGGTTTGTACGTGCAGTTTTCTGGTCAAGCCTTATGTGCGTTGAATCTGGATTCAGGTATCCTCTCTACGGAGGGATGCAGGATTGGAATTATATTCATGCTCGCTGTCTTGAACTGACGTTAGAAATTTACGACACCAAATGGCCACCAGGAAGTCAGGTTTGCGTAAAGTTTTACGAAACGGGCCAGTCTTTACAGCTCGAGTGTTGGTTATTCAGATTGCACAAATATGGGAAGAGAATCGACAAAGCATGCTCGAGCTTGTTTCAAGTACATTCAAGGTAAATTTTTATTGATCTTAAGAAGCCCGAAATGATTGTAGTTCTTTCGTCAGAGTGGTGTGCATGGGAAAGTCTTCTCATCTGCAAGTGGGCTTCCCCTGGCTGCGACTATCCAAGTTGATGGCTTCAATCAAACAGTACGTCAGTAGTTTCAGGCAACTTTTGATTGACAATGAACTTCTGTGTGTCAGATTAAAGCAACTTCACAGTTCGGCAACTATCACAGGCTACTTCCTCCCGGGAAGGCATACAAAGGTAAAAAAAATTCTTCTGGCGAAATCTAAGCTTTAGCATGGATTCACAGTAACTGCAAGCATGGATGGGCATAGAAGCCGTTCGGTACATGTTTTGTCACCGAATGGCGAGTCTACAGCACTCGATTTTATATTGGACCCTATAGGTGGAGTTGGCCAGCAGCACAAACTAATGCGGCTCATGACAACGCACAACGACAGTGATACGATGGCGCTACTCTTATACCATTCCAAGTTCACGTTCTTATCCTTTCTCGGGGTGTTGGTCATCTTGTTCTCCTGCTTCGGGTGCAAGCGAAGGCTATGGTTACGGTCAGAAAAGTCTCCAGCAAAGGTTTGAAAGCAGCGCGCTGGCATGGGGACTTCAACTGGACTCCAGTGTTGTCCAAAGCTCTTGGAAGGCATAGATGAACTGGAGAGGCAGAGGGGTCTTGACGTGAAGCCGGAGGCAGTGCCGGGGTTGCTGAGGCAGTGCGGCGATTTCAAAGCTCTGGCCGAAGGCAAACGAGTCCACGCTTATCTTGTCCGGACGAGGTACCACAGGGACAGATATTTCGGCAATCTTCTGGTAGAGATGTACGGGAAGTGTGGCAGCGTCGAAGATGCAAGAGCAGTGTTCGAGAGCATGCAAGCCAGGAACGTCTATTCGTGGACGATGATGATCGCTGCATATGCCCAGAACGGGTGCTACAGGGAAGCCGTCCGGATGATGCACAGGATGGATTTGGAGGGCGCTAAAGCCGACAAGATAACTTTTGTCGCTGTTTTGGACGCATGCTCCAGCTTGGGCGATCTTTCCACTGGGAGAAGACTCCATGACCGAGTCCGTGATTTCCTGGATTCCGACGTTGTTCTGTGCACTGCCGTGCTCAACATGTACGGGAAGTGTGGGAGCGTGGACGATGCCAAGTCGGTGTTTGAGAGGATGACGAACAGGGACGTGGTGGCCTGGAACGCGATGGTGGCGGCGTATGCTCAAAACGGGCATTGCAGGAAGGCTTTCAAGCTTTTTGCAAGGATGGCGGCGGAGAAGGTCTCTCCCAACAAGAGCACGTACGTGAGCTTGCTGGACGCGTGCTCGAGCATGGCTGGGATTTCCAAAGGCAGGGAGCTCCACGGGCTGGTTGACAGGGCGGGCTTCTTGCGGGACCGTGTCGTAAGGTGCGCAGTGATCAACATGTATGGGAAGTGTGGCAGCGTTGACGAAGCAAGGCAGGTTTTCGAGGCGTTCCCGGACAGGGATGTTGCGCTGTGGAACTCGATGATCGCGGCTTACGCTCAGAACGGGCAAGGAGAGAAGTCCTTAGAAGTTTTCGAGAGGATGAAGGAGGCAACCAACAACGCGGGACCGAACGCGATCACTTTCGTGCACGTCCTGTGCGCTTGCAGCCATGCAAGGCTGATCGAGAGGGGCCGTAGCTACTTCGGATCCATGGAGACGGTGTTTGGGATCCAGCCGAGTTCTCAGCACTACCGATGCATGATAGATCTCCTCGGCCGCAGCGGGAACCTTGACCAGGCCTGGAACATTCTCCACTCGATGCCTTTGGAGCCGGACTCGTTGGCCTGGACGACGATGCTGAGCGCGTGTAGAGCTCACTCCAATGTGGAGCTCGGCGAGCTTTGTGCCGAGAGGCTCTTCGAGATGGAGCCGGAGTACTCAGCCCCGTACGTGCTGCTCTCCAACATCTACGCTGCGAGGGACCGCTGGAACGACGTCGCGAGGATCCGGAAACTCATGGCGGACAGGGGCGTGAAGAAGCCGAGTGGAAGAAGCAGCATTGAAGTCGGCGATAAGATTCACGAGTTTGTGGCCGGGGACAGAGCTCATCCTCGACGGGAGGAGATTTACCAGGAGCTATCGAGGTTGGGATCGCGGATGAAAGCTCTGGGATACATCCAGGACAGGAGCTCGGCGTTGCGAGATGGCGAGGAAGAGGAGAAGGAACAGATGCTGTGGTACCACAGCGAGAAGCTGGCCATCGCGTTTGGCAGCGTCGCGACCCCGGCCGGGAAGACCCTCTACGTGATCAAGAACTTGCGGGTGTGTACGGATTGTCACACCGCGAGCAAGTTCATATCCAGGATCACCGGGAGGGAGATTGTTCTGCGCGATCCGTACCGATTCCACCACTTTAGAGACGGGTGGTGCTCGTGTGGAGACTACTGGTGATTCGATTCGATCAGTGTGAAAAACGTATGTTTCCTATACATGATATATATATGAGTCTGAGAAGTACGTGATCACAAAGTATACGGGTGTTTCCACCACATATAATGTGCGCGATCACAAAGTATACGTGATAAGAAGTGTGTTTTCAAAATACATATACATTTTATATGTACGTGATCATAAAGTATACGTGGGAAGAAGTATATGGAAACAATGGACGTTCTTTGGAGGGGCATAATCATGGGACTGTCCAAGACGAGGTTCTTCTCCAGGTGGAGCTAGCAAGCGAAGAACAGTGCGGCTGATCGATCCCAACACGCCCATCAAGCAGCGATTGTGGCGAGTGAGAGTCGCCAGGAAGCTGAGACTGCGTCGATTCGTGGGCAGGATTAGCATTTTTCTACTCCATTAGCATCCTCAAATCGCTGCTCCGTATGTGAAGATGCTCAACCATGCGGGATTGTCTTTCATGGGGCATTACTTGGTGGGCAGCAATCCGATGTTGAAGAATTCTGGTATCACGAGCAACTAGAATCTGGAGAGATTTTTGCGAAGAGCGATCGCCAAAGGACGATTTGCGTCCCTGGATTTTGGAACGCTATTTCTTGATCGTTAAATATCCAAAACTAATCCTTTTGCTAAGCGTGTAATTGGCTGCATAGCGCAGTGGATTAGCGCGTCAGACTTCGGATCTGAAGGTCGAGGGTTCGAATCCCTCTGTGGTCGTGTGGTCGCGAGAAGTTTTCACTTCCAAAGTTTCTGGAGGGATTTCCCTTCTAGAGGCCATCTCTTTCTCTCATAGTACTGTATCCATTTTCTACAACAACAATGCTACAACGCCATTGCATGATGACCAAAATAATAATTGGAAAAATGCTTTACACAAAGTTGTCACAGCTAAAGCAAATTATGGAGATGATCTTGGATTAATTGATAAAAATTCTGCTAATAATTCTCACTTTATTTATAATTATTATTTAATTAAAGAATACAAATACTATAATGCTATTATCTATAGACTTGTGTTATTAATATTTAACTTAACAAAAAAATATTCAAGATATTATTAATATTTTGAATAAAGAAAACCAAGCATTTCCAGTTCAATACTTAATGATTCTAACAATTTTTGGGATATTTAGAGCTGTTTGAATTTAGAAATGAAACACTCCATCTTCAGCCAGCTTTAATTCTATCCCACTAAATAGAATGATAAAGGTGGTAACACCAATGTATACAAAATGGAGCAATTCTGTGTAGAAGAATTGATAACTATTAGCAAATCTAGTTGTCCCAGGAGATAAATGAAACCTCTAAGCAGGCTGTTGATGTATACATGTGGATTTTAAACACTTTATATATTTTTCTCTAGTATTAAAAGTATATAAAACAAAACTACAGATATTATCTTTGTAAGTTTTCCAATCATCCACAAGCAAAGACTACAGTGACTGGTGCACGGGAATCAAGGCTGGCCAAGATCTTGTTGCATGCATCAAGCACATGAGGATCTCCCTTGAATAGTCATGTTATAGGCATCACGTAATGAACTAAGTTCAGGTGTCTTCCCTGATCCTTTTCATTGCGTAACTATATTGGAGAGTGGAATCAATAGGTTGGACTTATATATAACAACCATTATGGTTTGAATTTGCAGAAGTTAATCAAAAGAATATCAATATCCAGCCACCATTTAAGGCAATGCTCATGTTACCATATGAATGTAACGCCTGCAAGACCATAGCCCAATCCACAAACTTGAAGTAGTTAAGGCTCAAGGCTGGCCTTCTCATCTTTTGGGACAGAGCCCATCTATAGATATAGATAAAGAGCGCAGCAGAATTCATCCAAACACGATGAGTGAAGAGTATGTTGGTTGGCAAGGCTCTCCTTCAGGAATTGAAGGTAAAATTGCCTCCAAGGCCAAAGGCGCAGGTGCTACAAGTTATCGAGAAGGCGTATGAAGTTGGTTTGCCGATGGAAGTATAGTTCTTAAAGAGAGATGCCGGTTGTTACATCTACAAAGTTACAGATACTTTCTACTAACGCTTCTGTTCCTGGTTACTCCGTCGGGTATGTTGTGGCTGTCTTTGTCTTTGAATCCTATGGATAAATTTGTAGGCTGTGTTTAATGCCACTGACAAAGCCTTTTCTGTTACAGCTCCCACGCTCGGTAAGCATGGTTTGCGTTCATTGTTTGCGTTCGTTGTGAGCACGCTATTCTTTTTTCTGGATAAGGCTAGCTCATGAATGGGTGCCTTTCTCGCACCAATGCCTTTAAATTACTATACTTAAGCTAACCCTTTGCTTAACATAAGGGTTTACCTTAATGTGGTTTGATTTGCAATATATTTAACATTTAATGTCTAAAACCCTTGTTGAATCGCCTTCCCTCCCAGCTCCCATTTCAAAGGCTCCGAAACCTCATAATTCGTGTGGGATTCTGGTTGGCAGTGTCTCCCAGAATTTCTTGCAGCACACGGCACAGTGCCAAGATCCTCCATGGATCATTGGTCATCACAAGAGGATTTAGGTGCCAGAGTGGAGCCACGATAGAGAACCAAAGGCAGATCCAGTGAGCGATGGAAGCGCTAAATGCCAGATCCAGCAAGAAATCCCTTATCCAGAGCTCTGGATACAGGGTGGCCCACTCACCACGCAGCAATCTCTTAAGGGAAAAATGGCAAGTTAACTCACTTAACTTACTTTCTAAAATTTTACGGTAAAGGTAAATATATGAGAAATATGTGCGAATTGATCCTCCTTAATATAAACTACCTAAATTTAACGGTAAGTATTAATAATTAGCTTAAAGCTTAAAATACCTAAAAAATCACCCTTAACTTCAAGGGTAAAGGTCGGTTGCTTGTTTGGAATTGTTTTCATCGCTACGCAGGACCTGACGAGGCCGGTGAGTTTTGAGTCCCTTAACTTTTGCATTATCCCTTAACTTTTTACTGCAGAACTGCCTATACTTTCTCCGAGGGATGAGCTTCGTAAGTCTCTCATAGCCCTGCCGGATCTGGATGGTTAGCGGAACTTCTATTTCCAGCCTTTTCCGGAACACTTGAGGTTCCCTGTTCCTGAGAACGTCTACAAGCAGCTGCCCTTGAACAGGGGTGACTGGCTTGGCCACTCGTATGAGCAAGTTTGTATGCAACATTCTCAACGACGTGTCTGCCGACGTTCCTGCCCCGGGTACAGAGAATGCATTCCATTACTCATACGATGCACTTATCACAGAACCAGTGCGTTTCTTTTATGGGGAGATAGTCGTTTACTTGAGGAACAAGAACTCGGAGAGATTGTTGAGGCCAGATGCTGTTTACGCATTTGGCAATGGCTACGTCCTATTCAAGGGCGAGGAGACGGGGGAAGAGGATACACCAGGAGATCCTGCAGATGAACTGGTGGATAACCATGGCTGGCCTTACGGTGCTTCTATTCCCTGCGTACTATGCCAGAGCATATTCTGGTTACGTTCTGTGTCCTCTATCAAGAGGATGGAGCGACACACCGGCTGGATCTACAAACGTTTGATATAAGGACTGCAGAAGGTCGCTTGCCTGAAGGTCGCACAGCTTGTCTACAAGCTGGAACGAATCTGTCAACTTTCGAGTTCGAGTGTGCTTGGAGCATGACTCGACCGAGTGGGAAAACTTTGGAATTCTACCTGGACAAAATGGTGAAGACGTGCCCGAATGATATCAAGGCAACGAGTGCGTGTCGCATGTATGCTTTGACCATTCGTTGAGAAGGCTTTATATGCGAACCAGGAAAAGCGCCACATTGTCTTTCAACGTGAGCATGATGTGATGCCGCGCTCAAGGAAAGATTGTCTTGCTTGTATTCTGCAGGCCTTGGTCTGGCTCCATAGCAGGAGCATCATGCACAGGGATCTGAAGTGGGCAACATGAATGCTCTTATTTGGTGGATAGCGGATTTTGATGACGCGGCAATGAGTCCCAGTGATGGAGATTGTTATTTAGAGCCATCCCTTCATACGCCTGAGATAGATGGAAAGCACGATTGCAATGTTGATATATGGGCTTTTGAATTTTTATGTTACTACTACTATAATGTCAGGCTTGTCAGAATTCAGAAAGTTGTGTCTCAGCAAGAATGCAAAGGCGGGGCCCACTGCTTCAGAATGTTTGAGGTTCATCAACCGTTTAGGGAAGAACAATGAACAATGAACTTTTGTTGCAGTAACAGGCACGTCTACAGGATATAATTGTTTATGATCTTTAATTTTTAAAAGATATTTTATTTCATTACCATGTGCTGGGGATATAGTTTGAATTTAGTGGTTTTGGGATACTATGGCCTTGGGTTTAAATAATATTGGAATGATTGACTTCCATCACATTCAAGAGCTTACAACTCACATTCAATTTGGCCACCTATGCTAAAAATCTAAAGTCAAAGAAGTAAGATCTTCTCGGTATAGATACTCATCGCCAGGTATAAAAGAGCTCAACATCATTATATCCACTATGCTTCTAGAACCTTATTGGCAACAAGCACGTTCCTCTCAAAGCTCCATTGTGAGCCATAGCTGCTATGGGCTAAATAGCTGATCACCTATGACTAACAATCTTCACCTCCACACCATCAGGCTAGAGCTTGTAGCTTGAGGATGATGATTTCTATTTTATTATCTAGATATATTGTGTTATTTTTATACCAACCATTAAAAAAATAAATCATTCATTCCAATAGCAATCTGTTTAATATGTACTATAGCGTAGTAATATTGCTTGTGAAGCCACGTTTTTAGTAACGTTTGTTTTCACAAAAATCTTCCTTCATTATCAGACTAGAAGCCTGGAGGTGCAAAAGGGGCAAACCTTTGTGCAATGGATTCTTGTGATTGATTCATGGGCAGAAGTGGCCCATCCCCTTGTAGCAGCTGCAATTCTCGACGAAGTGGCCCTTCCGACTCTTGGGCTTGTGACGAGAGGGCACGCAGCTGCAATCGCGACAGCAGATATTGCAGTTCTTCATGCAGCGCTTACGCGTCCAATGGGATGTCTGGCAGCGGACGGCACAAGCCTTTGGGCAATCTGCATTGGTGCGTTTTTGCAAATTTGGGTCACAAACAACACACAGCACACATTTGATCAGTATCACTTACTTGTCGGCTTCCCTGACAGCTCACGGCCATGGCCACCGAGGATGGATCCAGATCCAGATCCAGACACCTTGGATCGAGAGCGAGGTGAGCAGCCAAAAGAAAACAAGAAAGGAAATTTTTAAAAAAACGTGAGATTGGGCATACGCATTTGGCAGCTAAGCGAGAGACTTAGAGCGCTGGCTAACCTGCATAGCTACTAGGAGCAACACCATCACAAGAACAAGGCTCCAGGGGAGGATGCGAGGGGCGGCGATGGCGGCCATTTCTCCTGCTAGGGATGCGTCTACCTCTTGTCTCTTCTCTTCTTTAAGTAAAGGTAGTTGGACCCCCAGCAGTACAAACTTACATTTTACATTAACCATTGTTTCAACTCTCTTTATAGTGAGGCTTTGATGTAGTCTTATCACAACTATTCGAGTAATGTATCCCAAAACATTCCACTATTGTCGCTAGCTTGTCCCTTGTTGAATAGTTCAGGATTAAAGCCTGACTGCTCCTCTCACTATAGCTTGCTCGAGAGTCTCGTGCTGGTTAACTCCAAATATGTTTCCAATTAAGTTTGAGGATCAACTGACACTGTTGCAACGTCCATTGTGCTTGGGTTGCCATAACCATGACTTCACAAAACCAATTCACATCTCCTCCACAGCAAGATTCAGGATTTCTCATTGGTTGTAGCAATGAACCGGTTTGGGGTTAATTTAATCTCAACCACAAAAAGATAATTTAAAAATAAATAGCAACTTTTAGGTTTTATCCACTAGAATTGTGAATATATTTAGAATATGCTTGGATATTATTTTACATCCTAATGGTTGCTATTTATTTATATTAACCTTGTATTTATAATTTATAAACATGTTAATAAATTATAAACTTTCCTAAACACTACCTAATATTAAACACAATGAAGCACAGTTTTTTTTAGATGAGTTATATAACTGGACATGTTAAAAAGGCTTGAATTAAAGTATGAAAAAAAAAGTAGAGTTAAATCATAAATATTCATAACATAATTAGTACAAGTAAAATATTTAATTATTAATAAGATTAATGTACATAATTACTTAAAAAGTTGATTAATGCTCTTGGTGGATCTCCTGTGTGCCCATGGCATTGGCATCAGCTTGGGCCACAAAAAAGGTAAAATTGGCATTGGCATGGGGATCAACATTGCTAACACACGAATGGGCATTGGGCTCATTATTAGCTAAATGCTAACTTGAAACTTGTAACAAGTTTCATTAGGTAGATAATCATTAAAAGAAAAGTAAAGTTTTATGCCCATAATATTTCATATCAACTTCTTCTTCTTAGCGAACATTTGAGAATTTTTAATTGTGATCAACTGAATCAGTAATAATACTAAACGGCATTCAATAGAAGTAAAACTTGTATAACCACCATTAACCACCAGTCGATTCTAGGGTTTTATTTAGAGCGGCAAGGAGCTGTGGAGGCCTTAATTGGTGAAGTTGCGGCATCAGGGCCATGAGGAGGAGCAAAACTGCGGCCGTGTTGTGGCAGCGAGGGTGGCAGTCATGAGCGACACTATGAAAGTCATGTGGGGTTATGAGCATGGCCGGGGTAGCCAGGAGCCTTGGCAGCCAGGAACAAGGCTGTGGAGGTTAAAAGTGAGGTTGCAAAGGTGATGATGGAGCAGCAGGAGCAGGAGATTCAATCCTTAACTCAGCTGTTTACTTCTGTCAGTCAGGTGAAAAAGTTTTTTTGACGACATGATCGTTTCATTGTGATATCGGCCTTTGGGCGATTGGAGGGTCTTCTCGATGGGATCCTTGTCAAGACCCACGAATGCTCTGCGCACGAACTCGCCAATCGCGCCATTGTGGACAAGAAAGAAGTAATTCTTCCCGTGCTCAAGGATGACAATTGAGTTTATTCACGTAGGTCAGATGGCTCCAGGGGCACTCGGCGAGAAAAGAGACCCCCAGCGCTGAGAGAACGCATGTTCCTCAGCTTCCAAAGCGGGCTTTTATGAAAAATCTCTCCTTGACCTGAATCGCAATCGACTCTGAGAATTCAGACCCTGAAGTAGAATCAAACTCATTCCGAGAGAAGAAACCACGCTGAAGTGCTACCCAAGGTGGCAGCTTTTCGTGTGAGCACTTATGTACCAGTGCAACCGCTTCTTTCTGCTTCTCCCTCTGCAAGAAGATAAAGTCACTTTTCGAATTCCCGCTATGGGGATTGGGCTGGTTGATCTTTGGCAGCATTGTCTTCCTCATCTATAACCAGGAAAACAGAAAGAAAACCAGGAAAACTTCCATTCGCATTACCTTTGTAAGCAGCCGCACCTCCACAGCCACCTGTGCTCCAAGGCTTCTCGGCCACACAGCAATTCCACTGGCTAGCTTGCTAACAAAGTGATGAGCTTTATCTTCCATGCTGGACAAAGTCTGGCCTTTTATTCCCCACGAGAAATATTGATCTTTTGCCATTAAACTTTAATATGGTGTGCAATTCATAAAAGGGTAGAAAATACAGTGGTCTATTTCACTCACAATATGCTGTCCATGTGGCAGTTTTCTATTGGTTCAGCATTAAATGTCAATCCCATTGCAATGGATGCCTATAATATGAACATTACAAGTACTTGCCCGGCAAATGCTGGGTGGTTTACAAAGAGGTGGATGTGCCAGAAATATGTTTCTTACCTGAATTCAAGCACTTGTACGTATCTTTCTCATTTTCTTGGAGGTTTTTAGACCTGTTGTCCTTCAGGTTACTAGACAATAACAGCCTCCGGAGAAGTTCCCAATGAAATTGGAAACTTTTCCAAGCTGACCATCATGTAAGTCGTTGATTGCTAGAATATGATCTCGTGTAATAGTGTATTTTCAGGAGACTTGACAAAAATCGATTTGCTAAATCACTGCCGAGCAGTTTGGGGCGGATATCAACCCTCTTTGAAATGTAAATAGCTAATATGGTAACTACTTTGCACTCAAGTTTTGTTTTATTTACAGACACATCAATGATAATGCTTTTACTGGAACGTTACCTGATCTAAGCGGGTTGAAAGCTCTCCAACTAATGTAATATTTCTTCTTAACTTGGAGTTGACCTGATGCATGTGTATATGCATAACAGAAGCGTTGGAAACAACTCCTTTTCTCCTCAGCCAGTTCCATCATTTGCAGGCTTGACTGAACTCCAGACAATGTAGGTGAATTTTGTTAGTTTAACATGATCATACTAAACAAATTTATCTTAGGATTGATTCTGGAATGCTGACTATAATGTCATACATCTATCCATGGATTACAGTTTTATCCATGGGCTACCGCAACAAACCGATTGATGCCAGCTTTCCCATCCTTTCCCAACAGTTGGTGGGATGCTTGCAATGGCGCCTTCTGCTTCTCTCCTTCTCTTTCAAGAGAACCCAGACATCAGTGCCATGTCAGATTTCCAAAACTTCAGGAGCAGTGTTGGCTGGCACAGCCACTCGACAACCCTATGTCAACTCAAAACAGGTTCCTACAAACGGAGTTGATCCCAAGCATGTGCTGAAACAACAATCCCTCACCAGGCCCAGCAGCAAGGGATTCCTCGAGAGAATCTGGGGATGAAGAGGGAGTGTCCTTGATAATTGCTTTCCTGTAGGCCAAAGAGTTCGTGAGGCAGTGGCGAACAGAGATCAAAGCTTTGCTGAGTTGGAGATGAGCAAATTTGCCTCTCACAGTCCTGAGTTGATCCCGAGAGGAGCCTGGATTGTGTGCCCGACTACCATTCTGCTCACCCCTATTACTTACCACGCACAGGCTCTCATGGGAATGCCCACACAACCATGTCCGAGCAGAGCAGCCATGGAACCCTAAGAGTGCATGGCATAACACTTGTCACCACGCCCTCTTCCCTTCCCAGCCACGTGTGCATCCCACCCATTGGCTGCCACAACATTGAGCTGATATTCCTGCCAACCATGGCCACTGGCTCTGGCCCAAGCCTGGGCTGGCCTCCCCTTGCTGATAACCATGGCTTCCAAGGCTGCCCTGGGCCTGGGATCAGATGGCTGCGGGGTCTATTATTATAGATGGTAGACATAGATGCCAATTTCATGTTTTGTCAAGTTTAGGGGATTCATTAGGTCTTAGGGTTTAGGAGATCCTTGCCTTGGTGCCCTGCCTTAGTGCCTTGTTATTCAACATGTTTCTTGGCACCAGATGTGGAAGATAACTTAATTTGCTAGTGATTGGTTTTAAATGTTTTTGTAGGCAGTGTTGAAAGTGGCTTTGATTCACTACTAAATTTCTCTTTATAAACTTTAAAGTTCCTACCATGAGTATAGTTCCTTCTTAGGTTTGCTTCAAATTTGTGTCATTGAAACCTTTTCTTCCAGATTTACTGAAAGACGTGGAGGAGGAGGAGGAGGATGGCCTTCCATCCAATTTTAGTGATTTAGATTGTGGTTTAGGTGTGAATAGTGACAACAATGCTCTCTTAGAGGTTTAATTAGTTTTTAGCCTCTTAGATTCAATTCATTTATATATTTTTAGGCTTTCCATCATTTTTTTGAGGGGATTCAATAATCCAGCTGTATTTGGCACCTGGATGCACCTAAAGATCCTCAAAATTAAGACTACTACTTACTTTGCATGCTATTTTAGAATTTCTAAGCCAACACTGTATAAATACATGTGGCTTATCAATCTAAATTGGAGAGGTGTATATTATAGGGTACCACTTGAAAAGGCACTTCATTACATCCGGACTAATAATGCCATGAATTAAGATGGCACAAATTGGGGGATTATCAATTCCCAATCTAGCTGTCGAATTAAAAGATATTGATTTAGCCAATGTCAAATTTGTGAGGCCTTAGCCACTCACGACCCAACCAGGCTACAATAGAGGCACTTGTCAAGGATTTGACAACAAATTTACAGGAATGAGGAGGCTTATGCACTTTGTCATATGGATTGTGAGTATTCTTTCATTTTTACTTTTTTATGAGCACATGTGATAATATGTTTATTGTAATATATTGCAAGTTTGTTAGCTATGGTTTCTATGTACATGCCATTATTTGTGGGGCAACTCATTATATTGTAGCTTATGAGTTGGCTACCTCCAAAGAATCCCATGCAATATTCAATACATATGCACAAGTTGTTTGTCAATTTGGAAGGCCCAAACACATCTAAAGCAACAAATGCTTGAGAGCACAATGAGGTCAATAGGGACATGGTTCACTATTAAAGTTTTACAACTAAGAGCTTTATACATGGGATATTAACATGTAACTAGGTACTCACAATATTAAAGTTTTGTCCAAATAAGGACCAAATCCATTTTATTTTGTAGCACATAGAGCATTTGTGGAGACAACTCTTTAAGTGCATAGTGTGGTTTTATAAGCACTTTTTCAAGTTCATGGAAGACATAGAAATTCTTGATGTATTTAATTTATAGCACAAGCAAACTTTACGTTGTGTCTTTGCTCCATACCTCAAGATGGATATTTTGCATTGTATTTCAATTCTATTTCCAATTCTATTTCCAATTGCATTGTGGACATCATTTGAGAGAACTATTTACTTTCATAAACAACTAAAACTAATCAAAGTTCCATCACTAAATGTTGATTCATCAGTTAATTCGCTAGTGACAGATTTGTCACTAAACATTGATTATCCAGTTGATTTGCTAGAGTTCCAATCAGGAGAGCCTATTGAGAAACAAGGTACATTGTGTGCTTGATTTCCCAAGTTCTCCACATACACACGAGAAGTTTTCTTCCCTTTAACATACTTATTAATGGAGTGGACCAAACACAAGATCCACTAGGCACTTCAGAATCTAGAGAACTTGTATGGATTGGGCTGAGGTTGTGGAAGTATTGTATTCTAGACACTTTCATAATAAAAATAGATAATTGTCTTGAAAAGATATAATTTCTTGACACTTTGAAAGAAATTTAAGTTAATTCATTAGCAAAACTAAAGATAAGAATATTCAAATGCCCATTATAGGCACTTGCAGCCCTTGACTCTTTTGGTTTATGCTTGCCTCACCAAAGGTAATCACTATAGCTTCCAAAGCAACTCCTAATTCAGGATTTGGGTTAAAACTATCAAGCTTTGGTGCTACATGATCCCCATCCTCGCTTAGGGAACTCTAAACCTATTTCAAGGTACAACTAAAATCACTAACATGCTACTTTTGAGAAAACTCCAAGTCCAAACATCAATACTATGCACCCTTGCATAGTACACAATCCAAGTATAAGCCCCACCAATTCATGGAATTGATTGGATAAAGTTCAACTTACTTTTAAGTCATATGCAAATCTTCTAAGCATCATGATGTGAAACTAAAGCATTGAGAGAATTAAATTGCAAATCAATGGCGACAAAAGATAAACTTAATGAGATGCATTAAAGACATGACTCCAAATGATATATATCCATGGATGTGCAATGGAGCTAAATTGTAATGCACTCTATCTCTCTTCCCTTAAGTCAACAAAAAAAGCGGCAATTGTTTGATGAGAGAGCCTTTAGTGGTTATTTTATCCCCATTTATCCCTCAAAGTTCCAAGGATCCATGGTAACAGTATATTCAAATCTCATTCCATGATCACATGCGTTACATAAATAAAATTCACTTACGCTTGTTATAAATACCATGTTTAAAAAAGTGTGCTAGAAAATGATAATTTAATCCTTTTGCCATGAGCAACAAGAACAAGAGATGAGAACATAGTGCTCTAGATAAAGTAGTATAGTATGCAATTTAGTCGATTGTCCATTTAATTTGCAACATTAACAACTTGCTTGAATGCATGGGATGAATGGGTTTATGGGGCCACTAAGGGCTCTATTCCACATATAGCATGGTCATTGCTATGGGCATGAAGACCCATCCTGGCATAAGGTGAAATATCTTATGTCTGCACACTCATGTTACATGTGGACCTATTGTGAGTGAAACAGACCCTTGTCCTTTCTACCTTTTTACAAATCACATGCCATATGTTGATAAAAAAATCTCAACTAATATTTTAGAAAGAAAAACGTGGTCTATATGTGTGGAGCAGCAGCATTGGCAAACAGCTGTATAACCACTACTGAGATGGAAAGAACGTCCAGTAGGGTGTTCACGTCCATAAAACTGGCAATTTTCTCCATGTATTGAATTATAGACATGGCGACGAGTTTGCTCATACTGCTAGTTTTCAATGCTTGGGTGGCAAGTGTTGCCAGTGATGGTCACACAAAGACTGATTCCGTTGTCATTGTTGGTGCTGGTATCTCTGGTTAGTTCAATTTTTTTCTTCTTTCTGTAATGCAACTGTGAACAATTGCAGGGATCATGGCCGCCAGAACTTTGTCACAAAATGGCATCAATGATTTTGTGATTCTCGAAGCTACGGAAAGGATTGGTGGCCGTATGAGAGAAGAGGCATTTGCTGGAGGAATTGTAGAGATTGGTGCGAATTGGGTTGAAGGAGTTCATGGCTCCAAAGTAAATCCTATTTGGACTCTGGCAAACAAGTACAATCTTACTTCGTTTTACACGGATTTCAGCAATCAAAGCAGCAACATCTACACAAAAATGTAAGCGGTGGAAAACTTGAGAAAACTCACTTGCTTGCATATCCAGTGGATACATTGATCCCTCCACAATTACAAAGGAGACGACAATGGCTGAAGCAGAGAAGGAGTATGTGACGAATCTGGCCATCTCTAAAACTAAAAACGGGGAACAAGACATATCCATTCTTACAGGACAGCGGCTATTCGGAAGGTTTCCACCAAGTGTTTTATCCTTGTTTTAGAGCTAACTAATTGTACTCTCGCTCCAATGCAGCGTTCCTCAGACTCCTATAGAAATGTGCTTGGAGTATCAAAATTACGACTTTGAATTTGCAGGTAAAGTTTTTGCCCCAAGGAGAGAGAGGAGAGATTTGATTTGATATTATAGATCATTGGATATAAATCTTTGACTAAAATCTTTGGTTGATTTTAAATAGAACCACCTAGAGTCACAAGCTTGGAGAACACACACCCAAATCCAACTTTTAGAGACTTTGGGGACGACGAATACTTTGTAGCGGACCCTCGTGGCTACTCTCATATCGTTCACCAGTTAGCTGGAGATTTTCTTCAAACCAGAAATGGAAAAATTACAGATCCTCGCCTTTTGCTGAACAAGGTGATTTTTCTTCTTGGATATTTCAAATTTTATGATTCTTTCTTTCTTCAAGGTTGTAAGAAAGATTGAATATAGCAAGGATGGAGTGAAGCTCTTGACTGAAGATGGATCAACTTACTTTGGCAAGTTTGCTATTGTCACAGCAAGCTTGGGAGTTCTTCAAAGTAGTCTGATTAAATTTCAACCAGTTCTTCCAGTAAGTGCTTTGATTTCAATTTTTCAAGTGATAAACTGTTTTTTTCTCTCAAGGATTGGAAAGTGGAAGCTCTTTTCCAGTTTGATATGGCCATATACACAAAGATTTTTCTTCGATTTCCATATACATTTTGGCCTATTTATCCAGGAGCTCAATTCCTTATTTACTGTGACGAGAGGCGAGGATATTACTCTACATGGCAGGTAAATTCCTAATTATTCGTAGAAAAGTGTTTTAGAGCCTCGTGAGCTTTCAGCATTTGGCGAAGGAATTTCCCGGTAAAAATATGATCTTCGTGACGGTCACAGATGAGGAATCTCGTAGGATCGAGCAGCTGCCAGACAAAGAGATTAAAGCCGAGATAATGTCGGTGTTGCGAAAAATGTTTGGACCAAACATCCCAGAGATTGAGGAGATGCTTGTCCCAAGGTGGGGATCGATGAAATATTTCAAAGGTTCTTACTCCAACTGGCCAATCGGAGTGAGCGACAGTGAATTCGAAGCAATTCAGGTCCGCCCCCTTTCCAAGTTTTGCAAGGTGTTTTAGCTGACAAATTAGTCCACCCAGGCACCAGTGGAAACTCTCTACTTTGCGGGAGAGCACACAAGCCAAAAATACAGTGGCTACGTACACGGTGCTTACTTGACGGGAATCGAGGCTGGCAAAGACCTTGTTGCATGCATCAAGCACAAGAAATGCCGCAAGTTTTCTCGGGAGAAACACAAAGATTTGAAGAACTCGACTTGCAAAGCAGAGATAGCAAAGGTAAATGCTAGCTTTGAGCTCAAATTCTCAGTTTTGTTTTTGTCTGTGTATAGGAAAGAGAAGCTACAAGGCAAGCATGGACAAAGAAAATGGACGCAGTACTAGCAAGTCACGAGAATGGGATGTGAACTTTAAACTTACAGTATTGTAAACTTTGCACTCATATACTATAAGTTTATTAAATGAATGATGTTATAGTATATACTGGAAGATCCATCTCCTAGATGAGCAGTAGTGCATTAAGTTTAGAGCAGTGCGTCAAGCTCATCAATTCTTGCAACACAGCACCACAAGCAAAGCTTGTCCATGCCCAAGTTACATCCAGTCCGGCCGCCAAGTTCTTTCCATCCTCCACCATTGTCTATCTCGCCAATCTCATGGTACAGATGTACGGCAGGTGTGGCGACGTTGTGGAGGCTAGAAAAGTGTTTGACGCGCACTCAAAGAACATCTACTCTTGGGTTGTCATGCTCACGGCGTATGCCCAAAACGGGCATGTCGCTGATGCCAAAGACGTGTTCGACAGAATGCCGGATTGGAATCTCGTTTCGTGGAGCGCCATGTTGACTGCATACTCCCGGAATGGCTACTTGGATCGAGCGCTTTCGGTGTTTAACTCAATGCCGGAGAGAAACATAATCGCGTGGACTGCCATCGTTGACGCATATGCCGACAACCGGCATCTTGTCCAGGCGGAACGAAGTTTTTACAGCATGCCGGAATGGAATCTCGTGGCGTGCACAGCGATGCTTGTTTGCTACACGGAAAATGGGCGGTTTGACAATGCGAGGGAAGTTTTCAACACAATGAAGGAGCGTGACGTGGTGTCGTGGACTGCCATGTCATCGGCTTATGCCCAATCAGGGCATGTTAGCGAGGCCCAGAATTTTTTACAGAGGATGCCGGAGTGGAATCTGATTACGTGGACTGCCATGCTGGTTTCCTACGCCAACAGTGGCAACCTGGTAGAAGCTCGGAGAGCTTTTGATTCCATGCCAGAGAGGACTTTGTTTGCTGACAATGCCATGGCCGCAGTATATGCCCAGGTTGGCGATCTTGAAAAGGCAAAATGCCTGTTTGATTCCATGCCTGAACACAACATAATCTCTTCCACAACTCTTCTTTCAGCCTATACAAAACAAGGCCATCTTGTTGAATCCCAGGGAGTCTTCCGTTCTATGCCAGAAAGGGACGTGATTGCATGGAACGCGTTTCTCGCAGCATATGCCCAAAACGGGCACTGGAAGAGAGCAAAAGACGTGTTCGATCGAATGCCAGAACCCAACACCGTGTCCTGGGCGACAATGCTGGGTGCATCCAACACCCGCCTCGATTTCACCCTCGAACTCCTCTGCAAGATGGCGCTAGACGGCGGCTCGGCAGCGGACGAAGCCTGTTTCGTGTGCATGCTTGTCCGATGCAACCACGCCGGGAGCCTGAAAACCGGCGTGCAATGCTTCCTTTCGATGCAGGGGGACTATTTCGTAGCACCCACAAAGCAGCTCTACTGCTGCATGACGGATTTGCTCGGGAGGTGCGGGCATTTGGGCGATGCTCAAGAACTTCTCTCCACAATGCCCTTTGTTCCCGAGGACGTGGATTGGCAGTCACTGCTCGGGTCGTGCAAGAGTCACAAAAACGCAGTTAGAGGAAAGGTGGCGGCGAGGCGCGCACTAGACTTGGATCCCGCGAGCTCGGCTCCTTACGTGCTCCTAGCCAATGTTTATACCAATTAACCCAAGTAGCAGAAATTTAGGGTTCTTCGCCTGGAATTATTTAGGGTCCCCTTCGATCGATCCGGCGATCAATCGATCGCGATGGGCAATGCGAATGCGACGGGCGGGGGCGAGCCGATGCAGAGCTCGCAACCGCGGATCTCCGAGCATGAAGGGAAGCTAGGGCACGCGGGGGGATCGTCGGAGTATCTCTCAGACAGTCCTGGAGAATCGGTGCGATGCCCGCTCATGTTTGCTCCACAGGTGAGCTCGTCGCTTGCTTTGCTCCACTGTTTGCCGCATTTCTTCTCAAATTTGTTTTTTTCCCCCTTCTAGGCACCCATGGCTCCTATAAGCAAACCAGATGGAATCGGTGTGTATGAGCCAAATCTCTACAAAGAACACGGTGGTGAGAAGGGAATCCCGTGTATGATCGTGTGGAACCTCGGAGGAAACAACGTTTCCATCGAGGGCTCATGGGACAACTGGAGCACCAGGTTCAAGAGCTCTTTCTTTCCAAATCTTTGCTTGGAACTCTTTTTTCTCTTTTCTAGGCAGCCACTCCAGAGATCTGGGAAGGACTTCTCCATCCTAAAGTTGCTCCCGGCGGGAGTTTACCAGTTTAAGTTCTTCGTGGATGGCGAGTGGAGGCACGCTCCAGATCTTCCCTGCTCCAAGGACGAAGCTGGGAACGTGAGCAATCTCATCGAAGTCCAGGTAAAACGCAAGTTTTCTTTTCTTTCCTCGTTCTCTCCAGCTCTCCAGCTCTTCCATTTCCAGGAATACGTTCCAGAAAACCTTGACAACGTCGTGAGCTTCGAGCCGCCATTGTCTCCAGACTCGAGCTACACGAATCCATTCCCGGGCCCGGAAGATTTCGCAAAGGAGCCACCGGCAGTTCCTCCGCATCTTCACCTCACACTGCTCAACGTCCCCTCCTCGTCTGGAGACGCCCCGGCCTCCATGCCGCGGCCGCAGCACGTAATCCTCAACCATCTCTACGTGGAGAAAGGGAGGAGCTCGCGATCGGTGCTGGCGCTGGGCGCTACTCACAGGTTTAGATCAAAGTACGTGACGGTGGTGGTGTACAGGCCTCTCCGAAAGTGATCACAGCTTTTAAAAAAGTGTTTCACTACGTAGAAAAAAAGAACTTTGGAGAACACCAAAGAAGTTTAGCGAGAACGAAGAACTTCCAACGACCACAGAGGGATTCGAACCCTCGACCTTCAGATCCGAAGTCTGACGCGCTAATCCACTGCGCTATGCGGCCAATAACACGCTAAACGTAGTTTTGGTTTGTTAGTAAGTAATAACACACTCTTCTAGTTCTCGATCAAGAAATCTGCGGTGAAGCTTTTCCAAATTCCGGGGTGTCAAATCGTCCTTGGGCGATCGCCCTTCGCAGCAATCTCTCCAGATCCTTGTTGCTCATGACAGGGTTCTGGAGTGGTTTGCTACCGCCCACTATCTGATTTCTTCCCACCATGTAGTGCCCCATGAACGCCAATCCCGCATTGCTGCACAAAGAAGCCAGCATCTTCATCTTCGAGACATACGACTCTCTCGCCATCCGGAGCAGCGATTTGGGCGCTAGCAAAATGCCGCTGCTTCTAGCAATCCTGCCCAGGAATCGACGCAGCTTCAACTTCCTGGCGATTCTCACTCGCCATCGCTGCTTGGTGGGCCTGTTGGGATCGATCAGCCGCACTGTTCTTCGCTTGCTACCGCTGCGGTGGTGCCATGGGTTCGACGATCCAACGCGCTGATAGCTCCACCTGGAGAAAAATCTCGTACTGGACACCACCTCTTCCATGATCTTCCCCAAAAACTTCCAAGCGATCTCTATCCACAGAACTTCCTTGACTGAATTTAAAGCCTCTCTGGGGAGAGAGACAGAGTCCCTGGATGTTGACCCGGTCAATGCTTGTGGGCTTAGCTACCTGTCGCGCCACCTTTGACCGGAATCTTTCCCCTCCAAAGAACGTGTAACGAAGCACGAATTGATAAATTCCAATGCCGTGTTAACAGTCCCTTATATGTTTCCATATACTTCTTCTCATGCACTTCTTATCGTATACTTTGTACGTACATATTAAACGTATATAACTTTAACTTCTAGGACGTATTGTATATGGTGGAAAACACACTTTCGAGTCACCAGTAGTCTCCACACAACCCGTCTCTAAAGTGATGGAAGCGGTTACACACCCGCAAGTTTTTTATCACGTAGAAGCTCTTCCCGGCTGGGGTCTCGATGCTGCCAAATGCGATGGCCAGCTTCTCCATAGCATCTGCTCCTTCTCCCCCTTGCCATCTCGCAACCCGGAGCTGAACGTATCCCAGATCTCTCATCCGCAATCCCAGCCTCAATAGCTCCTGGTAAATCTCCTCCCGCCGAGAATAGCTCTGTCCCCCGCCACGAACTCGTGAACCTTATCGCCAACATCAATGCTGCTTCTGCCACTCGGCTTCTTCACGCCCCTGTCCACCATGAGTTTCTCCTCGCAGCGTCGTCCCAGCGGTCTCTGGCAGCGTAGATGCTGGAGAGCAGCACGTAAGGGGCTGAGTACTCCGGTTCCATCTCGAAGAGCCTGTCAGCACAAAGCTCGCCGAGCTCCACATCAGAATGAGCTCTAGTTGTCCAGGTCAGCGAGTCCGGCTTCAAAGGCATCGAGTGGAGAACGTTCCAGGTCTGGTCAAGGTTCCCGCTGCGGCCGAGGAGATCTATCATGCATCTGTAGTGCTCAGAACTCTGCTGGATCCCAAATGGATCCGAAGTAGCTACGGCCCCTATCGATCAGCCTTGCATGGCTGCAAGCGCACAGGACGTGTGCGAAAGTGATCGCGTTCGGCCTCGCGTTGTTTGTTTCCTCCATCCTCTCGAAAAGTTCCAAGGACTTCTCTCCTTGCCAGTTCCGAGCCGCGATCATCGAGTTCCACAGCGCGTTCCAGGCCACCACGTCCCTGTTCGTCATCCTCTCAAACAACGACTTGGCCCTCCCACACTTCCCGTACATGTTGAGCACGGCAGTGCACAGAACAACGTCGGAATCCAGGAAGCCACGGACTCGGTCATGGAGTTTTCTCCCAGTGGAAAGATCGCCCAAGCTGGAGCGGGTATATGCAGCGATCATCATCGTCCACGAGTAGACGTCCTGGCTTGCATGCTCTCGAGCACTGCTCTCGCATCTTCGACGTTGCCACATTTGCCGTACATCCCTACCAGAAGATTGTCGAAATATCTGTCCCAGATAAGCGTGGATTCGCTTGCCGCACTGCCTCAGCAACGCCAGTAGGCACTGCCCCCGCCTTCACCCCTCTGTCTCTCCAGTTCATCTATGCCTTCCAAGAGCTTTGGACAACACTTGATTCCAGTTGAGGCTAAGCTTAAGAATTTTGAGCGAGTGAATCTTTGAACCGTTCAGTAAAGATGTGTCTGCGGAGTTGGTTGACTAAGGCAGAACAGATTGTCGCGAGCTTGTTCAAAACTTCATGGCAAACAAGCTGAGGAAGGATGGAAAGCCTACCTTAAAGTCAGGGACAGTCATGATAGCCACAAAGGATACAAGTCCTATGTGAAAAAGGAGACATGGGATCAAGATAAGCACCAAAAGGGACAAGGGGATGTTCTGGCTGTGGTGATATCCAAGGGTGTTCGTTCCATGGAAACATCAAACACTGAGATTCCCACAAAAAAGTTACTATTGCGAAGGAAACTTTGATAATGGCAAGATTGGAAATGTGATCCAATTTGCTGGGGTGATAGGCACACAAAAGTGCTTCTTGATCTTGGAAGTACTGATGAATTCATTTCAAAGGATTTGGTAGGGCAATTATGCATTCCTCACTGCAAGACCCCTTATCACATTGAGGGAGCTGTTTTGAATGGGGATGTAATGGATGTTGAAGGGGTTAAACTTGAGGGTCATTTTGAGAATGACTTAGGTGGAAAAGTTCAATCCTTAGGTAGCTAGTGTTATTTTGCGTGGGAAATTCTTTGAAGAGGTGAACACTAGATAGGAGTTGACTTGTCAACAACTTAGGTCAAGAAGTTTTGTTGGAGAAGTTTTTCCAAAGAGAGTTCTTCTCAAGAGATTTTTTACAAGATCAAGCTGGGGACTAAGCATGGGTTGAGTACCTTAAAGGAAGTCAAAGTGCAGAAGCAGGTAAGGATGGCTAAAGAATACAGTGCCCTATTGCTTCTTGTGAAGAAGAAGGATGATATGATACATATATTGACTATTGTGTTTTGAACAATGTGTCACAAGCTGCTCATAGTTTTTATGCTAAATACTTCAACAAGAGTGACTTGAGGAGTGGATACTACCAAATTATGGTGAATGTGAAAGATGTTCCAACATTTGGGCTAATTAATGCTCTTACAAATTTAATACATTTAATGAACTTAGGTTATATCAACAAGTTTGTTCAAATAACATTTTAATTTACACTTAACGAAGAGGACATTCTTCTCTTTATGGTCTTCACCATTTGCAATGGTTTTGGATGTGCTGTACAAGTAGAAGTTGTTCCCCAAAATGTCAAAGAAGCCAACCATTTTTTTTTCAAATTAGTGCATAGTTATTCATGTGGAAAATTTTGGTGAAATATGTGTCTGATGTGGTAGGACCCCATGCCATAACCATACACTTCAAATCATGTAGGGCAATCAAAATGTAGTAACAATTGTTTTTATGATGTGGACAGATGTTAACCATATGTATGCCTCTTTGTCATATATTGAATCGTATGTTAAAGCATGGTACTACAAATTGATTGCCATGTGTCCTGTTGTTCTTCCCTGGTTGATTGTACCAAGAGAGTTACAAAGGTGGTTCTCTTTGTAATTTGTACCTTCAATTAGATAATGTAGTGCCAGTGTCCAAATTTGGCATTAATTAGCTCCCAGATCACATATTTTGTGTAGGTTATCTCATACTAAATAACAAGATCAGCGTTGACAAGCTCACGGCCATTTTTCCAGCCCCAAAGCCATCACACTAATTCCTTTTGTAGCATAGCCAAGTTAAACAAGCTCTTTTGTCAATTCTTCCTGAAAATGGACTTTGCACGTCGGCTAGGTGTTGCTAGTGAGAGGCTCCATGGTGGAATAGCTCACAATGGACAAGGATGACTGGAAAGATAACCGTATATAACATTATAGCTATATATACATGATGAAGAGACATGCCTTTAGCCTACACTTGGATTAGTGAAGTGGCACTCCTGCCACCTAAGATCATGTCATAGAGAGCATATACCTCAACAACAACTTGGTTGACTACCAATTTCTCTTCCCCTGCATGACTGAATAAAGCTTTCTGGATTATCCATCCCTGTAGAACACAGTAAAATGGACGGTTGCGCCTAGAAGTGTTGCGGGCGCCAACCGTACTGGTGCGCGGTCCAAAGGGTTATAAGGTAGTACATCCACGTATCCCAGTACATAATGGATTCCATGCCCTGGTCTGCGGCATAACCTTTATAGATTGTTTCGTAATGCATGCTGTAGTCACATATCAGCCTGCCATAGACCTGGTATCATCTGTAGAAACTCCAGAAGCCTTCACCGATAGTTTGAGATTTTGCCTGTATCTCCCTCCTGGTTGATACACTGGCAAGCCTATCAAGCCAGATGGCGAACAATTGCACTTGCACTTGTGCCATATAACCAAGTGCCATTGTTCCCATCTGGCTTTTCATGCTTCCCATATGCTGATGGCACATGGACAATATCACTAGATTTCTGCTTGCGGCTAAGGTACTACCAAGGTCTACAACAGAAGAGCCAAGCCTGGCAATACCTCAGATTGCAAAGCATGGTTGTCCACTTACTGGCAAACAGCAAGCCACAGCCAAAATCAACGCATATGAATCTCCTGGTCAAGAGCAGCACTATAGACCAAGATCAGGAAGCCCGTGCTGCTCACTTGCACGTCGAGTTTGATCAATACTGTGAACTTATAAGTGCTGTCAACTGCAAACCAAGTGATCATAAAACACCTTTGCTACAGGTCACCTTGTTCTTCCCTCAAACGGTTGATGAGCGTCAAACATTCTGAAGCTGTGGGCCTGGATCCTTGCTCAGACAAGAGTTTTTGAAGGCGGACAAACCCATAGTCGAGGTAGGATAATATGCGATGAGGCTTCCCACCCCCCAAATATCAACCTTGCAGTCGTGCTTTCCGCATATCTTAGGCACCGAAAGCTCCAAGTAATCAGCTCCATCACTGGGACTCATTGCCGCGTCGTCAAACTCCACTATCCACCAAATTCCATCACTCATCTTGACAATATTTGGCAACCTCAGGTCCCTGTACATGATGTTCCTGCTATGGAGGCAGACCAGAGCCTGTAGAATACAAGCGAGGCAGTCAAGTAACTCTTTCCTTGAACGGGGCATCACACTCTGCCCACGTTGGAAGAGAATGTGGCGCTTTTCCTGGTTCACGCGTAAAGCCTTCTCAACAAACGGACATTCGTTGATCAAAGCGTACATACCACATGCCCTCGTTGCCTTGATGTCAGTCTGGTACGTATTCACCACTTTGTTGCAGTAGAACTCTTAAGGTTTTCCCACTCCATCTAGACTCCATCCTCTTTATAGGTGGCACACTAGAACTTTGACAGATTGCTTCTAGCTTGTGGACAAGCTGTGAGACCTTAAAAAAAGCCATAAAAACTCCCAAACGACCCTCTGCAGTCCTTATATCCAACGTTTGTAGATCCAGCCGGTGTGTCACTCCATTCTCCTGGTAGAGGACACAGAAAGTAACCACAAACGCTCTGGCATAGTGCGCAGGGACGTAGGGAATGGAATCCCCATCATCCTTGTCCACCAGTTCCTCTGCAGGATTTCCTCTGTTTCTTCCCCTTCTTCCTCGCCCTTCAATAAGACGTAGCCATGGCCAAATGCGAGGACACTGTCTGGCCTCAACGCTCTCCAGAAGCTCTCTGAGGTACTGTTCCTCGTGTGAACTAATTTCTTTCCGTAGAAAAAACGCACTGATTCTGCGATGAGTGCAGCGTAGGTGTAATGGAAGGTTTCCTCTCTGCCTTGGGCGAGAACGTTGTTGAGGATGTCGTAGGCAAAACTGCTAAGAAGAGTACTGAAGTCGTTCACGTCCGGCTTAAATATCTGGGACCTGTTCAAGGGCAGCCAGTTGTAAACATTCTCAGCAAGAGGGAGCCTCAAGTGCTCTGGGAAAGGCTGGAAATAGAAGTCCCGCAATGCAGTTAGATCCGGCAGAGCTATCAGAGATTCAAGAATCTCATCCGGAATACTACCAGTTAGTACCAAGTATACGTAATCCTGCAGTGAAAAGTTAAGGGATAATGCAATATGAAAGGGGACTCAAAACTCACGGGCTTCAGGTCCGGCTTCAGATCCTGCGTCACACAAGAACTTTTCAGCAAGGGGAAAAAACCCAAACTAGCAAATCGAATAGAACACAAATACACCGCATCAAGCCATTGATGAGCTAGCCTTATCGAGAAAAAATCAACGACCACAAACTCAGAGAACAAAGCAAACACACACACAAAGAACGCAAACCATGCCTACCTGGAAGCGGGGGAGCTGCAACACGCATAGGAGCTGCAACAGAAAAAAAGCTTTGTCAATGGCAGTGCCTAGACAGAGTAAAGCCAAACAAACACAGCCACTCGAAGGAAAACACGCAGACTTTCAGCAAAAGGAAACAGGGAGCCATATCAAACTGCAGCCACGCAGAAAACAACATTGCAGCGGCATTTCAGATCCAGAAAGCACAAAAGCTCCAAGAACAGAAGAATTAGAAGTAAGTACCTGTAACTTTGTAGATATAACAACCTCCAAGAACTGTATCCCGACCAATAAAAAAGGTATTAAAGTAAGCATATTCGAGAAACTCTTTTACCTGATGAATAATATTTCTCTCTCGATCGAGATGCGGCGATCACGGTGTTCTTGGTGCTTGCGGGCAAGATCGCGGCGATCAGCCTCTTCGGATCGCACGCCTACTTTGCTCCCGGACCGGAATCCAGGTTATAGGGCGGGCAGTGTCCAGGGACAACTTCGTGTGGAACGAGGGAGATCCTGAGGTCACCATCGGCGAAGAACACCAGGTAGTATTCAGAGTATGAGTTGTATACCGCGCTGCCAGTGTCGCTGCTCGTTGCTAGAGAGTTTTTCTCCTTCCAATCTTCTGGATCCGAAAATGGGGACTCGAGCAGTAGCAGCAGCAGTAGCGACGGATTCATCCCCGGGCGTGCTCAAGCTTCTCCACATTCTTTCTTGGGACAAGCACTCTTCCAGGAACTCGGTGAGCGGCCGTGGGCCAGGAGAACTCGGTGAGCCATGCCGTCCCGGTGTGAATGCTCGAGAGTTTTTTTCCTTCCAACCTTTTGGCTTCGAGAATGCGAGCAGTAGCAGCAGTAGCAGCAGTAGTAGCAGTAGCGATGGATTCACCCCCGTGATCGTCACCACATTCTGCGTGCTCAAGCTCCTCCACTTTCTTGTGACAAGCACTCTTCCAGTAACTCCGAGTGGGTTCTAAGCTGCGGTGTTGGGCTAGTGGGATTCATCCATTTTCTTCTTTGTGGTTCCAAGCGAGATCATCGACTTCCGGCTGGAACAGGCCGTGGCCATGGTTGGTCCCGAACGCGTTCGGCCGAAATCCCGACCGCCGCCGAACGCGGTCGGCCGAACGCGGTCGGACAGCTCCGTTCGGTATTCCGTTCGGCAAAAAAAAAATTGTGATCGCGCTAGATTTCTGATGCTGCAGCGGCTATCGCCATCACCACTGCCTCTGCTTTCGATTGAGTGTGGAGCAGAGCAGCTCGCTGCCTCGCAAATCAAATCGCCCAGTCCGCAACGCTTGAAATTTTTGCCCTAAAATGGAAATTCCAGTGATTTCAGAGATTTGATTCTAGAGATTCGTAGCAATTCTGGCACAATTGAGTTCAGAGATTTGATTTTAGAGATTCATAGCAATTCTGGCACAATTGAGTGATGGTGCCTGATTGGGCATGGTCCTATGTTACCAAGATCACTTGTTATGCTTCCGGCAAAGGAGCTAGGCATTGGAAATGTAATTATTATGGTAAAATGTATGGTTTGGTTTGGTTTGGTTTTTTCTATTTTTATTAATGTGGTTTTACTAAAAATGTTTTTTTTTTTATCAAAAAAATTTTGTAAACCGTTCGGCCGTTCGGCATTTTCACAGCCGGTCGATAACCACGGTCGGGCGGTCGGGCGGTCGGCGTTCGGAACGGTCGGGACCAACCATGGCCGTGGCTACAAAAAAGTGAAAAAAAAACAAAACTAGGTAAAGTAGATCCTTCTTCTCGGATCATTCACGGCAATCCGGCTAGCTATAGCTTTCGGAGCGGCATGGCTCACGGGTCTTCGGACCGGTACATGAAATCATTCTGGATTGGAACAAACCAGCTTGGATGCGATATCTCGGTCATCAAAACCAGCGTTTGGAGCCAGTTTCTCCTCAACCTCGGTATTGTCCTCCCGGTAGTCTCAACGCTACTTTGGTTGAAACCCATGGCCGATCTCCTCATCCGGTTGCCCGAGAAGAACTCCATCGACCATGGCAGCACCGGGTGGCAATGGCAACGAAGAAGTCTGTTTGAAGGCAAAGACTGGGCTGGAAGCGTAGGATTCTCTCCAGAGACCTTCCAGGATCTCAAGTTCGTCGGGATGATCTTAACAGGAGTGATCCAGCTGCTGCTGCTCCGGATCAACGTCCAAGCGTATCTCAACTTGGGAGTGCTCAAAGCTTGCACGGTAGCAAGACCCTGGACGCCGCCACGCTCAAGCACAAGATCTTGGTGGTAAACCACTTCATGTGCCAGGTAGCAATCCAGGGATTAATCTATTGATTTAAGTAATCATTGCTGTGCTCTTTTATAAACTTTTTCTTGAATTGAACAACTTAGTCCTGGCAGTGCTACTGATCCTCTTCGCAGGTCTCTCTCAATCGCCATTGCCATTTTCAAACTCTCTAAGAGGAATTGGATTTGTGGCAGAAACAGCGCAAATTCTTCGCATGGTGGACGCTCCTCTCGTGGTCTTTGCTCACGCCCACAGGGCTAGCGACTACTAGCGTTCAACTCCCTTCTCCACCAATTTCCGGTAAGCTGCAAGCTGGAAAACGGCTTTTTTTGCCTAGCACCAAAAGGAGATTTGTAACGCACCTCTTTTGTATACTTTCCTTAACGAGATTGCCATTTTTAAAGATAAAAGCACAGTTGATTTACTACCATAATAAAAATAACGCACTCCTTTAGATTATTAAAATCTATGATAGGGGACTTGAAGAAAGGAGGGGAAGGTGCTAAGAAGGTGCTCAGAAGATAATTTGACCCCTCACTGTTGTTCACACGAGTTGTGCATCATTCATTGACCATACAGCAAAAGAATCGTTTTACCACGGAGACAGAAGAAAACAAGAATTGAAACTTGACACTCGTCTCTCTCAAAGAGTCGTCTTCACATTCCAAGAGCCAAAACGTGTCTCTGCAAGGTAACCGCAAGCTAGATTGCTTCTAGCTTGTGGACAAGCTGTGCGACCTTCAAAAAAGCCATAAAAACTCCCAGACGACCCTCTGCAGTCCTTATATCCAATGTTAGCCGGTATGTCACTCCATTCTCCTGGTAGAGGGCACAGAAAGTAACCACAAATGCTCTGGCATAGTACGCAGGGATGTAGGGAATGGAATCCCCATAAGGCCACCCATCCTTGTTCACCAGTTCCTCTGCAGGATTTCCCTCTGTTTCTTCCCCTTCTTCCTCGCCCTTGAATAAGACGTAGCCATGGCCAAATGCGAAGACACTGTCTGGCTTCAACGCTCTCCAGAAGCTCTCTGAGGTAGTGTTCCTCGTGTGAACTTAGAAAAAACGCACTGGTTCTGCGATGAGTGCATCGTAGATGTAATGGAAGGTTTTCTCTCTGCCTTGGGCGAGAACGTTGTTGAGGATGTCGTAGGCAAAACTGCTAAGAAGAGTACCGAAGTCGTTCATCACGTCCGGTTCAAGGGGAGCCAGTGGTAAACATTCTCAGCAAGAGGGAACCTCACTCTGGGAAAGGCTGAAAATAGAAGTCCCGCAATGCAGTTAGATCCGGCAGAGCTATCAGAGATTCAAGAATCTCATCCCGAAAACTACCAAGTATACGTAATCCTGCAGTGAAAAGCTAAGAGATAATGCAATATGAAAGGGGACTCAAAACTCACGGGCTTCAGGTCCGGCTTCAGATCCTGCGTCACACAAGGATTAAAAACCCAAACTAACAAATCGAATAGAACACAAATACACCGCATCAAGCCATTGATGAGCTAGCCTTATCGAGAAAAAAGCAACGACCACAAACTCAGACAAAGCAAACACACACACAAAGAACGCAAACCATGCCTACCTGGAAGCGGGGGAGCTGCAACACGCATAGGAGCTGCAACAGAAAAAAAGCTTTGTCAATGGCAGTGCCTAGACAGAGTAAAGCCAAACAAACACAGCCATACCAAAGTAGAAACTTGAAGGGAAACACGCAGACTTTCAGCAAAAGGAAACAGGGAGCCATATCAAACTGCAGCCACGCAGAAAACAACATTGCAGCGACATTTCAGATCCAGAAGGCACAAAAGCTCCAAGAACAGAAACAACCGGCAGCAATAAAGAAGGTATTAAAGTAAGCATATTCGATAAACTCTGGTGTGGAGGAAAAGGACTCATTTCATGTTTGGATGAATTCTTTTTACCTGACGAATAATATTTCTCTCTCGATCGAGATGCGGCGATCACGGTGTTCTTGGTGCTTGCGGGCAAGATCGCGGCGATCAGCCTCTTCGGATCGCACGCCTACTTTGCTCCCGGACCGGAATCCAGGTTAGAGGGCGGGCAGTGTCCTATTCAGAGTATGAGTTGTATACCGCGCTGCCAGTGTCGCTGCTCGTTGCTAGAGAGCTTTTCTCCTTCCAATCTTCTGGATCCGAAAATGGGGACTCGAGCAGCAGCAGCAGCAGTAGTGACGAATTCATCCCTGGGCGTGCTCAAGCTTCTCCACATTCTTTCTTGGGAAGCACTCTTCCAGGAACTCGGTGAGCGGCCGTGGGCCATGAGAACTCGGTGAGCCATGCCGTCCCGGTGTGAGTTTTTCTCCTTCCAATCTTTTGGATTCGAGAATGCGGAGAAGGGAGTTGAACGCTAGTAGTCGCTAGCCCTGTGGGCGTGAGCAAAGACCACGAGAGGAGCGTCCACCATGCGAAGAATTGCGCTGTTTGTGCCACAAATCCAATTCCTCCTGGAGCGTTTGAAGATGGCGATGGCGATCGAGAGAGGCCCGCGAAGAGGATGAGCAGCACTGCCGGGACCAAGTTCTGGATCGCTACCCGGCACATGAAGTGGTTTACCACCAAGATCTTGTGCTTGAGCGCGGCGGCGTCCGGGGTCTTGCTACCGTGCAAGCTTTCGTACCACGCGAGCACTCCCAAGTTGAGATACGCTTGGACGTTGATCCGGAGCAGCAGCAGCTGGATCACTCCTGTTAAGATCATCCCGACGAACTTTAGATCCTGGAAGGTCTCTGGAGAGAATCCTACGCTTCCAGCCCAGTCTTTGCCTTCAAACAGACTTCTTCGTTGCCATTGCCACCCGGTGCTGCCATGGTGAGACTACCGGGCAGGCTGGTTTGTTCCAATCCAGAATGATTTCAGGTACCGGTCCGAAGAAGAGTCCCGTGAGCCATGCCGCTCCGAAAGCTATAGCTAGCCGGATTGCCGTGAACGATCCGAGAAGAAGGAGCTGATCGATCTAACTACTTTAGCCACGGCCTGTTCCAGGCTCCAGCCGGAAGTCGATGATCTCGCTTGGAACCACGAAGAAGAAAATGGATGAATCCCACTAGCCCAACACCGCAGCTTAGAACCCACTCCGAGTTACTGGAAGGGTGCTTGTCTCAAGAAAGTGGAGGACCTTGAGCACGCAGGATGTGGTGACAATCACGGGGATGAATCCATCGCTACTGCTCGACTGCTGGTAAGCTGCAAGCTGGAAAACGGCTTTTTTTTGCCTAGCACCAAAAGGAGCTTTGGAACGCACATAACCCGACAGTCCAAACAGTTTTGAGTTGAGAGCTTGTATACTTTCCTTAACGAGATTGCCATTTTTAAAGATAAAAGCACAGTTGATTTACTTCCATAATAAAAATAACGCACTCCTTTAGAATAAAATCTATGACTGGGGACTTCGAGAAGAAAGGAGGGGAAGGTGCCAAGAAGGTGCTCAGAAGATAGTTTGACCCCTCGCTGTTGTTCACACGAGTTGTGCATCATTCATTGACCATACAGCAAAAGAATCGTTTTACCACGGAGAAAGAAGAAAACAAGAATTGGAACTTGACACTCGTCTCTCTCCAAGAGTCGTCTTCACATTCCAAGAGCCAAAACGTGTCTCTGCAGAGTAACCGCAAAGTTGTAAGTGAGGAGGACTGCACTCCCAGTAAAGACTCAAATCTGGGATGAGAGCCCCACCAGTAAGCAGCATCCGCCGAAATCACACGGAAGAACCCCCGTACGCGCTTCAACGCTTTTTGAAGAGCTGGATGATGCTGTTCCAGATGAAAACCACAACGTGCTCCAAATCCAGTTGTCCCCCGCGTGCCTATAAAAACCATCTGGTGTCCTGCCACAAGGCGAGAATCCGGAAGAACGGAGAAAAGAGTCAAAGGCTTCTGGGATACCTCAAGTTCTCAATTCTCGGCCTAGGATCGCCGCCGCTGCTGCCGCTGCCAGTGCCGATCGCTGCATGGGAGAGAGCATTGGAGTGGTGGAGGAGCAGCAGCACACCACCATCTGGGATCGCAGGAGGAGCAAGCGCCGCGTCGTCGAGAGCTCCGACGAGTATCCTCCCACTTCGCCGGAGGAGTGTGACTCGAGTCCCAGCTACAAGGGAGTTCGCCGCCGGAGCTGGGGGAAGTGGGTGTCGGAGATACGAGAGCCCCGCAAGCGCTCCAGGATATGGCTTGGTTCCTTTGCCACACCGGAGATGGCCGCCAAGGCCTACGACTACGCTGTCTTCTGCTTGAGAGGCCCCTCTGCGATGCTCAATTTCCCAGACTCGCCACCGGTGATCTCCCCTGGTAAGAAGCTCACTTCCTCTAAAGATATCCAAGCTGCTGCTGCCGCCGCCGCAAAAAAGAAAGCGGCCCCGAGGACCTTTTCCTGTCCTGCTTCTGTGACTGGCAAGCCCGTTCCTCTAGCTTCTTCCTCCAAGCAAGCCCAAGAAGAAGAAGCCCCTGTCACACCTCTACTCTTTTCGGAGTCGTCCCCTTCCTCGCTACGACGAACCTGGTCTCTCCAGCTTGACGAAGATTTTGCTGCCATGGCCATGCTGCTGCCTCCATTGCCTCCTCTGCCTCCTATCCAAATGACGGAAGACTCGGACCACGGAGTTCTGGAACACCTAGGCCTATGGTAGAATTATCTGCGACACACTACAGCAATTTTGTTAGCCCACAACATGTATAGAAAGAAGGAAAGACGCACTTTTTTGTCTCGATTGATTGCCGGTTGCATTGCAATGATTCAATGGTGAGTATCCACAAAAGAAATGATTTACAACTGTCAGAATGTAGGAAGAGGAAAAGAGGGGTACTTACAAGAGAGGAGTTTTAGAGAGCGAGGTTCTCAGGCAAAGAAGTATGTTACAGTCAGCCAAAATCGTGGAGATGGAAAAAGGAAAAGGAGAGAAAAGCTATGGTTTTCTGCTCTTGCCTTTCCTTCGCTTTGAGGGCGTTCTTCCATGTTCTTCCTCCGCGTCGGGATCTCCATCGTCGTCACTAGCAGGAGCAGGAGGCGCACTTTTCCTCCGCAGCTTACTCCCGGCATGCCCGTTGCCTTGGTAAAGACCATCCGCCGCTGCAGAGGAACGACCCCTCTTTCTCGTTGAAGCAGGCGGTGCATAAGCAGAGTAGTCCATTGTGTCAGCTTTTAGCAAAGATTTGAATAGCTGAAAATAAAAGTCAGAACAAGCTTACATAAAAAGTGTGGAATCACCTGATAGCGTTGTACAACTTCAGCCACATTCTCCGGTTGTTTAGCAAAGATGTCAGTACAATCGAAGTCTTTGGCGGCTTGTCTTGAAACTACCTCCGCGGACTTTACAGGATCTGAGGGTTGGAAGGCCTGAACGTGGCGAAAGTCAGTTAAAGTAGGAATGCAAAAGAAGACGGACCTGACACCGAGCATCGTCAAGACAAAACGTGATTTTCAAGTGCCTTTTCATCTTTAAAAGCAAAGATAACGCCACTGCCCCATCGGACTGAACCTGGAAAGGAAAAGATTAGAACGCCAGGGTCGCTCAGGGTACATTACCTGTAGGTGTTTCAACACCTCTTGGGGAACCTGAATTGAAGTGCCTTCTTCTGTTGCATCTGGTGCGGTTTGCTTCATCAAACCACAAAGTGGTTCCTGTTGGAACTCCGCTTTGATGCTCGCCTCAAGGTCACCTGCTCGGACTTGCAGAATGCGATTGATGGCGAATATCAAATAGAGAGGTTCTTCCAGCAGATTGAACGGCAATGAAACAAGAATCTCGGTGCAATACCTGCAACATCGTGATTAAGGACCACGATTAAATACACTTGTGAAGACACTTACATCAAAAAAGATGTGGATGCTTGTGATGTTATCCAGTCGAACTTGCGAACTACGGATGCCAAAAACTTGTTTCTTGAGTTCCGCGACCCCCGAATGAGCTTGTATATACGAGAAATTCCTGCGCGCGCAAAAGCAGCCTCGTTTTGGTCGACTTTGTTTTTCACGCGTGAAGCGTGTGTTGCACCAGTCTGAATGAAGGTGAAGGACAACTGCAATCCGTCGCCAAGACGAGTTTCAAAGAACGATGGATATCTGTAAAGAAACGTGAACTCCGAGCCTCAAACAATACAAATCCAAAGTAGCTTACTTGTCGTTTAGATTGCTTAGCAAACGATGAGCAAGCTTAGATATGCCTTCTTGTTGGTCTACTTCAAGTGCTATAAGCTGAGGTACGCACGTCATGGGATGAACTAAACCCTGACGCAAAACTGCATCAACAACCTGAACACAGAAATATGAGGATCACAAACGCTAGAGTTAAGAAGGCATACCTTAATCGCAGCTTGCCTGACCTGCTCATCTTTATCCAGACACCTTTCCAGGATACGGTCCCAATGTAGCTGAATTATACCCCCACATATGTTACTATCGCCTGCCCCTGCCGCAATAGGAACAGCTGTTGTAGCGTCTCGGCTTTCGCCATCCTTCGCATTTGCCAATCCCATTTGTTTTTCCACGTCGAGCAGATACTCGTAAAAGTTCCGAAGAGTTTGCATCTAACCATTTGCTAAGCTGGTTAAATAGTCATATATATGAAAAGTGCGAACCTTCAATCGCGTATCAGCTTTGGAAATCAATGAATCCCCCAAAACCTTTCCAATGCTCTCGTTCATCATAAAATCTGGCCTCGCTAGAAACACAAATCCTGCCGCCTATTATCCCCGATGTTAGATAAAAACCATAACGAGAAAATACTTACTTGTAGTGCCTTAACCTTGACTTCAAAATCTTCACTTTGAAGGTAGTGTGTGTACAAATTTAAAACGCTATTCATAGTAACATCGTGGTCATTCATGCCATCGATAAGCTCTGCTCCGTACCGGACAAATAACCCGAGGCAAAACAAAGAACGAAGAATGTTCTGGAGCATAAAAACATTATCAGGAAGAACGGTATGCAACTTCATGCTTACTGGCTTCTCTTGAATCATTTCACTGTTTTGCCACGACTCGAGAACTTTGTAGAATTGCCGGACTAGGAAATCAAACACGACTCCTTTCTTGGAAGAGATTTTTGTCAAGGAAGCCAAACATCTGAACACAAACACGGGATTAAAACCGCAGTTACAGCTGCCACAGCCGAAATAACTTACTTTATACATGCATGAACGACGGTTAAGAATGAATACCGAACAATGAGCTGTCGCAGATCTCGCTCTAGTTCTTCCACGAGATTTTGAGGCGGTCTTCTGAGTAGCGGGAGAACCGTATCAATTACATAAACAATGCTTTGCAAAAGCTGCGCTATATCGCGATTATCAGCCTGTTTGCAATAAAACGATTAAATCGCATGTTTTCTATGTTAGTAAATATATAGATTACCAGTGTTTTCAAATATGGCTGCAAGGTTACCGCAAACCGTGATGGATCAGAAGCAGGTGCGCAAAGAGTAGGATCAACTATGCAGAATGCATGCAAAGCTGACACATAAGGCAACGCCTGAACCTCTGAATCCTCGGACGTCTCTTCGGCCTGCATACTCTGTTAGAGAGCTATCCATAATATTTCAACTACTTACCTTCAGGATGCACTCCATAAGGTACTTGCACATGAGTTCGCATCGATTACGCACGGCAGCCTGAGAAATATTGGTTGGAGCAGCCGTCTTTGAACCTTGAGGAATGAAATCTAAGGTTAGGCTTCTCTTGATAATCATCACTATCGGCTGATGGTTTGGAAGACTTTTTAAGACATCCACGATTTGTTGTACGCGTTCAGCAATCTCAGAAGGGACAATACTTCCGTCGGCAACAAACTGAGTCTGCTGCCCAGGATGCTCTTCAAACCAAAGTTCATAAAATGTCTTACACACGAGATCCTAAGCAACATATATTAGCATTTCGCATATATCGGAAATGCATACCTGAATGCTGGCTTCATCATCATTGATTCGAGAAATAACACGGATGCATGCATCGGTTGCTTTTGGAAATCCACCCGCCAATAAGCAAAAATCACGAAGAATTTTTATGACCCGCTTCCTCACACTGACACCAGTGTCCATAATGCGCTCAGATAGCCGATCAAAGTACTGCAAAGAACATGTTAATATGAAAACACGAGCATGGCAGTATACCTTGATAGCTACATCCGGACGAGATACAATGTGGCGGCCAACAAGTTCCATCGCAGCTTCTCGCACGGATATAGCCGAATCCATAAATCTGCCTTCAACGGCTTTCTGTACTCTTTCATCAGCTAGTACTCCAGGATCGACTTCAACGATTGCACTAACCTGCATAATCATTGTATGAATTTCATTGTCACAACTAAAATGATTCTTACCGCTTTCAAAGCTTTTGCTCGAGGATTAGATGCATTTTCCTGCAGGCTTGCCTGAGAAAGAGAAGGTGAGAATCAATCGCTAGAACAATTAAAATTATATATACCAGAAGCCGCTCCAAAATTCTATCAAATCCTCGTGCTAGCGGCCTCTGTTGTCCCAGTGCTCTAGTTATGCGAACAATGATGTCTCGAGAAATGGCATTAGACGTAATTCCGAAGTCCTGATGTGGAGCTTTCGATCCCCATCTCCAATGGTAAAAAGCAAGACTTTGTAACCCTTGCGGATCATACCCGTACCAAAGGCACAAATAAAATCTGCAAATTTCAAAAGCTTTCAGTCATAAAAGCAAAAGAAAAAAGAAAAACCACCTCCGAGCGAAAAAAGAGACGTTGTCTCCGCTACCAGTTTCCCGTAAGAAATTCAAGAGAATCTGCTGAACGATAACTGCTCCATCTTCAGGAACTTTGTAAGTATCATGGGACTTTCCACTCGATCCTGGGTCGAAGGAAGCAAGTTGGTTTCTACAGAGACAGCAGTGACAAAACCATCCTCTCCCAATAAGATCTTGTCCAGTAACACCGACACAATCTCCGTGAAACCACCGTTTGCAACTGTCACACCGCAGGATGAACTTATTGGCTTTCGAGTGACCACAGCTTGTACAGACATCTTTTGCGAAGCCGCTAGGACCTTCCTGAGTTTCCTGTAGTATCCAAAGGTTATCTTTGCTATAAGCCACCGTATCTCTTTTCAAGTGTGCAGCAATTTGACCGAGGATATCAATGGCAGAAACCCGGACTGGAACATCTTTGGATTTTACCCCTGCGGGGCCTAAAAGCAGCACACAAAGCACCTGCATATATCCAGATTAGATTAAGACACAAACATGGTCATATACCTGCAGGAGAAGGCTTGCAGCTGGAAATTCCGGAACATTTATAGTCGCCAACAGATCCAATACTAGGTTCTCCATCACTACTTTGACATCCGAACCTTCTTGAGCCTTTGGCACAGCCCATCGTTGAAAGACATTCCTCCAGAAGTAATTGCATATGCTAACTGCAGGTTCAAAGCATTTTCTAGTATCGGTAGAGGCCTTCTCCTGTCCAGTTCTCAATTCCGGAAGAGCAACGCTGCACTGCACCAGTTGAAGAAGTAATGCTACTAGCATCTGTATCTGCTTATGTTCTTCCTCTGGTAGATGATATGTCCTCAGGTTCTTTTTCGAAGAAGGGAGCTTCCATAACATGGACAAAAGCTCGTCGATCATTACCGTCTGATGCTGCGGGTAGATGTTGAAAACCTGAGGGACAAGCATTAGATAGTTTCCCTGAATCAAAAACTAAGACTCACCATGCTGGCAACGCCAATCGCTTTTAACTGCAATAGTTGTATATTGTCAACACCAAACGTGCCGAGAACAGTCTTCATTAGTTGAAGAATGGTACTATCAAGAAGTTTCTCCACTGATAATAGGTCCTTCAAAAGCGCAAGTATGCTACACAGCTTATGAAGAACTATAGAGACAGCAGTAGACACCCTGCAAAGCAAAAGATGATGATAATTGAACAAGAAAATGCAAGTTAAATGGTCACCTAGAGGATGTCAGTTTCTTAGGCTTCCCTGATCGACTCTTTCGCCTGCCCCTTTTTCCTTCATCTTCTTCTTCCTCGTCCACTAAGCGTAAACCATCTTAATAAAACTTGCTGAAAACAGCGAGGCGTTACCTTCATCTTCGTCGCCACCATTCTTATGAACTTGTCGGTAAAGAGGATCATATGCCGTAAAAACACTATGGACAATCTGATACCGCGTGAACTCTATGATTCTATCGATGACCTGCCCAAATGCGTAAGTGAGAGTAGCCAATAGGATTAAAGATAGTCACCTCTTCCTTGTAAATCTGCTTGGGCATTTTAGGAGAGGACATGATCATCAATGTTACTTGAACCGCCTCTAACGCGGTCATGACAATCTCAAAATTGTCGGACTCTACCTGAATAAACGTCGTTCAGTACGCAATATTGTGCAAAGATAAACTTACGTCATCTCCTTCGTCTATTTCCTTCAAATGAGCATGCCTGACGTGCCGGTCCAGAAAATTTAAAAGCTTGATAAGCCGCTCGGAAGGGATCTTAGACACAGCAGCCTTTGCATGAAGTGAGGTGATCTCCTCCGAGATTGATTTCATCTCTTGGAGGGACAGGGTCGTTCCTTCCTCTTCACCGTCAGGATCACCATGAGTGTCTGACCTCTCAAGGAACTCGTTCAAAAGCTCACATATTCCACTGGTGATACCATCTGCATTTTTGCACGTAAACCACTTGATACACTGCTGCTCTAAACAGGTACTCACTTTGTTTCGGTTCACGACGTCCAGAATCTGCCGCCCGCTTTTCTTTGCCTTGATGATCCGCATCATGCTGGTGCTTACGCTTTAGCCTGGGCTTTTTTACGGTAGACTGCTCTTCGTGATCCTGAAGCACTGATGTTTTATAACGTGACTATCTAACAAGCAGTACTGTTACCTCTGAGTTTTGCAAAGGTCCTGTACGTGCTGCGAAAGATGATGGCTGTGACTTCGCTTTAGGCACCTCAGCTTTCAAGGGAGCTGTGGAGACGGGAGCTCAGTGAAAGCATTCCAAAAAAGGAAGAGAGAAAAATGGAAAAGGAAAATACCTGAAGAACGGCAACTAAATGCTTGGGGATTAAACTTAAGAACAGCGGCCGCCAAGCTTCCAGGCTCTGCCACAACGGGCGGAATCGATGTCTCGTCTTTCAAGGTGCTGGAAATACGATCGACAAGAGATAGAAGGGATTATAATCTCGACTCTTTCGACTTACATGTAGCTCGAGTCGGTATTGGCGAGAAGCTCCGCAATTTTCCCGGCCTTGGACATGATCGCGGCATCTCTAGCACCCTGGAGCCGCGCTGCATGCTCATTCTCCTCAAACAGCGATAATCCCTGGCTCGTCGCTCCAAACCCGATTGGAAGGCTCGGCAGCGGCAGCGACTGCGCAATCTCCGTGTGCGCGGTATTGGCGAGGCCGTAAGTCTTCCTATCGCCTTCTTCCATGGAGAGAGATTGAGAATCCTGGCCGCTGTGATTCCAATGGCACCTAAACCCTTGACCTCTTTCCTCGCGGAGCTAGGGTTCTAGCGCCGGCGCAGCTGGGATGATCTCCAGCATTGCGCGGCGATCCTCACCCGCGCCATTCCCTCGTCGCCGAAAGAGCAAAAGAAGCCCTTGCCGCTTCTTTCCTTCTAAAGCACACACAGCAATATTACTCACGGAAAACTATGGCACGGGTTCGATACCTCCCACTGCTATCATTTTTTTGGTTCCTCGCAATAGAGATCGTCCAAGAGGACGATCACGGCACCGTCGTCTCGATCCAGCTCCATCGCGCGCGCCGCGGCGATTCCTCCCCGCTCCACATCGCGATGGATCCGGCACGCCGCGAGCAGCGATCCCCACGCGGCGGCGTCGGCAGGGAAGGGCATGGCGTGGATCAAACCCTCGGCGAGCTCCAGCTCCCCGGCGCGCCCCAGGATGTCGATCATCGCGCAGTAGTGCTCGCGGCTGGGCGATAATCCGTGGTCCGGCGCCATAGATCGGAAGTAGTGCCGCGCGGAGTCCATCCGGCCGCAAGCGCCGAGGAGGCTCGTCAGGGAGATCGCGTCGGGGGATTCTCCATGCTGCTCCATCGATCGGAAGATCTCCAAGGCGGATCTATCGCTGGCTCCATCGCTGGCTGCGATGAGCGAGCTCCAGGAGATGCTGCTGGGCTGGGGCATGGAATCGAGAAGATTCTTGGCGCTGGCAAGATCGCCACTGCGGGCGTATGCCGCGATCATCGTATTCCACGAGCAAGGCGACTTCTGTGGCATGGAATCGAAGATGGATTGCGCGGATTCGAGGTCTCCTCGCTGGGAGTAGCCCTGGATCATCGTCGTCGCGGCCACGGCATTGGGTTCGTGGAATCGATCGAAGACGCGCTTGGCGAGGGAGAGATCTCCCGCTGCGGCGAATGCAGTGACGATCATCGTCCGGGAAATTGCGTCCCACCCCGGCATCCGATCGAACACTAGCTTTGCTTCGTGGATCTCGCCGATCTCCACGAGCCCCTGCGCGATTGAGTTCCAAGAAACGGTGTTCTTCCCCAGCGTAGAGTGGAAGATTGCTTTGGCACGATCCAGATTCCCTGCCCGGGCAAGCGCTAGAATCATGGTGTTAGTCACAAACGCGCTCCTTTCCGGGATCTTGGCATAGATCCTCTCGGCCTCGGCGATCAAGCCCTTGCGCGCGTAGCCTTGGATCACGGTAGTCCAGGAAACTATGTCCCAGCAAGGCATTCTCTCCAGGATCACCATCGCCTTGGAAATATGCCCAGTTTGGGCATATCCTGCGATCGTCGTGCCCCAGGTCACGAGATTGTTCTCCGGCGATTCATCGAACAGCTGCTTCATCGCGTCGAGATCGCTGTTCATGGAGAGAGATCGCAGCATCGAGCTCAAGCTCACGAGATTCCACCGCGGCATACGATCGAAGAGCGCCTGGCAATGCTGCGAATGCCCAGACCCGGCATTGGAGTAGGCCGCGAGGATCATGTTGTAGGAGACGAGATTGGGGCGCTGGATCGCATCGAAGACCGTCCTCGCGTCGCCCGCGCTGCCGCATTTGCCATACATCTGGACGACGAGATTGGCGAGATAGGTGCTGGCGCTGATCGATCTGCGCTCGCTGCCGGCAATTAGGGCGTGGATCCTCCGGCCCTCGCGCAGATCGGCCGCGTCGCTCGCGTTCTTAAGCGCCGCCGCGAAGCGTTCCTCGATCTCGTCCTTGGATGCGCCCAAGAATCTTCTCCCGGCCACATTTCGCGCCAGATTTTGTCAAAAATTAGGGTTCTTGGATCTCCGCCTAGCTTTAAAGGTCTGTTTTATCGTTTAAACCCTAAACCTTTAAAAGACCAAATGATGGGTTGTTTGTGACCATATGGCCCAAAGAACGAAGCTTTTTTCCCTCTTCGTCCTCCAGGGTTTTTCGTTCGTGCGATGCGGCAATGGTGCTTCCTCCCGTGCTGCTGCCAGGGTTTCAAGATCGAGGAAGAACGCGAGGTATTCCTAGATCGCTCGCGGCGGCAATCTTTCTTTCTTTCTTTCTTTCCCCCGTCCAGGTCGTGGAAGCCGGGGACATCATCGAGCCCTGCTGCGCAGCAGCCGCAAGAACGGGACCAGCGATGAGCGCGGGCGAGCTGGAATCGCAAGCAATTCGTGTCGTGAGCGAGATTTTGCAGCACCAGGCCGTCTCGGTGAGCGATCCCCCTCTTTGTGGCACTCTTTGTTTGCGTGAAGATTTTTTTCTTCTTTTCTCGCGTGACAGTTCTTTCTTCTTCTTGCGAGTGGAATGAAAATGCCTTCCTTCTCATCGTTTCTCTGTTTGTATCTTGGTGTATTGAAATTTGGGCTTCCTCAGGTTGAAGAAAAGGAGCACAAAGTTCCGTCAAAGGTGACTTCTTCTTCCCTCTGGGTAAGATCGAGAACATCGTTTGATCCTTTTCGCAGAGTGACTCGCTGGGCATCGATGAATTCGACGACCAGATCATCCTGCCGGTAAGTTCACGTAAGTTTTGCTGCGAATGCTCACAAGCTGGTATTATTCTACAACGTACAGAGCGAAGACGACGGCTACGAAGTAAGATTTTCGTTATTTTTGCAAACACCAACACATATTCGCGAGATTCGTGAGCAGGACACCTTCAGTACAACCACGAGTTTGCTCGATCTCGCAACGGAAGAGAACAACGAAGGCGAGAGCATACCCGTGGTAAGTAAACGGTGTTTATCCTTTATCTTTTCTTTCTTGTCTACGAGTTGAAACGTTGGGCGTGCCAGGAGAACGTCGACGACGCCGCATCTCGAGTAAGCATCTGAAGAGCTTTCAAGGCGCTAAGAAAACTTTGTGTTTCTTTTTCAAGGTGGAGGCAGATCCAGGGCCTGTAGAAATGTACGTGAAAAGAAGAAAGCTGTTGGATTCTAAAACCATATCAGCTGACGACGTGATGAATCGTTTGATCTTGTGTTTCTCACAGGAACTTACTGCTGGTTGTGGCTCTGCTCGTCCTCATTTGGTGGCAGCTCTACCGCAAGTCCGCCGTAGCATCGCAGCCGTGGTCACTCGCGAACCATCCAACTCTCCGATAAACGTCACGCAAGTATGTTCTTTTTCACCTCTTCTCGTGCAAGATCTCTTACAAGCTTAATTCCAACGCAGGAGCGAGTCTTCCTTGATCGAAACAAAAGGAGACCAAAGCGTTTTTTTTCCTTTTTTTTTTCTTTTTTTCCTATGGATACCAAAATCCTTGTCTTTTTGTTCCAAGTAATTGGAATTCTGGGATTTCCTTCGTATAAGCTGGCAACCATCTTACTAGAAATGAAAATAATTTAAATCGTGCATGCTTGCTCTGGAAATTAGAAATTAGCGACTCTTTCACCCACCCTTCAACATATGTTTCCTAGTCAGTCTCCAAAGTCATTTTTTTGCGTTACACAAATTTCTAGACTACAAGCAGCTGAATACATTACTATTTGACTGTCGTTTGCAATCAAATGAAGTGTATTGAAATTCGCTTCCACCAAGTCCAAAATGAAAAGCTGTTACCAGAATATAAGTGATGATTCTCATAAGGTTTGCACTCTCTTCAAACACCATCGTTTTTGCTCTAGGAGTCTGTTCTTCATCTGAGTGGGAGGAGAATTGTGCTGTGCATTGAACGAAATAAACATAGTGACAGTCTTGAGCTCTTTCAGTGTGTTTTAGACACTTTTTACATGACAATGGGACATAACTACTCAGTTGATTGAACTGAGATACTACTGAGTACTCAACTTGACAGCTCTTGGGACAAGAGAACTTGTATCAAGAGTGCATGAAGTGTACAAAGACAATCTATAAGAACACTATACACCAAGAACTTTAGATTTAAGTAGAGACCATTTCTCCATTTCATGCCTCGTTTGTAAAGCATAGCTCCCAAACCCATAGCCTTTCGTACTATATAGAAGTCTGTCAAGAAGGATGTAACGAATAAGAGAGATTTCATTCTCGCAAGAATTATTTGTTATAAACTTGACAAGCTCACATAGCAAACAATCCTTCCTTACTCGCTCTCTTCTCAGCTCCTCTGTCAAAACTTTTTTTCCTTCTTGTTCTTCCCTGTGAAATCTCTCTTCCATTCCCGAGAACCACTGAGCGCCATATCAATCGCGAATGAATTGATAGTGTCCATCCACACCATCTCTGGATCAGCCATAGAGAGCCAAGACGGCGTCAATGTACCTGTTGCAAATCGGGCACTTGGCACGCTGGCGCCGGATCTGCTCGCCGCAGCTCTTGCACATCCGGTGGCCGCAGGGGACGAGCGCCGCGTCCTTGGGCACGTCGAAGCAGATGCAGCAGCAGTCCTCGAGCGACGCCTCCAGCAGCGCCGCCGCCTCCACCCGCGACTGCTGCGAGCTTACCACAACCTTCATCCTGCAAGGATCCTCTTCAGAGAACAAGCTCGACGTCAAGTCAGGAAGAGCACCATTACCGCCGGCGTACAACGAGTAGTAGCCCTTCCTGCCGCCACCGCTTCCAAAGCTCTCAAACCCGGCGTTGCTGTTGACCGCGGAGCCACCACCACCGCCACCTCCGCCGCCGCCACCACCACCACCACCACCACTGATATAATCGTCGCCACCATCGTTGCTAATGCTCAGGTTGCTCAGAGTGCTGTCCAGGAACGAGAGGATATCAGAATCATCAGGCCCACTGGAAGACAGACCTGACGATAGTTTTGCTCCTCCGCCACCACCGCCGCCGCATTCCCCCGCGGCTGGTGCTGGGAACTCGCCCAGGGAGGCACTAAAGAGCGTCGTCGACGTCGACGGCAGCCTCTCCACCGGGAAGAGCGTGGCCAGTAGCGCGGAGATGTATCCCTGTGAGTCAAGGCACGGCTGGTCCGACCAGACTGGCGACTCCAATCCATAGCTGCTGTGGCTGCTGCTGTTGGTGGTGATGTTCTCTGGTCCCGGGGACCTCCCCCACCGAGACGATGACTTGTTGTAGGCGTCGTCCTCGAGCGAGGAGCACGATCTCGGCGACGACCACGACGAGGAGAGAAGCACAGAGAACTGCGACGCCTCGTTGTAGTCGCTCACCTCGCCGTTGAGTGGGCTCCTGCTCGATGGGAAGAGCTGTGGAGTGATGGGATTGTGCTCGCACGACGTCGAGGCCTGGAGGTGGTGCTGGTGCTGTTGCTGGTATTGCTGTTGTTGCTGCTGCTGTCCAGATGACTTTGGAGGCATGATAACGGAGCAGGGAGGAGCCGGAGGACGTAAACCTGTTGGACGTGGAGTCGGAAGCAGTGGAGGGAGATCGTGAGCTGGCTGGAGAGTCGGAGGCGGTCGATGGGAAGGGTCCGGGGGAGCTGGGACGCCGTTAGCTGGCAATGGATGATAGCTGTTCGCGTTGGTGACGGCCGCCGTGTTCTTTCGGCCGCTGCTTTTTGGTTTCTTTGGCTTCAAGGGCTTGTCTTTCTTCGCCTTCGGAGGACTGGAAGTTGGCACCACCGTGGAAACATCTGAAACCGGCAGAGACTCCTCTTCCTTTTGCTGTGGCTCACTCGCGGTCTGGCTTTCCATCTCCAGAAGAAGCCTCTTCGCAGCTGCAAGCTTTTCCTGAAGAGCAGCGGCAAATCTTGACGACTGCTCGACCGCAAGGACGGCAGCTTTCAGCCGATCGTAGCTTCCATCCTCTATAGCAGAAGTGAGATCATCCTCTAGAACGCTAGCTTTTTCCCTCCGCTTGAGCCGCTTTGCTAGAGCACCCTTCACCTGCTTAAGTAACCGCTCGTCCACCAATTCTTGAGCACCGTCCTCACAAGCGCTTATGGCCGCCTCCATCTTTTCCACCTCACCCGAGGCCATAGCTTCACGTAAAGTCGCATTCAAGAGCTCTATAGCTTCTTGCTTCTCGCATGATGACACAGGTTCTGCTGCTGCTTTAGCCACCTTTTGACCCTTCTGAGACTTCTTCTTACTGCTTTTAGATGCTTTCTGAGATATCTTCGCCTTCTCTTCCCCTTCAAAACTATCGAGACAATCGGCAGTAGCTTCTGAAACAGCTGGTATAACTGTGGTTGTGGTTTCACCTGCTAGCAAATTAGTTGCCACGGACTCCGCATGGGCTACCTCTACTGTCTCTACTTCTACCGCTGGCTCTACCTCAACCTCCTGTGAGGAGATTTCAGTCGACACAGAAGCTGAAACATCTCCTGTGAGCTCTGAACTAGGATCCTGCTCTTCCTTCCTAGAAAGTGCAGCCTCATTAGTCGCCTTCTTTTTGCTGTTCTGTTTGCTCTTAGCCTTAGCCTTTTCCCGGGCTTTTTTCCTTCCCTGCAATTGCACCTGTTCCTTGAAAAACTGAGCTGCCAGGTTCTGCCCAAACAGCTCCGAATGCCATTCCCCGTTCTTCCCATCACCATCAGTCACGAATACGTCCACACCCCTCTCCACAAGAGCCTTGAGGCACGTGACATCACCGGCTTCGGCAGCCTCGTGTACAAGGAAGACAACTTGAGAAGCAGTAGCGATCCTGTATGAAAATAAAAGTCAAGATAAGACGGTCCCAACGTGTATGCAGTACCTGAAAACACCGAGTCTTGCTAATGCAAGCCTTGCGGACGCACAGACTTCCATATGTGGCTTTTTCAATCGTAGCCCGTACGAAGGAATGGAAAGAAGTCCGCCATGCCGATGTAAAGCAGCAGCCAATGCCTGCAAGGAGAACATTTAGATGCTAAGAAAATCGAGAAATGAAAGAGAAAGAAAAAAAGTAAAACCGAAATACCTGGACAAAGCGACCTGTCAAAGGATCGACTGTGTTCAACCGATCCTTCATAAGACCAGCAACAGCCCAAAATGCAGCACACAATATCCGCAACTCCACAACAGTTGACGTTGCGACAGCTAGAGCGTCCCTATCCGCATCTGGAAACTCGGCTTCGGCTTGAATCTCCACTTCAGCACCCTCTTGTAACAACCCGAATGCAGTGAAAACGTTCCTCTTCCAGTAGTGTACGGACGAGATACACTCCAATAGTCCTTGCAATGCTCCATCCTCGAGAAAACTTGCACGCCATACGGAATTATGCTCTGCCATGTAGCCAATGACAAAACAGACGTGTGCTGCCACCTCGGGTGACGGAGCTTCAAACACCCTCCGGAACAGCTCCAGAGCAAATGCAGGACCACCGCAACCGGGAGCAGCTATTACCGCCGTTTGGAAAAGGCCAACTTGAGGTGCATCGAGAACCAGCCTCTCGAAGAAAGGATTCCATTTTCCTCTGAGAGAAGAGCTGTCGTCTGCAGGAGTATCCCGAAAAGATGGACAGTTGACCCCCTCCCGGAAAATATGAGTGAGGCCAACAATGGAAGCCGAAGCCTGATTGTTGCGCCGTCGACGGTTGGATTTTCCAGCAGGAACTGTCTTGGAGATTGCAGAGTTCCAGATGGCATCAAAATCTGGCTGTCCATGTGAGTCGATACCGAGAGCGTGGAGTCCATTGACCTGAATCTGACTGTCTTCGTTGTAGCGATCCAGGACAGTCAATATTAAATCCGCACCACCATGAGCAGACACCGCCACCTGAGCACGTACGCTGCAGCCACAGACCGTCGCAAGCACACAGCAGGCTTGCTGTACAACTTTCCTTCTGTGTTGAGCACTGCCACTCAATAGCGCCTTTTGCATAGCACCTAGAACCGCTTCAGCTCCAGGACATCCCAGATCAAATACCGTCTCGATCTCCTTGACTGTTGCCGCCGACACACAGGCACCATAGAGAGCATGAAGTGCAAGGCTGGTAACGTCGAGCCGATTTTGACTTGTCCAGTGAACCACAAGATCAACAAGCTGCTTGACACCTGCTTCGCCCTCACCCCTGCAGGCAGAAGTTAGAAAATCCATAAAGGTGACAAGAAAAACGTCATGTATAAACTCACCATATTTTCGCCTTGTACTCTTCCCGATCAACTTCTGTCCCAGGTTTAAAGAGATGCAAATTTTCCCAGGTGAGGTACAAGCTTACCAACGCATGGCATGCCCAGATCACCGTCTCCGCGTCCTCTAGCTTGTAGAATATCGTCCGAATGGATAGTATAGCATGCTTCACCGCCAGAGGAAATCCAACATCTTCGGCAATTTTGGCCATTGACTCCGTTGCTTCTTGCCAGGCCTTGATGTCCTTGACGGCTTGCTGCTGTGAGGCACCAAAGCCACTCCAATCAATCCAAGAGGAGCTCCCGCAACACTTGTGACTGCTTGAGCAGATGTGGTGGCTCCCTTTCCTTTCACTTTCTTCGTCCGGCTTTGCTGTGTCCAAAGAGCTCTTCTCGGATTGCGCACCATCCTCGGACTCATCATCACCAGAGCTCTTCATATCAATATTCAGAAACTGCTCCCCGTTTGAGCGGTCTAGGAAACTCTTGTTGCTTCTGAAGAAGTCCACGCAATCACTGTTTGTGAAACCACCCTTGCCAATCGCGATCTCCGAATCCCGAGTAAGGTATCCAAAAACGTCTCCAATAGCCCCTAATGCAGCACACCAGCTTTGCCGCACGGACGAGAAAAAAATACTGGATGTCGCCGTCTGAGTTCTCGAGTAAAGTGTGGGCTTCCCACGAGCTGGATGAAGGGACGTGGCCTTCGCTTGATTAGCCTGAGATCCTGTCGAGCTGTTGTTGTATGAGAAGGCCATCGTTCGTGATATCATATACATCACCGAAGCCGCCTGAGAAAGGATAAACTTCGCCAACCAATCTGAAGGAGAAGGTGCCCCAGCCTCGGCGCTCTTCACATTTGAATCTGCTGCAGAAGGAAGTGACTCCGTCCTCAAAGAATCATGTGCCAGCAAATGCTGAGAAAAAAGTTGAGGCTGCAAACTGGAAGCCGATGCGCATACGGGGCCAAGACACTTCGCATAGTGGACGTATGGGAGAAATGCTTGCTGCAGCACTGCACACCCCCAAACTTGGACGGTCTCAACTTTCGAAAACTCCCGCATAGCCGCCATGGTTGCTTCAACAGCTGCGCTGATTCTTTCCACATTGTCGACGATATCCTTCCCTGGAAAGTCCGGAGAAAGTGTAGCATCCTGCTTCTGTGACTTCGAGCTGTCGGTTTTTCCTGCATCTGCAGCATCAACTCCAATCGCTGGCTTGACAGGTACATCAGTACATGTGGAGCCGAAAGTTGCAGTCTCGCCCGAACCTTTGAGAATACAGCCAAGAGCGAACGTTCCGTTGCTTTGTAGAGATTTAGACTTGCTGAACATCTTCATCGCACTAACAACTGCTCCCAAAGCTGCCCACCAGTCAGTAGATTTCTCTAAGCTCTCCTCAGAATCAGGCTCCTGTCCCTCAGACTTTGCAGTTGACGAGAGAAAAAGGCCGATCTCATGCCCGTTCTCCGCAAGTGTTCTGACCATAGTTCCGATGACGTTGCAACCTTCCTGCTGCATCATCTCGTTCATTCTGCACACGGACATTGCCCCGACAACAGCGGTAACTGCACCCAGGTTCACCATATTCGCGACGCTTTTGACTCCAGCAGAATGGACTAAAGTCCACAGGGTACTGCAGCCGTGCCACTGAATTCTGACATCATTCGGGAAAGATGCCATTGAAGAAATAAGAGCTCGAGCACCTGCCTCCCTGTCTATATCCCTTGAAGCTCTAAGAGGTCTCTTTCCAGTTCTCCATTCCGGGACTCCAAGACCAGTCCTAGTGCAAAGAACTTGCAATGCACCACACCCTGCCCTCTGTGTAAAAAAAGTGTCAGGCATAGCTCGAAATCTTGAAACCACAGTGTACCTGTACTGCAAGGTTGCTAGGATGATTATCCATTGCAATAGTTATCGCAGCCCATGCGGCATGACCGGTAGTGGAAGAAACTGCTCTGATTAGTGAACCAAGAGCCAGACAACTTTCTGCCTGCATATCCGCATCATTAGCGAACTCTCGCATAGCCGCTATAATAAAAGTGAACGCATCATCACACGCCGTCTTAGAATTCGTAGAAGATAGATGTGCCGAAAGAGCCCTTAATGCTGCTAATAACACAAATATCAATGACAGAGACACAAGAAGAAAACACCGAAAGAAATATACGTACCGGCCATGGTCGAATGAGATTCGATGCTGCATGACTGCATTGCGTTCAAAATCGCTTTGACAGCTTTCTCTGCTAGCATGGGAACGGTCGCCGCATACGCCACCGCAGCTAGCGCAGAAATAGAGCTGCTTGTGCTCTCCGATGAAATGCCACCGCAGAATGTTGATTGCAGCATCCCTTTGTAACTCTTGCCCGAGGAAAGCGTACGCGCTGCTGCCACATAGCTTCCCGAGGTCGACTTCGATCCTATTTTCAAGGTAAAATCAGATGATGTCGAGTGCTCACGATACTTGGTAGCCAGCTTCAAAAGTGCTTTGGAGGGGAAGAGCTTTTGGTCCAAAAGTGAGTGATCAGCCGGAGCAGGATGAGCTTGGACGGAGAGCGATTGATTGTCAGCGTTGTCAGCCTTCGAGACATCATCGTCATTGCTGACAGTCTCTTTTACCGGAGCAACACTGCTGTACGTGCTACTTTCGAATGACGTTCGATCCAAACTACCGGGTGGAAGTATGCTGCCCAAACAGTTCAGGCACCAGCTCAGCAGGTCCACATTGTCCTTGAGAACATGAACCATATCCACGAATGCCTCTGTGAGAGCTACGTACATCTCAGCAGAGAGTGCCTTGCCCCGCTTGCCATTTCCTATCCCCAAGCTCGAGTTTCCCGCCTTCACCTTGACACCAGTTTTCGATTGCAATGCGGCAGTCAGCAGCTTGTCCAATGCACTGCATGCAGTCGCCACTACGTTCGACATGCCCGACGATTTGGCGAGTAAATATACGCCATCACCCTCCTCTTCGCTCACAGTGCTAGTACTATCTTCCGAGTCGTCCAGATCCGCCTTGCTACTATCTAAAAACTTGTCCTTGTTCTCATCTAGCTCCACCGCTACGTCGTTACTATCCTCCCTAACTTTCCCGTTCTCCAAGGTAACCCCTGTTTCCGGGACTTTCCCCTCGTCCTGTGGCCTAAAGTTCTCTGCGTGTTCACTAAACCCCACTACTTTCCGAGAGCTACCAACCTTCAAGCTGCGTCCCTTGAGCTTCAAAGGCTTTCTGGACTTCTCCAGGAACGAAGACCTGCATTCCCTGTTCTGGTAGCACGGCACCACGTCCTCTTCTTCTACAACAGTCCTCTGCCTTTTCCTCCGCGACTCGGAGGGAAGAACAACCTCGTCCATAGCAGCAACAGCGGCAGCAGCAGCAGCCGTCACTGTTGACTCGAGCACGTCCAGAAACTCCGCTCGGGCAGCCTCGGTGAAAGCGGGAGCAACGACCTGTCCCCCAGGATCATGCTCGTCGCTCTTGGATGACGATGATCTGCCAGCACCACCACCACCACCGGACTTGGAAACTTTCGATGATGCCACCTTGCCTGCCTTGCCCGTCCCAGCCCCGCGGAAGTGCTTGACACACGATGCTATGAGGCAAGCCCCGTTGGCCGAGATGATCAGAGAGACGGCAGATGGCAGACTCAACGCACTCCCAATCTCCACAAGTAGGCGCTCCGCAAGCTCAGGGTCAGGAACCTTAATGGCATCCTGCAAGCCTCTCACGTACTCATACAAGGTGTCTTGGAGAGCCTGCTGCGAGCAAGAGACCGAGGAATTAGGGCTGGAAGAAGAACACGCAGCAGCAGCAGTGGTGGTAGTAGTGAGAGAAGCCGAGGAAGAAGAGGAGCTAGAAGAAGACTTGGAAACAATGGCCGAGATGGTGGTGGAAGGAGAAGACGAGGAGGACGAGGGCGTCATGGGCTCAGAGCATGCTGGCAGGGACGACACAGGGAGACCTGCACAGCGAGAGTGGGACGAGAATGAGCTACCGGAGGATGAGCAAGGAATGCATAACGAAGAGAGAGCAAGGGTTCCATGGAGAGTACCGGCAGAGGAGGAGGAGCAGCAACTGGTGTGGCAGCAGTGGTGAGAATCCGATGGGCTTCGTCGACTCGGCGGCAGCACTGGCTTCAATGCGGCACTAGCTCTCGGCATAGCAGCTATTCTCTCCAGTCATGCCAGGCAAAAAAAGCTAGCGCGCTCGCTCTAGTACCTGAGAGGAACCATGCAATCAATCCGAGGGAGGAGGGGGAGAAATATCTCTCCGGCCTGGATGAACAAGCGACCACTTTTAGCGACACCGCAGACCTAAATATCGATCGAAATACCTGTTCTTGAGCTCGCAGAAACCCCAATGGCGGACGATTTCGCGATTTTCCTGCTCGGCCCTTAAACCCTGCGGCAATGTCGCCACGGCCAAGCGAATTCCCTGCCGTTCCAGGGCCCTGCTGTGAAGAAATGCCGGATTCTACGCGAGGAGAGGAAATGCCGATGCTGGAACAGTCCGAGGCCGCCGACTCTACGTCGAGGAGAAGAGAAGGATGAAGCTCGCGAGCGCCGGGCGCGCTGTGGCGCGATTACTTGGCGCTGGGCGCTTGCTGGAAGGAGAAATTTCTGGCGATAACGAGACCTAGGTAAGTAGAACAAAGAGTGGAGGAGATGACGTTGGCGACGGGCGACGACGGACCGTCCTGACTGGCACAAGCCCTAATTCAAGCACGCCGCCATATACAAGGCCTCTTCACACTGGGGCTTTAACTGCCCTGTCCTAAGCATCGAGTCGCTAGATATTTATCAAACCAAAAGTGACTTCCAAGGAAAAACTAAAGACGATTATATCATTTAATTCCCTAGTTCACGGAAGAACACTCTCCACATTCAATGCAACGATCTTCCATTCCATTTTCTAGCTTTCCTTCGATTCATCCATGCGGTAATCTGGAATTTGCAAAGAATGTGAGGTGAAAAAATCGAAAAAAAAAAACCTTGGTCTAAGAATGTGAGATGAAAAATGGAATAAGTCTCGAAATCAAAAGAGAACACAAAAAGTACCTTGGTTTTGCAGGATGATCCCGGTTGAAGTATAGCTCGTGGAATGTATCGCCAGTCTTTGTCCAAGGATTCTCATTCCGCGGCATCTTTGTCGTCGCTCCTTCTCAGCGTCTCGAGAATGACTTTGGAGATCTCGACGTCGGGGGAGAAGCCTCGCTCCGTGAGCTCGTGAAAGATTTCGCAAACGTCGTCGCTGCGCTTGGCCTTGCACAGCTTGTACATGAGGAGGTTGTACTCTGGGATCAGTGGCACGCACTCGAACTTCACCATCGCCTGGAACAGCTCGCACGACTCCGTCAATCTCTCGCCCCGGCAAAGCCCGATGACAAGCGGTATCACCACCGCGGCATCTGGAGCGCTTCCGTTCGCGATCATGTCCTTGAAAACCACGAAGGCTGCTCCAACTTTGCCAGCTCTACACAGGCAGTCGATGATGGTCGAGTAGCTGAATGCGTCGGGCTCCAGTCCGGACTTTGGAATCTCGTAGAAAAGCTTGATGGCATGGTCGAGAGCTCCAGACTTTGAATATCCATCGATGAGAATGTTGTAGGAGACGATATCCGGGCCGACACCCGACCTGATCATCTCCCTGAGCAGCCTCTGAGCTTCGTGCGGCTTCCCTTTCGAGCACATCCCCCGGATCAAAGTGTTGTAGCTCACCACGTCCGGAGGACAGCCGAGGCTTCGCATCTCTAGAAACAGCCGGTGTGCCTCCACCATGTCACCCATCTTGCAGAAGCCATCCAGCAGATTGTTGAAGGTGAAGATGTTTGGCACGCATCCCTGGCGAAGCATGTCCTTGAACAAGCTCTGGACCCTTCCAAACTCGCCTTTCCTGGAGAATCCACTGAGCAGCGAGTTGTACGTGAAGACCGTGGGTATACACCCCTTCTCGAGCATCTCCTCGAAGAGCCTGTACGCTTCACCCATGTCACCCTTCTTGGAGAAACCATCTATGAGAACGTTGTAAACCACACCATCTGGCGGACACCCCCGGTAGACCATCCTCGAGAAAAGATCCACGGCCTCTTTGAGCTTCCCCATCTTGCACAGCCCGCTGAGAAGCGACCCGTAAGTCACAACGTTTGGCTGGTGGCCACCATCGATCATCTCGTTGAGGAGCTCGGCAGCCTCGTCAACCTTTTGCCCTCTACAAAGCCCCGCGATCAAAATGCTATACGAGAACACGTTTGGAGAGCAGCCCTGTGCGGCCATACCTCGGAAAACACTGCGAGCTTCTTCGAATCTCTGGGCTTGACACAAGCTTCGCAGGAGGTAGCCATACGTGTATGTGTTTGGCACACAACCTGCAGCCAACATATCGTTGTAAGTTCCATAGACGTGATCACAGCGTCCAGACTTAGCGAGTACCTCCAGGAGATAGTTGTAGCTCAAAGTTCCATGGTTGTAGTGGACTTGGCTCCCAGCCCATTGAAAAAACGCCATTGCCAAGTCTGGATCGACTAGCTGCCTGAGTACCTGTGCCACGACTCTATCCGATAGTCTCCTACTGAAGCAGCCGAGCTTCTCATCGACGAGATCCATGGAAATCTTTCCCTTTCTCTCATCGTTCTCCTCTAGCAGCGCGCGCAGGATTTTCTTCGTGGGATTTGTAGCCGCTGGGCTCTGGATTGCCGCAACACCTTGCTTCTCGCCGGTTTGAATGGGGCTCCAAGGCTCCCCAAAATCGAAACCGGTGATTTCCGCAGCGGCGGCTTCGATAGATGATGATGGCGACGACGGATCCGCGACCTCGATTCCTGGAAATCACGGCGTTAGGAGGCCGATATTTCGAGAATCGCTCGATCGTCGACGCATTCCGGGCCACTCGAGCAACATTCTTGGAAAGAGTCACGCACCGTAGAAGCGCCGTTGATGGGAAAAACTGGAATATCTTCGTAGGACACGCACCGCCATAGCCAGGAAGAACCCTAACTATTCGTCCTGAACATAACTTTAATAACCAATTTTCTTGCAAAAACTTTAAATGTAATTCCCTTTTGACCAAATTCGGGTGTCAACTTGTTAAGAATTTTTGTTGTTTCTCTAAGCTTGGTTATAGTTTCAGGTATTTGTTATCCTAATAATCAGAAAAGTTCTTCACATTAAGGAAATTGTAAATACATTTCTTTGTAAACTCCCAAAGCTTTTAGGGTTAGGGCTAGATTTTAGGTCTCGGCCGCCGCTCGAGAGGGCGAGAGTGAGGAGCCATGGTGAAGCCGCTGGTGAAGGCGAAGATCGTGAAGAAGCGCGTCAAGAAATTCAAGCGCCCGCAGAGCGATCGCAAGATCTCCGTCAAGGTGAGCGTGCATTGAGTGAGGGCTTCGATTTGGGGCGGGATGACATTCTCTCTCTTTGTCTCTCTGTAGGAGAACTGGCGGCGTCCGAAAGGTATCGACTCAAGGGTCCGCCGCAAATTCAAGGGATGCACGCTCATGCCCAACATCGGCTATGGCTCCAACAAGAAGACGAGGCACCTCCTCCCAAACGGCTTCTACAAGTTCCTCGTCCACACTGTGGCAGATCTTGACCTCCTGCTCATGAACAACAGGTTTGCGCTCGCTAGATTGGATTGCTGTTTCTTGCAAAGCTCATTCTCTTTTCTCTCCAGGAAATACTGCGCGGAGATTGCTCACAACGTCTCCACTCGCAAGAGGAAGGACATCGTCGAGAGAGCTGCGCAGCTCAACGTTGCGCTCACCAATGGCTCTGCTCGCCTGCGTAGCGAGGAGCACGAGTAGAGTACTCGTTCTTTTTTGTGCTTCTATTAAAAACCATCTCTTTTCCGAGACTAATCGAATCGCAAATCCACCATATGGAGAGATAGTGTTCTTGCCAAGAGCCGAGAGAGAGCTTGCCGAGAATGAGAGAGAGCTTAAAAATAATGGCCACCCTCCAAACACTTGAAGATCGGACGGCGTCCAGCAACACATCATCGTCAGCAAAGCCCTCTCTTTGCTGTGAAGTAATCGTCCAGCGTAGAGATGGATTTTAAAACTTTGGACGCGGAGTTTGCCAAGAGCATCGACCCAGCAACTAGTTCTACCTTTCGCTTCTCCTGGAACAACCAACAAAGAAAAGTTCCATGTAGAAACTTTCGAATCGAAGCTGGGCTAGAAACTTACCTCCAAAATATGCATCACGTAATGCTTCTTGTAAGCTTTCTGGATCCTGCGAGCCGCGTCCTGCGAGAATCAGTCTCCAAGTTAGAGGAAGAACAAAACTAAGCACATACGTCCATGCGATCGTTCTCTTTTTCAATGAGATGGTCCTTCGCTGCTATTTTGATCAACTCTAATCTGGAGTATTGACCAAAAATGCCATTAGTTCCACGCTGAAAAGTTTCAAATCTAAGAAAATTCGACCTGTTTTGCCAATCCTTGTCTTTGACTTTTAGTTGCTCCAAAAACTTTTCACTCCGGTGAGCTTGTTCGTCCCGAAGCTTTTGCTCCTCTCTTAATCTTTCCATCTCTCTGGTTTTGAGCTCCAAACTTAGTTTGGCGGCCTCCAACTGCGCATCTTTATGATGCACTGCAGCCTGTATATAAGCGCAAAAAGCCATTCCTTTTAAGACTGCCAGAAAAACCCAAGGATCAAACCTCCAGTGAGTGAACCCTTTCGTCTTGCAGGTCAAGTGCTTCTTGCAAGTTCCTGGTGATGGAACGAAACTCCTCTTCCACATTAATGATAGCTCGAGTGGCTACTTTCATCGCCTGACGAAACAAAACGCTTTATAAATGGCAATTGTCTTGAGCATAGCGACGCTTACCCGTGCACCAAACTGAAGAGAAGATAACGTCTCTTGGAGATACTCGCTACAGGGAGCAATGTTGACGATTAATGACGTCTTGGCATTGCCTGAAAGAGAAATCTTAGAGCACTGAGAATAAACTCAAAAGAACTACTATACTTACCTCCTAGCGATTCCTGCAATAACCGAGTTAGCTTGGAGTCCCGGAAGGGGACGTGCAAAACGCTTGGATCTGCTCTCGCACTAATGCATTTACCTACAATCGCAATAAAACATTACAGGATCCCGGAATGAATATGAAAAAAGAGTAAGAAAAAGAAGTATGGTACCTAGTGCCGTGAGAGACATGTTGACGCTCATAGCTTCAGATGCTCGAAGGCCCTCCGAGCCTGTGAAATCGTGTCAGCAACGTTATACGAGAGGAATTTTTATAAGAATCGTACCGCTCTTTTTCAACCTTTCTGACCCAGCAAGATCAACAAGAAAAAGCTTGCCGACAAGGACCCTGGAGAACAAAGGCAAAGAGAAATATAAACCGAATGAAAGAATGTAAAAAGAAGACTTACTTCTCAGAAATTCCAGGCTGAGAGTTGGGAGTTCGTTTCTTCTTGTCAGCTGAGGATTTAGCGTCCAAAGGATTTACCGCCTTCTTCTCAACAGTAAGCATCGCAATCGTATGGCTGCGGGACGAATGGGCATTCTGTAGTTCAGGCACTTGTATCCACATTAGTTATACATGAAGCCGATTGTTAGCCGTTCTCTGGAATGGATTCGTCCCTTGCTTTGTTATGAATGAATAATCGGAACGAAGAGACGAACCAATCTTGTGAAGGCAAAGCGTCGATTTCGATCACCGATCATCAAGAGCTTCATCACGTCCTCGATAGATTTTACTTGCACCTCTTCTATGCCTGCGACAAAAATACCTCCTGCCTCAGTCTCGCGAATGCTGAGGTTGGAATTTTCAGGACGGAGGAGATCTTGAATCTGAATAAATCAAAACAACGTTATCACCGCCTGCAGCCACTCAAAAGCAACGACCTTACCATTTCCATATAGATCTGGATATATGACATAGAGATTCGGTACTCATGGTCTTTGTCTCTTTCAGCTCTGATGTATATATCGGCTGCGGAACGAGGTATAATTCCTGTGGAATGGAAAGAACCTCTATAAGAAACCAAATACGGTTAAAGCTGGAAGACATACCTTCAATCGAAGTTCCACCAACGTCGTCAAAAACCATGTCCGAGAGTGTGTACGTCTTTCCAGCTCCTGTTTGGCCATAAGCCATAATTGTGCCATTGTATCCATCAAGAACATCCTTCAAAGGCACCGGTTATGAAAGACAAAACAGGAATCCCATGACGAACCTGAATTACAGCTTGAGCAGAGACATTGTAGACATCAGCTTGCGTCGCACTTGGAGGCAAAACAGCATCGAACTTAAACTCCGTGAAATCCACAAAACTCCCCCTGCAAAGTAGACATTCTTAGCCCAACGAAGTGAAGGAAAAACAAAATGGAAAGCCTTACTTTCGCCTCACAATTACAGCATTCTTCTCAGTGTCCAAGAAAATAAAAGGAACTCCATCTTCCTTGGTCTCTTCAGCTTTCGTAGGAGGCCTCACTCTCACCGTAACTTGGACTCGTTCTAGAACACAAGAAGAAAAAACTCAATCGCAGGAATTTTTCTTCTTTCGCTTACCTGAATCGGGCTCGCTTGCTTTGCCATTGTTCTTCCCCTTCCCCGGCACCTTGGCATCCATCACCACCAGCTTAAATTCATCGCTAGGCATCTCGATCTGCGACGAAGCTCCCCCACCTCCCTCTGGCAAGATCTCCACAAACTCGAATTTATCCTGCCTCGATCCATAATCACCACACCGAATTCCTCCATCAAAAATCCCTGACCTAGCTACATTCCTACGACTCTAGCTTGAAACCTCGCATTCTCTGCACCTTACGACGAACGCGATCGCCAGATCGCATCGCAATTCCTACACCTAAACCATCGCCTTACAGAGATTTCGCCGCTCCTCCACTCCTCCACTCCGATCACCGCTATCGCCGAGAAGAGAATGCTGGCTCCACTGGAAAACAAGGAAGCCCTAAAATGGCGATACTCGGTGAATATTCTCAAGACCAAGACAGGCATATTCCATTCCACGAAAGGACGTGTCCAGACAAACGATACACTCTTTCATTCTAAGTTTAAGCCGTGGTGACCTTTCTCCTCCCCACTCTAGCAACGAATCCAGCTTTGATAGGAGCAACCGAGCGAGAGCTCCCACACTAAAACAACAAAAGAACAAAGAGAATTAGAATCACGACTTTGATCGATGCTTACTTGCTCGCATCGTAGAAAAAAGAGCCGGTTTTCTTTCGAAAGAATAGTGTCGGGGCTCTTGCAGCCATTGCACATAACGTATTCATCTGCGATCGATAAAGAAATGATTTCTCCTAGATAAACGAAACGAAGGAAATGAAAAGAGATTGAGAACTTACTCACGTATCGACGCAAAATCCCCTCAAAGTTCTTCGGCACGAATCGGCCCTTGACAACAAGTCGCTGCTGTCCGTCGAGCGAGCCGCTCGTTCCCAGCTCGGCGAGGAGAAAAGCCATGACATGCTCGGGTTGTCGGTGCATTCTGCAAGAAAGAAAGAAGAAAGTTAGAAATACAACTCTCCGTGACATGGTATGACCAAGCTTACATCTTGCAGAGATCCATGAAGTTGACAAACACCGTCTTCTTCGTACCCTCTCGGAGCACCTGTGGAGGCCGCATGATCGTCCTCCTCTTCTCCCCAGCGAGCTCGGGATTGTTCTCGTGGAGAATGTTAAACACACGTCCCAGCAGCTGAAAAAAAGAGACATGGATTCGTATTTGGTTGAGAAAATGCAGATTCTTACCTCTTCATAAAAGTATTCTCGGTCTGTTCCTTCCCAAGGATATCGCGGTCCCAGCACAATGCCTTCTCCTTCCTCGTCTTCGCCTTCTTCGAGTCCTATCAAAGGGAGAAAGAAAAAGCTTGAACTCTGTCAGTCATATGCATCAGACGTACCATTAGTCTCGGCAGCATCCAAGTTTTCCTCTTCCGCGACATCAGCTTCCACAGGCTAGAGAAAACAACAGAAGCTCCAACAAAAGAACACAGATGGAAAGTACCTTCTTTTTCTTCTTCTTCTTCCCGGCAAAGACAGTCTCGGCGGAGTTATCCACAGAAGAAGACACAGACACTGCAGCCATCAATCTCGTCAAGAAAAAAACGGAGCAAAAAGAAGAAAACGTGCGTAGATTTCACCTGAGAGACTCTCAACCTTCTCCGTTAGCTTCTCCACGCCATCGCCATCCTCGTCCTCCGCCATCCGGACCTTCTTCTTCTTCTTCTTCTTGGTAGGATCAAAGGGTCCAATCTGGAAGAGCGCATTCCGGTTGGAATCACTCCAATCGATTCCAACACACAATCGCGCTGTGGAGACAACAGTCCAGCTCGCTTACCTCTGTGGCAATGTCCTTGCTGTCGTCGTCCGCCATGGCGCCGTTTAGCTCGCCCCTCTCGCGCTTCTCGCCTGCCTCTTCTAGGGTTTTAGACCATTTACCCTACGTCGCCCTAATCTTGGCGCTTTCCTTTTCTTTGAAATGAGCGAGGACGATGAGAGCGTCTTCAAGGATGGGGTATCATCCGCGGCGTCCTCGGTGAGATCTCGATCAATCCATCCTGGTAGCTGCCTTCTCTTGCGCGAGTGGCTCTCGGATCGGTCAGATCGATCTTCTAGCTGCTCTTCCTTGCTCTATCGATCGTTTGCTTGAAATTTCCGACCGATCATCGCAGATTATCTCGTTTTCTTCGCTCCTTTCTGGAGATTTCTGACAATGCGGTGGAATTTCTTCTTCCAGATCCTCGAAGACCCTAACGGCCTCCCGAAATTCAAGAGCAGGAGAATTCCAATGCCTAGCCATGTCGACAGCTCGCAGATCACGAGCTTGCTCTATCCGACGCGAGGAATCAGGCAAGGATAGCAGAGAAATTTTGGATTGGTGGAGTTCGAAGAACAACTTAACGAAAAGTATAACGAACAAATTTTCTAGCTGCGTGGCTCTTCTCTTGGGTGATTTCCTTTTTTCTTCCTCGTGGATTGAAATTTCCCGTCTTTGCAGAGATATGATGCAGCGCATGGGAATCAGACCTCATGACCATCGGAGGGACAACAGAGCGATCATCTCGGAACTAAGTGCTAGAAGTCACGCGATGAAACAGGTCCGTGAATTCACTCTTTTTCTTTCTTGTGCTTTCGTGGATTCTTACTAGTTTCTTTGATCTAGATTGCGAGTGATCCGGAGCCACCACCTGTGAAGCCTCCAAGAATCAGGCTGGTAAGTGGTAAGCATCAAGCTCGAGATTTTTCTTCGTCTTTTCGCTCAGTGGTAGCGAAGTTTTCTGACATTGTTTGGATGATAGGATCATCCTCCGCGTGCTAGCGTAAGATCTGGAGAGACGGACTTTCTCTCCAAGAACTTCAAGGAGGCTGGCGTTCGACGGCCACCTTCCAAGCAAAAACAAAAGCACGAGACACCGGAGCAAAAGAACAATGGCAACAAGAACAAGGAAAGCTTCGGCAAAATACCAGCATAGTGAGTTCTTTCCTTTTCTCTTTTGGAGGATTTGTCACAGCGTGCATGGTTTCTATCCATAGTTTGATTCGGAGAAAGATGGAGCTGGCTTTCGATGCGGAACGCAAGTAAGAACATCAAACTCTATCCTGTATACGAAGTTTACGCTGATCGATCACAGGTTGCTGGAAGAGGAGGCTAAAAGCTTGCCTCCAGGATTTGTGCTGATGCCCGACGAGGAGAAGCAAGAGGTGTTAAAGACGCTCGAAGAAAGTAAGTTTCTCTTTGCGATCTTCGTCGTCTTGATCCTTGCATGATCACCGCCAGACAAAGTTGATCTGGAGAACAAGCTCCGAGGTCTTCCGCTGGTGATCGAAACTCCCAGCTTGCTGCGCTCCAAGATCGACATGGACACGCAGCTCCGAGAAACAGAGGACGCGATCAAGCGTTTCTCCAGGCCCAAAGTTTACATCTCTCTGGACGACAGCTAAAAAAGGGGATATCCCTGCCGTGCAAAGGCGTGAGAATCCCTGCGTGGATGGCTGGATAGCAGCCACGTACGCCGGGTAAGCTTGCTTGGAGAATTACTTTTACTCGGGGGAAAATCCACCGCCGCAGTGATTCACTGAGATCTTTGCTGGAGTATAAAATGCGAGGTTTCTCCCCTTCTCGTTTGTTCGTTTGTTTCGTTTTTTTTCTCGTTAGCTAGAGAGCGGCCGCGCGAGAGAAAGAGGAGAGAGCGATCGCTCGATTCTTCCAGAGCGGCAGAGCTCCATCGCAATGGCGTCCCTTCTTCCTCTTGGATCTCCTCCTCCTCCTCCTCCTCCAGCTCCTCGTCGCCTCGCCGCCTTGATCCTCGCGGCGATTCTCGTGGCGATGCTTCTCCTCACAATGCTCGTCTCGATCGGCGACGCCGATTCGCGGCTATCGGAGGCGGTCCCAGCAGCAGCAGCAGCGAAGGTGTTCCTTTTTCCTCTCGACGTTGTTCTTCCTTGAAATCTCGATTCTTTCTTGTTCTTTCGATCGATTTCTTGAAAGATCGATCCATCGATTGGTTTCTTTCGATTTCGCGACTCAATCCAGAGGCTTTGTGTCTTGCATGCAGCAGCGCGGGGTGGCGATGGCGGTGGGAGGGCGCAAATGGGGCGGCAGCGATCCCTGCGCGGACAAGTTTGGCGTCTTGGAGCGCGCGATCCCGTCCGGCCCCGATCCGATGCACCACCGGCGCATCAGGCTCCACAACTAGTGCAGCGATCGAGCGATAGATCGATCTCGATCGACCGATCTACAATCGACGAGAAGGAGAGAGGCAGAGTGAGATAGTTTCTGCTGTAACATCGTTCTAGTAAAGAGTATCTTCTCGCATATTCTAGGGTACCTTTTGGCATATTCTATAGCTTGCGAGCGTGTTTACCATTTCCATAGAGAGCGCCTCTTCACTTGGATTTGTATCAAAGCCAGCAAAAATGTTCTAAGGTAATTTCTAGCACTTGGTTTGTGTGGAATGCTCACGCGCCTCATGGCGAACAGCTCCCAAGTGCTTGTGATTCCTACAACGATCCACCATCCCTCTTCCTTGAACTACAAACCAAGCGGATTGATTCCCTAGTTTGTTTTCGTGATTCCAGGAGATAGATTTCTACGGCGGCCTAGATCAAACTCATACCTTTCAATGAGAGTTATTCATCAAAACTGTATCTCACCTTCGAGTATTGAGGCAGGAAAGATCGAGTGCTGCTTTTCGACGTGACTTCGATGTCCAGTGCGAACGACATGAACTTGTCCCCCTCACTCAGCCTTTGATCTCGCATCCTCCACGAAGGATCGATTCGTGGAAGAAAATTCCATGCCTGACAATGCAAGAAGGACAAAAGTCAAACCATCCGTCAAGCGTGGAGATAATCACCTGTATGACTTCATGAACTTGGACTGAGGCATAAAGCGCTCGAACAGCTTGGACAGCGAAGGCAAAAGCTCTGTGGGCGAATGATCAGACCAAGTTCCTTGCCAAAGACGCGAATTATAATAACATTGCAATGAAATCATCAGCTCTACCTGCATAATCATCTGCAGGAGTTGCACAGTCCGAATGGTCGTTCTGAGCCATCCTCCATTGGCAGCAGCATCCACCATCGCTTGAAGTATACGTATGCTTTGGTCCAGCACTGACTTCGTGTCTGTCACGTAGTCAGAAATTGGTAGCTCCAGTGGTGGGAAATGAGCCTGGTACAATTAAATTTCAGCGCTGGATTCACGACTTAGAATTTCTTTTATACCTGAAACAACAAGATGCCTTCACATGAGGGTCATCTAGCAGCTTATTGTCCACAGGCATTCGTGCTTGCTGCGCAAGAATTGCGTGCTGGTCAGTAAACGGAGACTCTAAGCGGCTGTACCTCGTTATGCCGGACAGGAAGCTCGTCATACTCCGCAGCAGATGAAAGCAGCTGTAATAGCTCCTGTGCACAAAGATCAATCAGTCAGAAGTCGACCTTCTCAGCGATCGTACCTCCAACGAACTATCAGAGTGTATGTTTGAGCTGAAAAGTGCCACTGCTGTGTAATGAAGATTTCTTGACCATCACCACTGGAGCAGCCCAAGGAGAAAGAAACGGGTACATCACGAAAGAACTAGCTATCTCATGCATGCACTTAACCAATTGGAAGACACAACCGCTGCGTCCATCAATCACTTCTTGTCAAGGTAAAGCTTTCTGTCTATTCTCTCTTAACGCTGACTGCTTCGCTCCCTTTAGCTCTTGTGAATGGCACACCTGAAGCACTAGCTGATGCTGGGAGTGAAGACAACATAGAGTTACAGATGCCGGGACTCATTGCTTCAAAATACTAGCTGGTACAGATCGTTTTGGTGCGAGGCCATCACAACGGCAGCATACTTTATCAATGTTATGGCTAGCCACTTTTCTATCCTTGTCCTACCAGTTTCAACACAATCTCTTGCCTATTGAGGGTTGAGGGAGTGGAAAAAAGCTGGCACCTTTGACTACTCAAGCCACATAGACATTCTTCCTGGAGAAGTGGTCTGTGTACACTTCGTGCATGTAGTACCTGTGTCCTGCTGCAGTCCTTTGCCGGACTCTTGCTGAACGCTATTAGGATGTAACCACACGTTAAATCGTTGCATCGATGTTCTGAACTGTGATATAAACCTTTTCAACCACAGAGATAGCCGCTGGAACAATTGCAACCAAGCCAGAGTCTCGCAAGAGAGTTCGTGCTGCCTCCTGGAGTGTGTGATTCATTCGCTCTGCTACACCGTTGTGTCAGGGATTGAAAATTGCTGCTGTATTCCAAAGGAAATACAAAAACTGGCAAATTCCTTGAATGTATACTCCTTGCCTTCATCATTTAGCATTTTGATTTTCTTTCCTGTCTGCAACTCCACCTGAGCCTTGTATTCCTGGAAGGCTTCTGATTTAAGCTAGAGGAACTTCATTGCTATGGTTTGTGAGTAGTCGTCTATGAAGGTCACAAAGTATAACTTCTTATTGCCAAAGAGATCAGAATGAATTAGTGCTAGAGGTCCTTTAGCACAATTAGTGGCTATCTGTGGAAAAAGGAGCTAATGGTGTTTACCAAGTGCACATGACTTGCAAAATTTCATTGCACTTAATGAGGTGATGCTTAAACCTTTTACCATCTCTTTTGCTGCTAATTCTTTGATGTCCAATAGATTGGTGTGGCATGAGCCTCATGTGCCATGTCTGGAGGTCCATTGCTTTTTTCATCCCAGCAAAGAGAGCTTTGATTGGCTGCACCACCTCGGCACTAAGCTGATAAAGACCGACATGTCTTCTACCACAAGCTATTCCATTTCCATTCACGTCTGTGATTGCACTCATCCTCTTTGTGAATGTGATCTCTAGATCGTGATCAGCAATCTTTCCCACCAAGAAGAGCATCTTGTTTACTCCAGGAACATAGTAAACATTCTTCACGCTGGTGATCTATCTTGTTGGCAGTTTAATCTCAATTGTCCCAACACCCTCCACCTTGTATGAGTGATTGTCGCCAAGAAAAATTCACTTATTTCCTGGAACCTTCATCACATGGTGTTTATTTGCCCCAGAATCAAGGTATACCACTTTTGCTCTTGTGCCAAGAGTATTCTTTGCAACCTGCTGGATACTAGGGGCCATGAACAAGCTGCCATGGTTGTTCATGTCCTCCTGGTCGTCATCCTTGCTACTTTCTGCTGTCCTAGCAAAGTTGGCCAACATGTTCTTTCTTGCCGCCACTCTCTTTGCCTCAGCTTTTTGTGCCTCCTTAGCTTTCTTGGCTTTCTTGGCAATCTTGTATCCAGTGCCCTGGTTTCTTGCAAATGTTACAGCAATCATTCTTCTTTTTCATCTTGAACTTTTCTGGTTTGCTGCTCTCGCCCTAATCGTTCGTTGGTCTTGGTCTCACTGTGACAAATCGTTTCCCCTTTCCTGCGAAGAGTGCCAATTCTTTCTCATTTGAGCTTGCTTGCCCTGACTTGTGAAAGCCCTCTAACACTATGAGGTTGGCTATGATCTGGCCGAAAGTGTTACTGGAACTTAAATGTGCGAGTTGCATTGGTCTGCTAAGCCCCTTGAAGAAAGCTGTGATCAACTCATCATTATCGAACTCATCATCATCAGTAAAGAAATATTGAAGCTACCTTGACATCAACAAGATGGCGAAGGAAAACTGGGATGCTGTGTGTGTGATCCTTGGTACAACAATTAGAGCAAGATTGTTGGAACTCAAACTACAGCTGAACAGTCGTAACCAGGGGGAGACAGAATCTATGAAAGAAACATGGCACTCTCATCTTCCTTAACCTTGGAAGTGTATGATGGCAAAGATTTCCAGTCATGGAAACTCAAATGCAATTTTACTTCATTTGAACTGCACCGATCTGCTTGGCAATGTTGACAAGAGCACTGGCAAAATCACTTACAGATTCTGTCTCCCTCTGTTTATGGCTGTTCAGCTGTAGTTTGAGTTCCAACAATCTTGCTCTGGTTGTTGTACCAAGGATCACACACACAGCATCCTAGTTTTCCTTTGTCATCTTGTTGATGTCAAGGTAGCTTTGATATTTCTTTCCGAGGCCTCATCCCAAGACCCCTAACGCTTTTTTGTTCTTGGTGTCCCACTCCTTTTTCATCCACATCGTCCTCTGGCTTGATGCTGCTCTAGAGCACACTCCAGAGATCCTTTTCCATGGAGTAAAATTGCATCTTGAGTTTTCCATGACTGGAAATAGGTTAAGGAAGATGAGGGTGCCATCTTTCTTTTTCAGAGTGGGACGTGATCCTGCTCCATATTTGGGATAGGAAATCATGAATGTACTCTGGAATGCCAGCCGCTGCTAACTGAATAATTTGACCTAAGAGGGAATCACGAATATTCCCTCAATACGAGAATTCCACGAATATTCTCTTACAAGAGGAATCGAACCCTTATCATGGACTCTAGTAAGCGACGCGCTGATGTAGCGGAGTCAGTGCAGGTAATTGGGTTCGGCCGCCCATGGCGATTCTCTTACGGTATCACTGCGGGAGAAGTGATCGATTTCATGGCTCACAAGCTGGACCGGCCAGCCAAGGACATAGCGATCGAGGATACCACTGGATCCTTCATAGTAAGCAGGCAAACTGAGCTGCTCCTCGGGCATAGGTACGTTTTCACACTAGTGCGCAAACCAGATACCGCTCCGAAGCGAACCTTTGCCGTAGGAGGTATTACGGATCCCCAGAAACACTACTACGTACCCCCTGATGTTACTCAGCTTGTGGACAAGCTGAAGCACGGCAAGTATTGTGTTCTATGTGGCGCACGACAAAGCGGGAAGAGCACCATGGCAATGGCTGTGAAGAGGGAGTTATCACTTGATCCAGATATCTGTGTGGTGTATTTGGACAAGGTGTCAGTGGATAAAAGCTGGAGCAGGAACAGGTTCTGGGCTGCGCTTTGCGACCATCTTCATGGAAAATGTGCTGATTTGTTCCCGGCTAGGCTTACAGGCGAAGAATGCACAGATTGGAGCTTCAGGTCGTTGTTTCTTGTGAAGAACCTGCCGATCAAGGTTACACTCATTATAGATGAAGCCGACGCGTTGCTCTCAGCCTCTCCGGATTGCCTTGACGATTTCTTCAGCACTCTCAAAGGGATTAGAGACGATGACGACTACAACTTCAACGGTGTCCTTCTGGTTGGTGTTGAGACTGTCAAGGATCTTCTTGAAGCTCAATACTTGAGGCGGCCTGAAGATGCAGCGGAGCTAAACAGGGTCTATGTACCGAGTAGTGCGCCCAGCCTGTATTCGCCTTTCTCGTACAGTTTCCTTTCGGAGCCAGTGAGGTTCTTAGTAGGCGATGTTGAGAACCTGCTGCAGCAGGCACAAGCCGACCTCCAAGGAGTACAGATTGAGATTGAGCGGATTGCTACGTCGGTCATAGAATTGACAGGCGGTCACAAAGGGATAGTCGGTTCATGCTTGGACTACTTGGTGGACAGGGAGCTGTGGACTAGCAGACAGTGGATTGAGGCAACTGACTCGTTTCATCTTTCGACTTATGTTTTTGGACAGCAAACTTACTCTAAGATTCTGTCCGCTTTCAAGAAGGGTGCAACTGGCCGTGACTTTGATCTGCTCCTGTCGTTCCTTAAAGAAGACAAGCGTCACTGCAATGATCAGATGGTGATACTGGAGCTGCGGAATCTCATTGCTCAAGGTGTATTAATCGCACAGGAGGCAAAACCGGATGGTTATGACGTGCGGATTTCTTCACCAATGCTACGGAGTATTATATTGCGAAGATGTGTTATCACGAGCGGTTCGGTGGACCCTCCTGCACAGGCGTTGCGCGTTGATCCTCTGTGGGTTGTTTTCCAGGCAATTAGAACTTTGGATGGGGAGGCATTGTGCAGGCCAGAGTGTATAAAACGGACAGGGGAGTTATCCAAGTATTCTTACCAATTCATGTTGTTCACCAGGATAAAGGCTGTTTTGACGCAAGCGTACCCCTTGGTTGATGCGAAGCTCGTCCCTAAAGCTAAGATAGCTGCGGAGTATCTTGACAAAAGAGACACGCAGGTAAGCATCTTTGTTTTGTTTTGAGGCTCTCTGATTTCTGAGCTCGGCTGCAGGAGCGGCTTGACATCCTAGTCCGGAACAACGACAACTTTTCCAAGTTTGGCTGTGAGTTGGTTGTCAACGATGATGTGGAAGGTTACGTATCGAAAGCCGAGCGGTATGCCAAGCAGCATTCTGCTCAAGTGTTTGTGATTAATGTCACAACGGAAGACTCGCCAATATTAGTCGTTCCAGAACACGGGTGTGTGGTTTTCCTTTCAGTACAGCTTTTTCCGAGTGGGAACAAGACCAGAGCTAAAGTAACCATGGTGGAGACATCGGACGTCCGAACGGATTTCGAGTTGGAAATGAAAAATTGGGATGGCAAAATCTCGTTTGACTACCTAGTCTAAATGAAGCCTCGGTTGAATTACTTCGGTACTAAGTAAACTTTTGTTTCAAAAACAAAATAAAGAACTTTTGAGTGACAAAGTTCTTTCATGTCCGGATCTGAGAGAGTTTCTGACTGGTTTTGGCAACAGATGCTGCCAATGGGTATGGGGGACGTGCATGGTCGAGTTATACTGGTTTGCAATGAGGCCGGTGAGGCAATTGATGGAGGAGCTGGAGAGGAACGAAGCCGCGGGAGTGGAGTGGAGTCGCAAGGTGAGGACTCGGCCATCAGCTTTGGTTCACGCGGGGAGGTCTCTCGATCTAACACGGACGTGGCGACCTACCGTTTGGCCGGCGCCCAAGGCGGAGCACTGGAGTCTTTACGCGATTAAAATGTACTACTCCGTGCCAATCCTCGACAACCTCTTGTGAGTTCATCTTTTCCTTCTGTTTTTGTGCTTTTGTTCTGATTCTTTTCTGTGTCAATCAAGAGCAACAAAGTAGAAGTTGTCGTAGGTCCTTCGTTTCCTAACTCGATCCAAGGTGAAAGCTCCACCCAAAGAAACATGTGTCGCCCATGACAAAGAACGTTTCAGCACTTGGCACCGTGGCCCGGACAAGAGTAGAACACACCGGCAACTTCCAACATTCCTTTGCAACGTTTGGGATGGAGAACTCCATAGAGCTTGAGCCCGAAGATCGCCGCGATGATGGTCGACAGCACGGCCCACTGGCCTCCGGTGGCAAGGCCGATGATGATCGAGCCGATGTACAGCGCG